AAAAAAAAAAAAAAAGAAAATCCAGAAGTACTCAAATGCATGTGGAAATTTAGTGTATGATAAAAGGGGCACCTCAAAACAGTGAGGAAAATGTAAACTAGCTAGTATAACTATAGAGCCATATGGCAAAAGATAAAATGGAAGTCATTTCTCACACCATACACTAGGATGAAGTACTGTACTATTCATCTAATACTACATAAGTACTAGAAGATACATAGGTGAATTCCCCCATAACTTGAGAATATTTCCTATCCATGAATCAAAATCCAGAAGCAATAAAGGAAAACAATTATAAATTTGATAAACTTTAACATGGATAAAAAAACCCCCACAACACTATTAGCAACATAAAAAAAATTATAAACTGAAAAACTGCAGTTTGTAATTTAAACTATTTAAAATATTGCCAATAAAGAACTTGTAAAACTAGAGTAAAAGACTAACAACCCTACAGAAAAATGGGCAAAATATAAACAATTCAAGAACAAGAAATAAAATGGCTCTTAAACATATTAAAAGATGCTCATAATTAGAGAAATTCTTACTCATAAAGATATGCCAACTAGAACTACACTGAAATACTATTTCTTACCTATCAGATTTGCAGAGAGTTAAAAGTTTGATGCCACAGCCAGCTTATGAGACTGTCTGCCCCTCCTACATTGTTCGTGGGATGCAAAAAGGCACAACACCAAAGGAGAGGAATTGGGCAAAAGTACATATACATTTACCTTTGACCAGCCAATCCCACTTCTATTCTATTCCAAATATACGCTGGCAGAAAGACAAAATGACCCAAGCACAGAGAGAAAGAGTTGGGGGCAAGACAGAGAGAATCTCAAGCAAACTCCTTGCTGAGCATGGAGCCCAATGTAGGGCTCGATCGCATGACCCTCAGATCATGACCTGAGCCAAAACTAAGAGTTTGGCTTAACCGACTGAGCCAAGTAGTCACCCCATGCAGCACTATTTTTTTTTTAAATATTTTATTTATTTATTTGAGACAGAGAGAATGAGAGAGAGAGAGCACATGAGAGGGGGGAGGGTCAGAGGCAGAAGCAGGCTCCCAGCCGAGCAGGGAGCCTGACGCGGGACTCGATCCAGGGACTCCAGGATCATGACCTGAGCCGAAGGCAGTCGCTTAACCAACTGAGCCACCCAGGCGCCCGCAGCACTATTTTTAATAGCGAAAAGCTGGACACGGCTTCTATGTCATCAATAGAGGGCTAATGGAAGGAACTGCCATCCTGCCACTCAGTAGTGCCCAGGACAACTGTCAGACAGTGGTCTCCCCAGCCAAATGGTTAGGTGGGAACAACAAAGTACATTATAGGACTATGTGTGGTATAGGACCTTTACCTAAGGAAGGGGGTAGAATACACAAGCAGAATGTTATTTGCAGGGCGCCTGGGTGGCTCAATTGGTTGGGCGACTGCCTTCGGCTCAGGTCATGATCCTGGAGTCCCTAGATCGAGTCCCGCATCGGGCTCCCTGCTCGGCAGGGAGTCTGCTTCTCCCTCTGACCCTCCTCCCTCTCATGCTCTTTGTCTCTCATTCGCTCTGTCTCAAATAAATAAAATCTTAAAAAAAAAAAAAATGTTATTTGCATATACATGTATTTTATTTTTAATGGAAGAAGTGGGGGGCAGGGAAGGGGAAAAAAATAAAATGGAAGGATAATCCAAAACTTACATAAATGGTTACCAGTGGAGGAGAGCAGGAATAGAGGGAAGAGCAGGCATAGAGGCTAGGCTTCTCTGAGTATATGCTGTTTTTGTAGTTTTCACTTTGGAGCCATAAAAGTGTTTTGTATTAATATAAATTAGGTTTTTTTAAAAAATTTTTTTAAGATTTTATTTATTTAAGAGAGAGAGCACCCAAGTCGGGGGAGGGGAGAGGGATCGAGATGCCGGTCTTGATCCAGGACCCCGGGATCATGATCTGAGCCGAAGGCAGACACATAACTGGGTCACCCAGGTGCCCCAAATTAGGTTTCTTTACCGCGATCTCTAGGGGTGCCTGGGTGGCTTAGTCAGTTAAGCATCTGCCTTCAGCTCGGGGTCCTGGGATCAAGCCTCGAATCGGGCTCAGTCTGCTTCTCCCTCTGCCCTCTTCCTTGTGCTGTCTCAAATAAACAAAATATATATTTTTTTAATAATTAGAGGTAGTCTTTCTTTTTTTTAAGATTTTATTTATTGGAGTGCCTGGGTGGCTCAGTCGGTTAAGTGGCTGCCTTCGGCTCAGGTCATGATCCTGGGGTCCTGGGATCGAGCCCCACGTCCAGCTCCCTGCTCAGCGGAGAGCCTGCTTCTCCCTCTCCCTCTGCCTCCCACTCTGCCTACTTGTGCTCTCTATCTGTCAAATAAATAAAATCTTAAAAAAAAAAGACTATTTATTTGACAGAGAGAGTGAGCACAAGCAGGGGGAGCGGCAGGCAGAAGGAGAAGCAGGCTCCCCGCTGAGTAAGGAGCCCAACGTGGGGCTCGATACCAGGACCCCGGGATCACGACCTGAGTCAAAGGCAGATGCTTAACTGACTAAGCCACCCAGGTGCCCCAAATAAAATCTTAAAAAATAATAACAAAGTGATCGCTAAAAAGAAAGTATTCAGTGAAAACATTACCGCATTGATAATAATTATTTCCAGTAACTTTAGAGCACAGTAATCTCACTGTGGAGATATAGTCTAAGGACAAAAAGAATTGCAGAGAAATCTTGAATTCTCCCTAATAATATTGAAGATAATTTGAAACATAAACCAAGTAATTCTCCTGATGTAATTAGGAACCAAGATTTCAGCAATAATAAAAAATTAAAGCCCAGTAATTCCTAAATTTGAATTAGAATTATCAAGATAAATCCAAAATGTGTTTTCTCTTGAAAATATATATCCCAACTTTGTCCACTGAAGAGGTTTATAACAATAACTACCCTAGTGGTAATGATACTCCTAGTGCCCAGATCTCTAAAACACATTTCCCGCTACAAAGAACCAGGGTTCCTCGGAGAAGTAGCTAATTCCAGGGCAGGGGCAGGAAATTTACAGAATGAGCCTTGCCACATATTCTCTGACTAGAAAGCAAAGTTATCAAAACCTACTCAGATCATGTCAAAAGAACACAGAAGCCAGCTTGAGGGAGCTGCTCGTGGCCACCATTTGGACAACTGAAGCATCAAATTATTCACTGCAACAGATTAAAACACACAGAATACGTTAAAAATCTATGTATATAAAACATACTCACTGGCTATCTTTGGAGATTGCTAGCACATCTGTTTTCTCAAAGCAAAGGCAAAGAATGAAGCATTTATCCTGTTTTTCCTAAACAAACTCTACCTCCTCAGGGTAACCAAAAAATTAGTTAAGGGAAAGCTTTTCTTATGGAAGAATTCCAGCAAAAAGATGCGAAAGAAGTGATATAATTAGAAAACTACCATTTTATAACTCCTAATGAAATAGCGGGTATAAGCAATGACTGCTAAAACCATTCTGCAAAAAATGCTAGACAATTCTATGATAGATGAATCAGGCTGTCAACACTTCATCAAAATAAACATCACAGAAGTGCACCAGACATTGTGCTTTCGCTTTCTTCCTTCCTTTCTTCTTTCTTTCTTTTTTAAAGATTTTATTTATTCATTTGAGAGAGAGAGCACGAGCAGGGAAGAGAGGGAGAAGTGGGCTCCCTGACTCGGGGTCGATCCCAGGACCCTGGGATCATGACCTGAGCTGGAAGGCAGACGCTTAACCAACTGAGCCACCCAGGTGCCTCTATGCGCTTTCTGATATGATACAAAAGAACACACATGCAACACTTTGGATTGTCAAATATACAAACTTGAATCCGATTAAGCCTCTACATCCAACTACCAGTTTACAGGAAAAACAAGGCAACAAGAAATGACATCATAAGGATACCATCACCAAAATCCAGAATGTAGTAAATCCTATGGGAAAAATTTACCTGCTTTCAACAAACAGAAACAAAAGGAAAAAGCACGTGTGGGGGAAATCCATAAATTACAAGACTTAAGCACACATTAACCAAACGCAAAGTGTGAACCTTGTTCAGATCCTAATTTAAATAAACAAAATGACAGGGGCGCCTGGGTGGCTCAGTCGTTAAGCGTCTGCCTTCGGCTCAGGTCAGGATCCCAGGGTCCTGGGATCGAGCCCTGCATCGGGCTCCCTGCTCTGCGGGAAGCCTGCTTCTCCCTCTCCCACTCCCCCTGCTTGTGTTCCTGCTCTCGCTATCTCTCTGTCAAATAAATAAATAAAATCTTAAAAAAATAAAAAATAAAAAATAACCCAGTGGTGGCTGGGAGCAAGTGGAGATAAGATTAAATTTAAAAAGCCGAATGATGACAGTAAATGAAGTTGGATAAATGCATGGAGGGAAGCATGGGTTTTAATCACACTATTTGCCTTACTCTTGTATGTTTGAAATTTTCCATAATTGGGATTCCTGGGTGGCTTAGTTGGTTACGCGTCTGCCTTTGGCTCAGGTCATGATCCCAGGGTCCTGGGATCGAGCCCCGCATCGGGCTCTCTGCTCAGCAGGATGCCTGCTTCTCCCTCTCCCTCTGCCTGTGGCGCCCCCTGCTGGTGCTGTCAATTTAACAATTGTTAAAAAAATTTAACAATTTTTTTGTTAAAAAAAATTTTTTTGGGGGGGTGCCTGGGTGGCTCAGATGGTTAAGCGTCTGCCTTCGGCTCAGGTCATGATCCCAGGGTTCTGGGATCGAGTGCCGCATCGGGCTCCCTGCTCCTTGGGAGCCTGCTTCTCCCTCTGCTTCTCTCTCTCTCTGTCTCTCAAGAATAAATAAAATCTTAAAAAAATATATATTTTTTTTCCCATAATAAAACCAAGGTCATTTATGATGTCATAAGGAAAAGTCCCAAGGTGGACATAGGCAATATTAACTGACTCAGTGACTCAAAGAGGATCCCATTACCAACTCCGGTTCTTTCCATCTTTCTGCTCTGTCATTCTCAGCATGTCGACTTTGCCTCTTGGGCTTCCTCAAGGTGCTGACATGGCAGTACTGTTCTACACATTATACGCAGACAACACCGTCCAGAGACGATGAAAGAGGACATACTAGTGTCTTATGGCCATTTTTGAAGGGAACTGAAGGGAACTTCCCCTGGAGCCCCCAGCAGATGTGTCATTTCTCCTTGGCCAGAACGCCCTTGCCTAATTCAGTAACACGGCAAGAGGCACGAGCCCACTCATCAAGATTCTCCCTTTGGGAGCTATATTCCAGACTTCCCGGAGGAATCTACAAATTGCAGGGTCCTGTTAACAAGCATGAAGTACTTAAGAAGATGATGGCTGTTGGGTCAGCCCCAGGAAGAGTCCAAGCAAGGAGGGCTGGTCACAGGAGCACCCCAGACACGAGGGAACAACAATTCAGGAGCTTACGAGGTTTGAGCAGATCCAGAGTGGCTTCCGCCGGCCTGGGAAGGTTCCTGTGGTCTCCCTTCTGAGAGCCGGGGCGGGTCAGCTGCTGGCGGGTCTCAGCCTCTGACCCCACAACGCAGCGAGACAGCACACTCAACAACAGACCATATGTAACAGAACGGACCCATAACCTCTGCAGCAATAGGGCCAAACAGTCAGGACTTGGTCACTAACTGCCAGCTTCCCTATTTTTTATTTGTTGCCCGTCCCACTTAGGGCCAACCGGAGAAAGCAAAATAATTCTCCCCTAAGCAGTCCTAAACCTACGGGGCCCGCTTAGAGCTAGCCGGTCTCAGCTTCCACACTCGACACCGGCCGCTCCCCTGCCCGCCTCTGGCCTCCGCGGAACGCACGGGATGGCTGCGGACTGCCTCGCTGTAGCGGGTTCTGGGCCGACAGGCGTTCCTAGCCCCCTTCAAGGCGTCTTCGTTCACTTCCACAGCGGGTCGAGGTGACTGAAAGGCCGACCAGGAAAGGGTGCGGCCGAGCGCAGTTCCGACACGAACGCAGGCCTTGACGCTGGTCGCAGACGCCGGCCATTCTGGCGTCGCGGCCTCGGAGAGTGAGTCGCGTCCGTGAACCAGGGCTGCGGGGAGGGGCGCTCCACGGAGCACAGCCTAAGAAGAACGACTGTCTGTACCATAACACGAGCCGCTCTAACGAGTCTCAGGCCGCCGCCGGGGACGAGACGGCCGCCGCCCCCGACGCAGTCTGGGAGAAACGGCCGCCGCCCCCGACGCAGTCTGGGAGAAACGGCCGCCGCCCCCGACGCAGTCTGGGAGAAACGGCCGCCGCCCCCGACGCAGTCTGGGAGAAACGGCCGCCGCCCCCGACGCAGTCTGGGAGAAACGGCCGCCGCCCCCGACGCAGTCTGGGAGAAACGGCCGCCGCCCCCGACGCAGTCTGGGAGAAACGGCCGCCGCCCCCGACGCAGTCTGGGAGAAACGGCCGCCGCCCCCGACGCAGTCTGGGAGAAACGGCCGCCGCCGCCGCCGCGCTGCCTCCTGGGACTTGCAGTTGGTTGCGCCGAGCGCGCGCACTTCCGCCGCCCACCGGAAGCACCGCCATTGCCCCGCGCGCTCCGGTGAGCCTGAAACCCGCGACCGGCGTGGAGGCTCCGCGGCGGGCTGGGCGGGGCCGGGGCGGGCCGCGGTGACCTGCGCCGCGCCGGAGGAGGTCCCTTCTCCCGCCCGGCTGCGCTTGGGCGTGTCAGATGCGAGTCCCTCCGGCTGCAGAGACCGGGGGGAGCGTGTGCCGCTGAGCGCGGCTGGATGGGATCTCGTCTGAGGGTCTCCTACTCCGGGACAGAAGCCCTCCTGCTGCGAAGGAGGCCAGCTGTCGAGGCTTCAGGCCGGCATATGGGACTCCGGGGCCTGCCCACCCAGACGCGTCTTTTTCCCTCCCTCGGCTCGTTAACGCCGCCTACCCCGGAGGCGCTCCGTGCGCGAGGTGGTGGCCCAGAGCCTGCTGGCAGCGGCCCCGGCGAGTGAGGCTTTCTTTTCCCCAGCGTCCAGCCCCGCCTCAGAACTTGGACACGTTTTCTTCCACTGGTACGTGATCTTGAACTCAGTTTGAAGACAAAGCGCGTGTTTTCCAAGTGAACAGAGAATTAGAGGCAGCGCAGGTAGAGCACCAGCAAACTGCGTCCACGGTGTTGAGGTGCCAGTACTGGTTGTTTGTTGATACCCCATGTTAGGGGCTGGGTGACAGAGGGGCTGGAGGCGTAAAGAGCCGGGACGTGAAGCTGTCCTGTGCGTAGGGGCTTAGCGTTGGATTTCAAAGAGCCTCCGAGTAGAAGCATCTGGCTGTAGAAATAACTCGGTGCAAGAGAGAATGCAAAGGGAGTGGGGGTAGCTGAGGAGGACTCTGAGTTTCCATTTCTAGTGAGGAACTAGGATGGAGGTCACAGAGAGAATTCCTGGTCACCCAGATGTGTTGAGTTGAGAGTCTCCGGGATGTGGGGTGGAAGTAGAGGAGGAAGTGGCAGTGGCAGGGAGGTCTGGGCTGAACATGAAGCCTGGGGCAGCACTTGAGACCCCACCCCACAGGCAGGGAAAGAGCGAACTGGAAAAGGAAGGAGAAAGCAGCCTCCGCCCCAGCCCTGCAGACCGAGGGACCCTGCCACACCAGCCCCGTCTCAGGTCCAGCGTGAGGAATAGAAGGGGGCTTTTATGTTCAAGTATAATCGATGTGACTAAGTCTCCTGTGTCCTGCGTGTCGGTATGACAGTAAGCTCTATAAATGCAACTCAGTCAATCACAGCAGCGCCATGACACAAGACCGGCTATTCTCCCAGATGTCTACAGAAGAAGAAACTGAGGCCTAGGGAGGTTAAGGAGGTCTGTTGAAGAACTAGGAATTACAGAGGCAAGTGGTGGAGCTGGGGCTTTGAAAGCAGGGTAGCTTTCCCAGCCCTTGCCCTCAGATTCCTCCAGACAAGGAAGGAGAGGCTGGGAGGGTGGAAATGGTCACAGGCAGTAGGAGACTGCCCAGGGATGGGCAGGAGTGTCAGAACAAGACGGATAGATACAGAATCTTGGTCAGCTTTCTTGCGTGTGGTGTACATTTGTAGTGTGTGTGTTTAGGAGTGAGAGGGCAGAGAGAGGATGGACAGGGTGAAGACGGGGGGACTGGAGTGTTGGCTGCTCTGAGGGCCTAGCTGTGAGGAGCAGGAGCATGGAAGTAGCTGGGCGGTGGGGGGGGGGGGGCACTGGGATGCAGGAGTTTACTTGATCAGAAGGAAAGTCTCCCCTGAGAAATTGAAGGGAGCCATTTGGGACGGTGTGGGCTTAGAGGAGTCTGTGTGCCAGGAAGGGGGTGAAGTCTACGGCCATTGATTGGAGTGAATTAAGACGCAGTTTTATCTGCACAGATCAGATAATAGTGAGGGGGCGGGAAGGGTGAGTGCAAACATGGATTGGTTGCTGTGGGTGCAATAGAGACAGTCTCATACCACCTAGGACTCAGAAACCATCAGGGTCAGGCAGAGAGGGTGGCCAGTAGCCTGAGGCAGATTGTGCAGAGCTCCTGAGTGAGAGAGGCTGAGAGGTGGGTCCTTGATGGAGGATTCAAGAAAGAGGGCAAGGGCAGTGGGCTGGGCAAGGGTGTACCAGAGGGAGAGGCAGAGAACCAGGATGGCAGTGTGCTCAAGGCAGTGGGCTGTAGAGCTCCTGGCTTCCTCGTCCTCAGCCATGAGGCCTTGACTAAGTTTTATTCAAGCTCTTTCTGCCTCAGTTGCCTCATCCACAAAATGGGGACAATACGGTTTATTTTCCCTGGGCAAACCAAACAGTTCTATCTAGCACACAAGTGTGTAAATAAAAAACTGTATATACAATTCAGCTTGACATTATATTTTAAATAATTTAAATTTATATAAATTTTATTTTATATTCTACTTTGTCTTCTTAATCAGTCAAATTCTAAAATATAGGTTGACGTAGGACACCTGGGTGCCTCAGTCGGTTAAGCGTCTGCCTTCAGCTCAGGTCATGATCCCAGTGTCCTGGGATCGAGTCCCACATCGGGCTCCAGTCCCACATCGGGCTCCTTGCTCGGCAGGGAGCCTGCTTCTCCCTCTGCCTGCTGCTTCCCCTGCTATGCTTTCTCTCTCTCTCTCTGACAAATAAATAAATTTAAAAAAATAAAAAATAAAATGTAGGTTGACGTTTCCCATGTGGTTTTTCTCATCTTTATGTTACCAAGTTTTTGCTTTATATTTTTGCTATAGTATCTGTTGGGCAAATGAATAGTCAAGATTATTATATCTTCCTACAGCCCAACTTTTATCCCTAAAAAATGTCTTTATCTTAGTGATATTGCACTAAAGTTTAGGCCACATCCTTTTTTTTTTTTTTTTACTATCATTTTATCAATCTTTTTTTTTTTTAAAGATTTTATTTATTTATGTGACACAGAGACACAGCGAAAGAGGGAACACAAGCAGGGGGAGTGGGAGAGGGAGAAGCAGGCTTCCCGTCGAGCAGGGAGCCCGATGCGGGGCTTGATCCCAGGACCCTGAGATCATGACCTGAGCCGAAGGCAGTCGCTTAACCGACTGAGCCACCCAGGCGCCCCTCATTTTATCAATATCTTTATACTTAAAACTTGTTCTGTCTTTTTTTTTTTAATATTTTTATTTATTTATTTGACACAGAGAGACAGCGAGAGAGGGAACAGAAGCAGGGGGAGTGGGAGAGGGAGAAGCAGGCTTCCATGGAGCAGGGAGCCCGATGCAGGGCTCGATCCGAGGACCCTGGGATCATGACCTGAGCCGAAGGCAGTCGCTTAACCGACTGAGCCACCCAGGCGCCCCTCATTTTATCAATATCTTTATACTTAAAACTTGTTCTGTCTTTTTTTTTTTTTAATATTTTTATTTATTTATTTGACACAGAGAGACAGCGAGAGAGGGAACACAAGCAGGGGGAGTGGGAGAGGGAGAAGCAGGCTTCCCGCTGAGCAGGGTCTGGGATCAGGACCTGAGGCAAAGGCAGATGCTTAACCATCTGAGCCACCCAGGCGCCCCTGTTCTGTCTTTTTGATGGTGGGATTCCTGCAGTCAGGCTCTTGATAATTCAGACTGTTGTTATGTATTGCTTTGCATTTGTAACGAATTCTCTTCACAATAGCTCTTGTCACCACACTTCAGTCTTCCTTTCTGGTGAGGCTGGACAGCTTCCTGAATGTTTGTTCCCTTGTTTGTGCCTTAGCTATTCAGACCCTTTGCATTTATCTATTGGTGACTTTTTAAAAGAAAATGATGACTTAAGAAGGCCCTCCTAGAGGTTTTAAAGTCTCAGCTTACCCACTTCTCAGAACAAACCACAGAGATAAAAAGCAATAAATAAGAAAAGCGGCAGCAGAAAAGCTTGTGGCCTCCGGAACTGTAAGAGAGTAAATTTCTGTTGTTTTAAGGTACTGTGCTTGTGGCAAGTTGTTACCGCAGCCACAGGAAACTAATACACCAGGCACACAGCTTGCTCATCCGTGGAAGGGTTTGTCAGCCGATTTGTCAGCAAGTAAGGTAAGGGGACTGTGGCTCTGGTTTACGATTAAGGCCATTGCTCCGGCAAAGCCCAGCCTAGAGCGTGGCTCATCCTCCGATGCTGCAGAAACCAGACCCCACATCCACCAACACTTTGCTTTACTTTCTGCTCATCCATAGAGATGTCAGTGCTGCTTTTTGTGCCTGCTGTGTCTCTTACATGTTTTGTTTTGTTTTGTTTTAAGATTTTATTTATTTAGGGGCGCCTGGGTGGCTCAGTCGTTAAGCGTCTGCCCTTGGCTCAGGTCATGATCCCAGGGTCCTGGGACCGAGCCCTACGTCGGGCTCCCTGCTCAGTGGGGAGCCTGCTTTTCCCTCTCCCACTCCCCCTGCTTCTCCCTCTCCCACTCCCCCTGCTTGTGCTCCTTTTCTCGCTGTGTCTCTCTCTGTCAAGTAAATAAATAAAATCTTTAAAAAGGGGGGGGGGGGGCGCCTGGGTGGCTCAGTTGTTAAGCGTCTGCCTTCGGCTCAGGTCATGATCCCAGGGTCCTGGGATTGAGCCCTCCATCAGGCTCCCGGCTCAGCGGGGAGCCTGCTTCTCCCTCTCCCACTCCCCCTGCTGTGTTCCTTCTCCCGCTGTGTCTCTGTCAAATAAATAAATAAATCTTAAAAAAAAAAAAAGATTTTATTTATTTATATGAGTGAGAGAGGGAGAGAACAAGCATGAGTTGAGGGAGGGGCAGAGGGACGTCCACATTCCTGGAAGGTGACACCCCAACTTCTACACTCGGGAAACTCCCGGACCTCACCCCATGTATCTCTTTATCTAGTTGTTCGTCTGTATCCTTTATCGTATACTTTAATAAACTGGCAGATGTATATGTTCCCTTGAGTTCTGTGAGCCACTCCAGCAAATAATTGGATCCAAGGAGGAGGAGGTCATGGGAATCTTCACTTTGTAGCTAAGTCAGAAGTTGTGGGTAACCTGGGGACCTGCTCCTTGTGATTGGCATCTGAAGTGGGTGGGCAGTCTTGTGGAAGTGAGCCCTTAACCAGTGAGATACGATCTGCTGGTGTCACAGAGAAGTGTTTGGTATGGGGAAAAAACCCACACATTTGGTGAGCAGAAGGGTCAGAAGTGTTAGGAATACTGGAGTAAAGGAGAAATTCAGGAGAAAAGACTGGGTTTTTCCCAACTCATTGTCTGAACCAGCGCTCCATGTGTGTACTTTTAATCCAGAAAGTAACTTCCAGAGCTTGTGGAGGAATTTGAACTTTAACCTGAGGATAGTGGGAACCTGCCACACAGTGACAGAAGCTGCAATCTACCGTGGTCCCTATGGCTTGCTGGGAGAAGGGGGAAAGACAGGCCACGGGACCCAGTCGGATCTTCTCCAGCAGGCCGAGCAAAAAGCAATGGCTAGGCCAGACGTCAGAGACCAAGGGTGTGGAGAGGCACATGATATTTGAAACGTGGGGACCCTGGGTCTTTGCAGCTAACTGAACGTGACAAGTGAGAGTGAAGGAGGGGTCGAGAAGGACTTCAGGTGTCCCAGCTCAACCTCCTGTATTTTCAGTACACGTGTGAAGATCAGAGAGTCAAACATTTCCAGGTTAGGAAGTACACACGTGAGTGGTCGGTCTGCAGTGCATCAGGTAGAGACCACGTGTAGGTTTGTGGCCCCGGAGCCTCTACTTTCGCCATCACCTCTCCTCCGTCCCTGACCCTCCTGCCTCCCTCTTTATCAGGATCATTGTGTTGACATCAGGCCCACCAGAAAATCCGGAGAATCTTCCCATCTCAAGATTCTGAGCTAAATCACGTCTCTGGAGTCACTTTTGCCTGCATGGTAACATACTCACAAGTCCTGGGGACTAGCACATGGAAATCTTTTGGGGGCCATTAGCCAGCCAACCACAGACATGGTCAAAAATTCTGCAAAACCCTAATCAGTGTGCAGAGGGGGATCAGGTGAGACAGGTGCCCTGTGCCACGGGCAGACGAGGAAAGGATGGCGTGGACACAGGTTTAGTGGCATTCTGGTGCGCGACAGCCTTTTGTGTGGGTTCTCCTTGCGGTGAGTGAGAGGTGAGTGTCCTCAAAGTTTGCTGTCATTTCTGTCCTGAGTAGCTTCTGAGTTTTCCATCTTACTCAGGAAGAGAAGATGATGAAAATAAGGAGGGCTGGGGCGCCTGGGTGGCTCAGTTGGTTAAGCGACTGCCTTCGGCTCAGGTCATGATCCCAGGATCCTGGGATCGAGTCCCACATCGGGCTCCCGGCTCAGCGGGGAGCCTGCTTCTCCCTCTGACCCTCTCCTCTCTCATGCTGTTTCTCTCTCGCTCGCTCTCTAATAAATAAATAAATAAAATCTTTAAAAAAAAGAAAAGAAGAAGGGCTGAGTGAGCCAGATTTTCTGCAGCTCTGCTAATCTGTGAGATTGGCCCAGAGCTGGAGTCCTCGTGCTCCCGGGACACGGCCTTGCCCTTGTAGAGCGGCTTCTCAGCCTTGGCAGTGTTGATGTTGGAAGCAGAGTCATCCTCTGGTAGGGGAAATGTTGAGTACTGCCTCGTACTTCTACTCAGGCCTCTGCAAGTTGTGACAACCACATGTCTTCATTTTTTTTTTTTTTAAAGATTTTATTTATTTGAGAGAGAGAGTGAGAGACAGCACAAGAGGGAAGAGGGTCAGAGGGAGAAGCAGACCCCCTGCTGAGCAGGGAGCCCGATGCGGGGCTCGATCCCGGGACTCCAGGATCATGACCTGAGCCGAAGGCAGTCGCTTAACCAACTGAGCCACCCAGGCGCCCCAACCACATGTCTTCAGACGTTGCCAGATGTCCTTGAGGGCAGATCTGCCCCCAGTTGAGAACCACTGCTGTACAGAAAGGGCCAACTTTCTCACACTTCCTGGAGAGGTTTCTCTTTGTGGGTCCTTTAGTTGAGCCTGAGACTCACTTTGTAGGGGTTTCCCCAAGCAAACAGACATTTTATCAGGTAGGATCTCCCCAGGGGCTCAGAGGTTACCTCCCAGCAGCTGGTCCGGGAACAGGCCTTCCTTTGGAATGTGTGGGGCATGGACCACCCAGGCCTGCTGAGTCGACGTGTTATGCACGCTCATATGTTAGATGTGTGCTGTGGACAGTGTGGACGTTCCGGCGTCATTGTGGATGGATGGAACTTGTACCTTTTTTGGTATGGGGGTGGTTCTGTTCTTTTAAGTTAATGCTGGGAGTCAGGTAAATGTGTACACCAGCTCTAAGAGTTGGAAGTTGAACATTTTGTCACAGACTTATGTTCTGTCTTAAACGTTTTTTAGTGGGATACAAATGTCCCCCCCCCCCCCCCAAATTTCTTATTTGACAGCTGTTGGAATCATTTGGGCATTCCATTTCTTGCATGGGTATTGCTGCCTTGTCTGGACTGGCCTGAGTGCCAAGCTAAGAGACAACCCTGAATTTGGAAGCCATTGTCTTCCGCTTCAGTAGTGAACTGGCTACTCCGGACTCTCCTCTGTTTATTCATTTGCTTGCTTGCTTAAAAGTTTATTTATTTATTTATTTTTAGAGAGTGCATGCATGGGGAGGGAGGGGAGGGAACAGAGGGTGAGGGAGAGAAAGAATCTTTTTTTTTTTTTTAAGATTTTATTTATTTATTTGAAAGAGCACATGAGAGGGGGGAGGGCCAGAGGGAGAAGCAGGCTCCCTGCCGAGCAGGGAGCCCGATGCGGGACTCGATCCAGGGACTCCAGGATCATGACCTGAGCCGAAGGCAGTCGCTTAACCAACTGAGCCACCCAGGTGCCCCAAGATTTTATTTATTTATTTGACAGAGAGACACAGTGAGAGAGGGAACACAAGCAGGGGGAGTGGGAGAGGGAGAAGCAGGCCTCCCGCGGAGCAGGGAGCCCGATGCGGGGCTCGATCCAGGGACTCCAGGATCATGACCTGAGCCGAAGGCAGTCGCTTAACCAACTGAGCCACCCAGGCGCCCCGAGAGAAAGAATCTTAAGCAGGATCCACACCCAGTGCAGAGCCCAACACATAGGCTTGACGCGGTGCTCAGTCTCATGACCCCGAGATCATGACCTGAACTGAAATCAAGAGTAGGACGCTTAACTGACTGAGCCACTCAGGTAGCCCAGCACTCTCCTTTCTATGGTGATTCTCAGAGGACTTGAGTGCTCGTTTTGCCTGAAGGATATTAGGTTTGTGTGACAAAGAGAGGTTGGGACCCACCATGAAGGTGATGGCCAGAAAAGAGTGTCTGCAGAATTAAGTTTGGGAAAGGAGTTCTCAGACCCCAGCTGTGTTGGAAGCAGTAGAGTTCTCAAAACAGATTGTCTTGGAAACGAGAGAGCACAGTGGGAAGCTGCCTCTGGGGCTTTTGTGGTTTTAGCAGCTGCAAGTGTTGAGGTCCCGGCCCATCTGTAGGCACTGTGCGCCTGCTGGCTCTGGCCAGGAGTGGCCCCCAACACGCTCTCCAGGGAGCTCAGGACCTAAGAGAAACCCCAGCACCTGGACAAGCTCAGAGAGATGACACTGGTTGAGGAACTGACCCAAACACTTGAAGGCGAAGGTGAGAACTGCCAAAAACGTGAGGCATGGAGAGAGAGCACACTTGCCCTGATATGTGACTTGATTCTTGATTCTCCAGGGAAATGAGTTTTACAGAGAAAGTAGAATAAGAAAAATGCCAGCATTCAGTCCTGGGAGAATAGCAAGTGTCTGCCTCCTGGAAGCAATGAATGAGAGGCCTGGATTTCCCTGGGCTTCCAGCCCAGATGATACCTGTTCTGTTTCAGAGGGGTGAGGGTCCAAGGTTCTCTGACCTGGATGGCACCATACAGATGCAAGATGCTATCTGGCAGAATGAGCAGTAGCTCCGTGTGAACAAATGCACAAACGCAGCATACATTTCTGGAATGTTGGGTCATCTGGAATGACCAGTGACTAGATAGATGGTGTGTGTGCACACAGGTGTAGATGTGCTTTTGATACAAGTGGGTGAGCAGGAGGTAAATATGGGGAAGGGTTTAAGGCAGGATGTAGCAGGATTTTTGCCTGGCTGTCTCAGTGGGACAGTGACAGGACTGCAGCCAAGCTATTAGATAAGTAGAGTGTGGGAAGCAATGACAAAGTCCAGTAAAGTATCGGATGATAGGTGTGCCCCCCACACACAATGGGGCAGCATCCTGCACCTTCAGAGTGGCTTTGGGGAGTGCGCACCTGGGACAGCACCCCCCAACAGAGTGCTCTTAGCTGTCCTCTTGGGGATTTTCATCCTCCTTGTCCCCATCCCCTCCAACCCCATTTTTGGAAACCAGCTGATGTTTTACTGTGATACTTAAAAAATTGTGCATCTTTTTTTTTTTTTTTTTTTTTGGGAAGCCAGCTCATGTTTCACTGGTATTCAGAAATTGTACAGTTTTCTTGAGACATCGGCTGATGTTTCATTGGGATATTTTAAAATTGTACTGTTGTCTTAACTCTGCTTCTACCTCCCCCGATTTAGTCTCTTGAAATGACAGGAAAAACTGGCCAGTCCATTATTTGGGTGTTGAGGGATGGCTGTGTATCCGTGGGCTCACAGTTCAGATATACGCACATGTGCCTGGGCATTTTCCTTGAGCCTGGGATAGCCCAGGTCCATCCCTAGGCTCAGATCTGGGCAGGCTGGCCCATTCCACATCTGGAAAACTGGCTTGGCTGCCACAGCCGACCTCAGAGCCTGGGACTTTTTAAGGCACTTGGTCAGAGCCCTGTCTCCCAACTCCTCATACTCTAAGGGAATGTTCCTCAGAGGGCACTGGCAGCGCTCTCCTTTGTCAGGGGTTGAGAGTGGGCTCAGTCATGTGGGCTTACTGAGGTGGGGTGAATTCCTAATTGTTCCCTGCTTCACCAGCCCTGCCTCCTGAGGACCTCTGCCCTGCTCACGACAGCTTCTTCAGGTATGAGGAGGAAATGGAAGCACATTCTCAACGTGGTCCCATCGCAGGTGAGTTAGAGACCTTTTCTCTCTTTGCCTCAGTCTCCTTAGCTATAAAAATGGGTCCAGGGGGCGCCTGGGTGGCTCAGTTGGTTAAGCGACTGCCTTTGGCTCAGGTCATGATCCTGGAGTCCCGGGATCGAGTTCCGCATCAGGCTCCCTGCTCGGCAGGGAGTCTGCTTCTCCCTCTGACCCTCCTCCCTCTCATGCTCTCTGTCTCAAATAAATAAATAAAATCTTAAAAAAAAAAAAAAAAAAGGGCCCAGGAATAGCACCCACCTCCTCAGGCCAGCACATGAGAGCACTGTAATGCTGCCCTGTGCCTTCACGTGAAAGCCAAAGGCTCCCTGTAGATAAGCACCTCCCTGTATGGATGAACCAGGAGCTCCTAGGACCAGACTGAACATGCGTCTTCCACACCTGGTTCCCTGGGACAGGTCTCTGGCCCAGACTTTGTTTGTGATGGCTGCACAGCAGGCTCTTGAGGATGGGCAGAACTAAGCCTCCATACCCCACTCAGCCACCCTGGCCCTTGACCCTCACTAAGACTACTCACGAGGGCAGCCCAGAGTGTCCCCTTCAAGTGCCACAGTTGCCCTTCGAGGGCTCACAGTGCAGCACATAGTGGGGTAGGGGGCGGCTCCCTGACCTCATGTAGCGTCACCACACACATTGTCTTTGTGCTTCCTGGGTGCCAGGGGGTTACTTCCCCTCATGTCCTGTGAGACTCCCCGGTGCAGGGGGCTGCCTCCATGAGGGAGGGCAGCTCATGCCAGAGGAGTTCAGCGATGTGTCCATGTGTCCATCAAGTAACTTGTGAAGCTGAGATGCCAACTCAGGCCTGGCCCCCCAAGGCCAGGACACATGGCTGTTTGCCTCTCAGCCTTCTTTGAGAGCAGGCTTGACCCAGCGCTTTCTGTAAAGGGCCAGGTAGGAACTGTTTTAGGCTCTGTGGGCCACACACAGTCTTTGTCTCATTCTTTATTCACACAGTCGTTTAAAAATGTACAATTCAGTTCTTACCTGTGTTAGTCCATTCATGCTGCCATAACAAAATACCACTGGGTGGTATTAAGCAAAGACATTTATCTTCTCAAAATTCTGGCAACTGGAAATCCAAGATCAAGGTGCCAGCAGTGTTGCTTTCTAGTGGGGACTTTCTTCCTGACCTGCGGATGGCACCTTCTCTGGATCCTCACACGACAGGGAGCGAGGCCCCTGGTGTCACCTTTCTGCTTATAAGGATACCAATTTCATCGCATGAGAGCCCTGCCCTTATGACCTCCATTAGCCTTAATTCTATAAATTCCCCGTCTCCAAATACAGTCACTTTGCGGGGTAGGCCCTCAACATGTGAGGTTGAGGGGAAACAATTCAGCTTATGGCATTAGCCTTCTAAAAACATACCATAGCCCTTGGGGTGCCTGGGTGGCTCAGTCGTTAAACGTCTGCCTTCGGCTCAGGTCATGATCCCAGGGTCCTGGGATCGAGCCCCACGTCGGGCTCCCTGCTTGGAGGGAAGCCTGCTTCTCCCTCTCCCACTCCCCCTGCTTGTGTTCCCTCTCTTGCTGTCTCTCTCTCCCTCTGTCAAATAAATAAATAAATTACACACACACACACACACACACACAGCCCTGATTTGTCCTGTGGGCCAAAGGTTGCTGATCCCTGATCCCTGATCCCTGATTTAGAACAAGCTCCTTGACTTCAAGTCTGTGATTTTTGTAGAGAAGCTACGGGTGGGGATCTCTGAGTGGGGTTCCTATTGTTTCCTACTACAAAAAATCAGAAGCACTAGTGTGACCAGTGATAGATGAGACATCAGAGAGAAGTGAAAACACCATGGGCCTGGGTCTGTGTCTGATCCCAAAGGTGGGAACCCCATGAGTGCTCAAGATGTCATCTTGAGCCCACGTCCGCTCCCTCCCAGTGCTTCCCTATCCCCCTGACCTGACCTCCACACTGGGGAGGCGGAGGCCCATGGTAACACGGGTGATGTTTCAGCCACCTGTGAGCTTCAAGGACGTGGCTGTGACCTTCACGCAGGAGGAGTGGGGACAGCTGGATCTGGCCCAGAGGAGACTGTACCGCAACGTGACTCTGGAGACCTGCAGCCACCTGGTCTCTCTGGGTAAGACAAACTCTGCCCATCACAGCAGTTTTCTGCTTCAGGGACTCAAAGCTCTGGCTCTTCTTAAGGGTATGCCTGGGCTGCACCAGAGCATTCCAGAAATGGATTCCTTTGAGATACAGATCCTGAATATTGCCACTCGTTCCGTCTGAAAGGAGCCAAGCGTTTTGCTGGGAGTTTCCTTGGGATGTGGAGGGCCCTCCTAATTCATCCACATCTGACCCCAGGGACCGAGGGCTGGGCCAGAGGACACAGTTCTCCTCCGCTAGGCAGAGCACAAAGTCCTGTGTTTTTCCCCCATTGACCAGGGCTTCTGCTTTCCAAACCGGATGTGATCAGCTGGCTGGAGCAAGGACAAGACCCATGGAGGGCAGGACAGGGACCTCCCCGAGGTGAGTGCAGGCCAGAGACCTGGTGAGTTAACATGGTGAGATTGTTTCCTGCAGGACCCTGGGTCTGAGGAGGGGAGGAGGAGCACGGAGCTTCCCTGCATCCAAGGCAACCACATTCTCATCCACATAGGCCTGTCCCTCTGCCCCCAATCGATGAAAAACACATGTCACTGTTGTCCCAACATTTCTCATGTGTGGGTTCATTTCTGTTCCCATCTTCCCTTTGATCTTCACCCCTCAGCTTCTCCATCTATTCCCACGTCCTTGTGCCCCTCTCTTTTCTTTGGTCCCTCACCCTGACTTCCACCCAGGGCAGCAGCTCCTCAGATTTCTCCGTCACACCTGGTCTTTCCCCTGTACTTGGGTGTCCATCCCTCGTCTGTGTTGGACATTCCTACAACTTCTAGATGATCCAGAGGTGTGGTGAGAACTTGTGCATCCTAGGAAATGGCAAGGACCTATTCCTTCCAAAAGGATTCCTACTAAATCAATTCTTAGACTTGTTTTCCCACCTCTTCCCATCCCATAGGTCCACCTCCTTATATGTCCTCAGCCTGATTGGAACTCTTTTTTTTTTTCTTTAATAGCTGTATCGAGATACAATTCACATGCCATACGATTCACTCATTTAAAGTATGCAAAGGATTTTAGTATATTCACAGCATGTGCATCTATCAATTAATCAATTTTAGAACATGTTCCTCACCCCAACTAATTGGGCTGCTTCTGATTTTGTTGTTGTTGTTTTGTTTTAATTAATAAATTTTATTTATTAGAGCAGTTTTATGTTTACTGAAAGTTGAACAGAAAGTACAGAGTTCCTATAATCACCCTTCCCCACCATACACACACAGTTTCCTCTGTTATTAATATCTTGTATTCTGTGGTATATTTGTTACAATGGGTGAAGCTGTATCCACACATTACCAATAGAGATCGATAGTTTATGTTAGGTTCACTCTTGGTGTTGTGCATTCTGCAGGTTTGGGTAAATGTATAATGCCATATTTCCATCATGATAGTATCATGCAAGGTAGTTCCATTGCACTAAATATCCTTTGTGTTCCACCTGTTTTTCCCCTCCTTCCACCCTAACTCCTGGAAACCACTGGTTATTTTACTCTTTCTAGTTATACCTTTTCCAGAATGTCCTGTAGTTGGAATCATGCAGTATGTGGCCTTTCTTAACTGGCTTTCAGTGAGCGGTAAACATCATGTGTGTCCTTCACACCACCTTCTGACATTCCCCTAGCCAGAGGTGTTCGGTTTATCTTGTGTGTTCCTGCTCTTTCTTACCCCGTAACTCTCACCCACAGTCTCTGTTATTTTTTCCCTCTGAAGTGTCACCTAATTTTACTTGTCCTTGGTCCTTCAAATGATGCCATTCTGATTCAGTTTATGGGCAGTGTCTTTCTTCTCATCTATCCTAGATATTACTTTCTAACTGACTCATACAGTCTGTTTTCCTCATTTTGCAATTTTGACGGAGACACTGTATAAAATGTCTGACCTCCTTTGCCCAGTTTCCAATGACCAGGCACATCTTGGACACATCTTAGCCACCCAAAGACTTCTTTCCTTCTTCCTGTCTCCAAATACCCTTTCACTCCCTGTCATTGGGCCATTGTTTCATTCGAAAAAGTTCTCATCATCAGGGATTCCAAGGCAACACCAAAAAGGAACACAGCAGAGTCTTGGGAAGGAGAACAGTGTTGGTTGTGGAGGGTATTGGGCTCAGATAAGGACTTTGGGAAAGGGAAGTGTCCCCCTGGAAGTCAAAGGAGGGCCACAGAGTGTAGTTAATATTTTACCAAATGGAGGATCCTTGTCTCCTTAGCAGACTTGGAGAGTGAAGCATGGGGACTTGATCAGAGGCCTCGATAGTACTAGACGTGGGTGGCTATGTGACTGAAATGGGAAGAGTGACAAGTAAAGGGGGAATCTTGGAGGACCCAGGCAAGGTCCTGAGCTGGGAAGTTGCTAGTTAGTGAAGCCCAGTTGCAGCCCAGCCTGGCCAACTATTGCTTCAAGTACTACAGTCCTTTCTGGGAAGTCTGTGGCATTGGTTACAGAGTGGTTAAAGAGCTTCTCTTCTGTGGGTAGCCTGAAGAAATAGTAGAAATGGTGTGTTAAGAATATTAAGTCAGTGTTGGTGTTTGGGATCCTGTTTCAAGATCCAGAATCAGAAAATAGATAGACTAAGAATTGGGGTCAGTAGTCTAGGTTGAGGTACCAGTTAAGCTCCTGTATTAATTTCCTGTGGCTGCTGTAACAGATTTCCAGTTGGGTGGCGTAAAACAACATGAACTGATTCTCCCACAGTTCTGGAGGCCAGAAACCTGAAATCAATACCATTGGGCTGAAATCAAGGTATAGAGTCAGGCTCCCTTGGAGGGGTCCAGGAGGAAATCTGTTCCTTGCCTCTTCCACCTTCTGGTAGCTGCGGCATTCCTTGGCTTGTGCCCACATCACTTCAGTCTTTAAGGCCAGCATCTTCAAATCTCTTTGTTCCATGTTCATATCACCTCTGTATCAAATCTCTACCTCCCACTTGTAAGGACACTTCTGGTGACATTTAGGGCCCACACAGATACTCTCCCTATCTCAATTTCCTTAATTTTTGGACCTGCGAAGACCCTTTTTCCAAATCAGGTACCGTATTCACAGGTACCAGCAATTAGAATGTAGATATCTTTGTGATTATCGAAGGCTGTATACCTTTAGGTCCAATTCTTTTGTGGATCCCTCCTTTAATCTCTACCTGCTTATTCTTACTCCTCCCTCTTTGGGGACCAGTCCTCCTGGGTCACCTCTTCATTATCTTTCCTTTTTTTTATACTTTATCACTGATACCCTGTTTACTGATCCATCTCCTTTTTTTTTATATCCTGCATGAAATTATAATCCATGGATTAGAAACAAACCCAGAGATACCTCTCATACTTGGTGGTCTCCTTCATCCCATCCTCCCCCTCTAATGCATCTCCAGTAATTCAGGTATATTGGATTTCTTTCAGACTGGAAGAATACATTTGAAAAGAAAGAGTCAGCTTCCAAAGAGGATTTTGCTGTGGAAGAACCATTCCATCACATAGCAATGAAACACTGCATACGGGAGGAAGGCCCCTGGTTGGTGTCATTAGGAGAAAGGCAGGATTGGAGGAACCAGCTAAGGGAGCACCAGGAGGACTCTTTGAGTCAAATGGTACTTACCTCAGAGACACTGTTTGCTCAAGGGGAACATTGTGAGCATGACCTTGGGGGAAGTTACTTGAGTATAAGCCTTTTACCTCCAGTATTACCCACAAGAGCACATGTCCATACTCTTGACTCACATGTTAAAAAGTTGGAACAGAATTCAGGTTTCATTAATCATGAGAAAGGCTGGACTGATCGGAAGCCCTATGAAAATCACCAAAGTGCTAGAGCCTTCTGTCAGAGCATTTATTTGAAAAAACTTGGAAACGTTGAAATGAGAAATAAAAAGCCTTACGAATATACTGTCAGTAGTGACTCTTTCAGCTGTGGTACCTCCCTTCGATTTCATAATAGACTTTTTTCAGCAGAGAACAACAGTAACTGCACAGACTATGGAAACATTGTTAATCATAGCATGTCTCCAAATGAACATAAGCCGATGCATTTTAGAGAATGTCAGGATGAGCGTGATGAATGCCTTGTACAAACCGAAATAAGTGATCCTAGAGAAGCACCATTTAGATGTGAGGAGGAACGTAATGCCTTCCACACAGCCTCATCTTTTACTGACTGTGACATCGTTCAGACAGGAAAGAAGCCACATGCATGCCGTCAGTGTGGAAAATCTTTCAGCTGTGCCTCTAAGCTTGTTGTACACCAGAGAACACACACTGGAGAAAAGCCCTATGAATGTACTCAGTGTGGGAAGTCTTTCAGCCAGAGTTATGACCTTGTTGTACATCAGAGAACCCACACTGGAGAAAAGCCCTATGAATGTAACCAGTGTGGGAAATGCTTCACCCAGAGTTCCAAACTTACGAGGCATCAGCGAACTCACACTGGAGAAAAACCATATAAGTGTCATGAATGTGGAAAATCTTTCGGATGGAACTCTAACCTTATTGTACATCAAAGAATTCATACTGGAGAGAAACCCTATGAGTGTACTCATTGTGGAAAGTCCTTCAGCCAGAGCTCTGACTTTGTTTCACATAAAAGGACTCACACTGGAGAGAAACCCTATAAATGTAACCAGTGTGGAAAGTCCTTCATTCGAAGCACTCAACTTATTAGGCATCTGCGAATTCACACTGGAGAGAAGCCGTATAAATGCAATCAGTGTGATAAAGCTTTCGCTGGTAGCTCTCACCTTATTGAGCATCAGAGAACTCATACTGGAGAGAAACCTTTTGAATGTAATCAGTGTGGGAAAACCTTTACTGGGAGCTCTCACCTTCTTTCACATCAGAGAATTCATTCTGGAGAGAAACCATATGAATGTAACAACTGCGGGAAATCTTTTCGGCAGCGATCACAGCTTGTTGTGCATCAGCGAACCCACACTGGAGAGAAGCCTTATGAGTGCAGTCATTGTGGAAAAGCTTTCAGCCAGAGGTCTCCCCTCGTTGTGCATCAAAGAACACACATTGGAGACAAGCCCTATCAGTGTAACATGTGTGTTAAAGCCTTCAGTCAGAGGTCACGCCTTATTGAACATCAGAGAACACATACTGGAGAAAAGCCCTATGAATGCATTGACTGTGGAAAAGCCTTTAATGATCGGTCAACACTTACAAAACATGAGAGAACACACACTGGCGAGAAACCTTATGAATGTAATCATTGTGAAAAGGCCTTTAGTCAGCGATCTCAGCTTACTAGGCATCGGAGAATTCATACTGGAGAAAAACCCTATGAATGTAATGAATGTGGGAAGGTTTTCAGTTATAATACATCCCTTATTCAACATGAAAAAACTCATGGGAGATACCTCTGAAACAAATAATGCAATATATGTTAAGAAAATAAAGAAGAAGGGGCGCCTGGGTGGCTCAGTTGTTAAGCGTCTGCCTTCGGCTCAGGTCATGATCCCAGGGTCCTGGGATCGAGCCTGGGATCGGGCTCCCTGCTCGGTGGGAAGCCTGCTTCTCCCTCTCCCACTCCCCCTTCTTGTGTTCCTGCTGTCCCTATCTCTCTGTGAAATAAATAAATAAAATCTTTAAAAAAAAAGAAAAAGAAGATAGCAGGAGGGAAAGAATGAAGGGGGGAAATCAGAGGGGGAGACAAACCATGAGAGATGATGGACTCTGAAAAACAAACTGAGGGTTCTAGAGGGGAGGGCGGGTGGGAGGATGGGTCAGCCTGGTGATGGCTATTAAAGAGGGCACGCTCTGCATGGAGCACTGGGTGTTATGCACAAACAATGAGTCATGGAACACTTCATCTAAAACTAATGATGTAATGTATGGTGATTAACATAACAATAAAAAATTAAAACACTCATGGGAGAAAGTTGAATACTAAAGATGGAGAAGCTCACTGCCAAACCTTCATTAGACATCAGCTGACAAAGGTATGACTCTGTGTGGTCTAATGATCACGTGCATCAGATTTGCTCAGTGTTCTTGAAACTGCACATTACCAAGCTTACCTTGATCTACTAAATCAGATTCTCTGGCAGTAAAACCCAGGCCTGCAGTTCCCAAAAGGTGCATAAGTAATTTGTATGTACATTAAAATGTGTTTATGTCTGCATTTAGATGAGAAGCTATGAACATACCACTGATTTAAAACTTTATCAAGGTCTCAGCAGGAGTTAGGAAATTCAGTATGTAGCTATACTCACCAAATAATTTTTTTTTAGCGGAAACAACTACCCGAACTTTAATCAGACATTGTTCCTGTAACACATTCCTAGAAATAGTGGACTGGAAGATATTCTCTTTTTTTATTTTATTTTTTTGGACTGGAAGATATTCTTGATGCAAAGCCGCGAACACTCAATCTAAGAAGAAATCTTTGCATGACAAAGTTGGTGTTGAGTGATGAAATATGAAGCCAGCCAATGTAAAACAGTTAACAAATTGGAGGAGGACTGAGGATGGAAAGTCTTCTGAAATGGTTCTAATTGGAATTAAAAGTAGACTCTGAATGTATCAAGGACTCCATTGTGCTCTAATTTAACTTTGTTGCTCAGTTAGGTTGACTATAATCAGAGCTGGGGATATAGCAGTATGGAAAATATCAAGTGAAGTGAAAACAGAACCCAATGTAGTATATACACAAAATGTCATAACCACATAAAAAACATGTACACAGATGGTTGGTTAAGAAAGTCAGCTCAGGGCCGCCTGGGTGGCTCAGTCGTTAAGCGTCTGCCTTCGGCTCAGGCCATGATCCCAGGGTCCTGGGATCCAGCCCCGTGTGGGGCTCCCTGCTCGGCAGGAAGCCTGCTTCTCCCTCTCCCACTCCCCCTGCTTGTGTTCCTCTCTCACTGTGTCTCTCTCTTTCAAATAAATAAAATCTTTTAAAAAAAAGCTCAGCAGCATGTTCGAAACAAAGGCTGAAGTGTAAATCAACAGTGGTGAAGAAAGTGGGAGAGGCCTTACCTGCAAATTTGAGCAAGGTGAAAGAAGGTATGAGAGCATCACCTGGAGATGCAGAGTGGAAAGGCTGAAGCTAGGATCATGTGAAGAGAGGGCTGCAGCAGTTGAGGCCACAGCTCCCTAGCAGAGCTGTACACCAAGAGGTGGGGGAGAAAAATGGGGTTAATTGAAGATCTGTCTATGAAACTCCAACAAATTTTCTCTTCCTTCTCCCCTATTTTTCTTGTCTTACAGTGAGTATCTGGCTGTTGGTAAGGAGAAAATAAAGTAGGAAGGAAGTTATGTACTAAAAATAGTCTGGGGGACTAGGGAATTTGGTGGATTATGTTCCAGAACAAGGACTGCCTTATTTGAGCATCCTGAGGACCTTCACCCTAACAGCTAGTTCTTGTACTTCTCACCCTCTAGAAAAGCATGCCATTAAACTGGTCTCACCCACCACTATCTTCTTTGATAGCCTCTTCAATATGGATGGGAGCCAAGGTGTGAAAGATGAAGAAAGCCTTCAACATGAAAGAAAAAAAAAAGTAAGATAAAACAGAAGCCAGGCCCAAAGAGAACAGATATTTGGGGAACCAAATATGTAAAAGTTTTATTCTAAGAGTGAGTCAAAAAATAATTGCAAGTGAAAAATAAAGATGCTCTTTTTAAGATGGATTTTTTTAGCGAGAGAGCAGGGGGGGAGGGGCAGAGGGAGAGGGAGAGACGATCTCAAGCAGACCCCGTGCTGAGTGCAGAGCCCAGTGCTGGGCTTGATCTCACGACCCTGAGATAACGACTTGAGCTGAAACCAAGAGTCAGATGCTTAACCGATTGAGCCACCCAGGTACCCCAAGATCTATGTATTTGACCCTGATGCTAATACTTCTTAGAAGAGGCAGAGGAGGAGCGTCTGGGTAGCTCAGTTGGTTAAGCGACTGCCTTCGGCTCAGGTCATGATCCTGGAGTCCCAGGATCGAGTCCCGCATCGGGCTCCTTGCTCAGTGAGGAGTCTGCTTCTCCCTCTGACCCTCCCCGCCTCATGGTCTCTCTCTCTCATTCTCTCTCTCTCAAATAAATAAAATCTTAAAAAAAAAAAAAAAGAGGCAGAGGACTCATGAAATTGGAATAAAAGGGGGGGATATATAATCAGATTGTTCTGATTGGCCCTTCACTGAACAGTATTTGCATAGATATGATATAAACAGTAGGTACTGAGTTTTTGTTTTTGCTTTTTGCTTTTTTTAAGGAAGAAAGCCAGGCTGCGACAGGAGGATTTCATAATGGCAAGAGTATGATGTTCCCAGCACTGTGACTAACAGTAATGGTATGGTCTCTGGCTGTTGTAAAGTAGAAGGGGAAAGAGACAGTGGGGAGAGGAGTATCCCTGTATCCTCATCTTAGGAAGCAGCCTCTTGACTATAATATGATACATAGGTTATTTAGGAGACCAAAATTAGAGCATAAAACGGTAATAATTCCAGAAATTGGAAGCAAATAGAGGAGCAACAGTGTGAGCCAAATCTACATTCCTTATCAGAGCAGGAAGTCAGTAAAGTCTACAGGCCATAAAAGATCAGAATTACAGGGGCGCCTGGGTGTCAGTCGTTAAGCGTCTGCCTTCGGCTCAGGTCATGATCCCAGGGTTCTGGGATCGAGCCCCGCGTCAGGCTCCCTGCTCGGCGGGAAGCCTGCTTCTCCCTCTCCCACTCCCACTCCCCCTGCTTGTGTTCCCTCTCTCGCTGTCTCTCTCTCTCTCTGTCAAATAAAGAAAGAAAATCTTAAAAAAAAAAAAAAAAAAGATCAGAATGACAGAGATGGCCTCAGGAAGAACTGGAATAGAAACAGTTAAAAGTTCTTGATGGGATGTGTGACTGTTGGGTAGGGTGGGGCAGGAGATCACTGGTTTTCTTTTTATACCTTCCGTAGTAACTCATTCCCTGGTGGTACACTACTTATTTGGGTAACAAATTATTTCCAATATGTACCTATAGGTGAGCAAAACAACAGTACATGAGGACATCTGCAATTGATTTGTGGGATTACATACAGTTTTCTTTCTTTTGATTCGGTGTTGCAATAATAGATTGACAATTTAAAAAACAAGAGCACAAAAAAACGATGTCAGACTTTTCTATCTGGCCAATTAGACTTCATCCAGAAGGGCAGGAAGGCTCCTTGATTTCTTAGAAGTCCCTGGTATCAAAGGGGGGTGGCTTAGTCTTTTAAGACTTGATTTTCCAGAAGCCTTAATACCAGTCAGAAGGCCCCCAAGAGTGGGGACCTGGAGAGGTGCGGGTATCCTGAGACAAGATGGAGCAAGACAGTTGTGGGAGTTTGCATAACCAAGTACTGACCGTACTTCCCCCAAGGTCACTCTGGCAGTTACCTGGAATCTGTCATAAAGCCCTTTAAGTAATATAGCTCTTGTGATTCATATGAGACCTGAGGTTGAGATGGAAAATACCTTGGCTAGGGCATCCCGCACAGAACAGGTGGGGACTTACTTCCTGACTGGCTAGTGGGTCCTGCTTGCTGCCTACACCAATGTTACTACATAACTCTCAAGAGATGCCAGAGCGTGGGAGGAAGAACCTGCCCAACAGATCAGCAAAGTGCACGTTGATTGACAGTTCTTGTTGACCAGACATCTGAGAGGTGTCTGCATTCAGCAAGTCATGAATGTAGCCTCCATTCAACGAAGGCACTGCTAGAGACTCAGGCACGGATGTGTGTGATGCCACAGTGTCCTCAGGTCCCTCTTTCCATAGTGGAGACTCCACGCACAGGCTTAGTGGCTATGTGCGCCTAGAGACTACGCCCAGTGGGAATTGGAAGGAGATGGAGATGAAGGGATAGGGAAAGGAAGGATGCAGCTGCTGCTGTGTATGCAACCAGTGCCTAGGCCCTGCTCTGATAGGTGTTCTACCTCCTCCTAAGTGAGAAACCTGAGGCTCATCGGAGACCCAAGAAGTGGGCTCATTTGAAATAGGAACCTGAGGGGTGCCTGGGTGGCTCAGTCGGGAAGCGTCTGCCTTCGGCTCAGGTCAGGATCCCAGGGTCCTGGGATCGAGCCCCGCATTGGGCTCCCTGCTCCACGGGAGGCCTGCTTCTCCCTCTCCTACTCCCCCTGCTTGTGTTCCTGCTCTCTCTCTCTCTCTGTCAAATAAATAAATAAATAAAATCTTTAAAAAATAAAAAAATAAAAAAATTCCCTCTGTTAAAACAAATGGTGTGTTAAGGGGCACCTGGATGGCTCAGTCGTTAAGCATCTGCCTTCGGCTCAGGTCAGGATCCCAGGGTCCTGGGATCGAGCCCCGCATCGGGCTCCCTGGTCCGCGGGAAGCCTGCTTCTCCCTCTCCCGCTCCCCCTGCTTGTGTTCACTGTCTCTCTGTGTCTCGTTCTGTCAAGTAAATAAATAAAATCTCAAAAAAAGAAAGAAAGAAGAACCTGAGACCTTTCCACCCGAATGATTCCCATACCCAGAGGCCAGTGGTTTCTGACTGAAACATGCGTAAGACCCACCTGAGAGAAGCAATTAGAATTGCACGTTCCTGGGCGCATCTTCAGAGAGTCCACTTGGTCAGGCTCAGGTGGTTTCTAGATATTTGCATAGTTCAAATACACTTTCTATTTTTTTCTTAACATTTTGGGGGTTTTTGTGTGTGTGTGTGTGTGTGTTTTGTTTTGTCTTTTAAAGATTTTAAAGTAGGGGCGCCTGGGTGGCTCAGTTGGTTGAGCGACTGCCTTCGGCTCGGGTCATGATCCTGGAGTCCCGGGATCGAGTCCCGCATCGGGCTCCCTGCTCGGCGGGGAGCCTGCTTCTCCCTCTGACCCTCCCCCCTCTCATGTGCTCTCTCTCTCTCTCATTCTGTCTCAAATAAATAAATAAAATCTTAAAAAAAAAAAAAAGATTTTAAAGTAATCTCTATACCCAATGGGCTCAAACTCACAACCCCGAGATCAAGAGTCGCATGCTCCACCAACTGAGCCACAGAGGCACCCCTATTTTTTTCTTAACATTTTGTAAAGAGTAATCTCAAAATTGTATATCCATGTATCTGTTTTATCTTTGTTGGTTTCATTTAAATTTGTGGCTTTTTTTTTCTTAAAAAAACTCTAAGTGATACCACATCTATTACATGTGACCCAGAGGCTCCTTTTAAGAAGAAACAGAAATCTATCCTCCTCCCCCTTTTCAGAATACAGGTATCAAAATAATCCTATGCATAATTTTGAACAAGCAGTGGAATTGTTGGGGGCCCACAAGGCCACCCCCACATCCAGAGATTTCTAGACGAATTCATAGGACTCAGCATATCATTGTACTCACAGCTAAGATTTATTAGAGTGATGCAGCAAGGATACACAGTTGGACCGTAAGGGGAAAGACAGGTGAAGGGTGGGGGAATCTATGTGCAGGTTTCCAATGCTGTCCCTCCCCTGAGAGGGTCATACAAAGCCCACTGAGGATCAGGCAAGTAGGCACTTCTGTCTAGCATGTAGCAAATTCCAGACTCCTGGAGAAAAGCAGGTGCTCAGTGCAAATCACATTGTTCGCATAGTCTAGGTACAGGGAGACATCTTTATTCAGTTGGGGTACAGACAACACTCTAAATGCCAAGTTGCCAGGGGTGCCTGGGTGGCTCAGTCATTAAGCATCTGCCTTCGGCTCAGGTCATGATCCCAGGGTCCTGGGATCGAGCCATGCATCGGGCTTCCCCGTGCTTCTCCCTCTCCAACTCCCCCTGCTTGTGTTCCCTCTCTCGCTGTGTCTCTCTCTGTCAAATAAATAAATAAAATCTTTAAAAAAATAAATAAAAGCCAGGTTGCCAGGTGCCAGCCAAGGGCCAACCTTGCAAACAGGACCTTGTAACAGTTGAAGCCTTGGGCCTGCTGTGTTAATCCTTTTTGTGCAAGCTTTCATACCTCTTCAAACATGAATATATTTAGCAGTATTCACAATACCTGTTCCATTAAACTGTTTAGACTGCACCTCTAGCTGCTCAAGTGGGTAAAGCACATGGTTCATATAATTCCTACTTGAGACTGGTTTTCAGAATCACACCTCTGCACCTCAGACCTGAGGTTCCTTGCCATGATTCCCTTTTGTAGACGTGAATCCCATTTGTACTGCTCCAGGCTTAGCTTAAAAGCCAGAGTACCCTGAGAAGAGAACAAAAAATGATGCTGGTTTTTTTTCTCTTATAAATACCCTAAACATAAAATGTGCATTTGTGTGTTAAACATTTTTAAAATTATTTTATTATTTATTTACTTAAAGATTTTATTTATTTGACAGAGAGAGACACAGCGAGAGAGGGAACACAAGCAAGGGGAGTGGGAGAGGGAGAGGGAGAAGCAGGCTCCCGGCCGAGCAGAGAGCTCGATATGGGGCTCGATCCCAGGACCCTGGGATCATGACCTGAGCCGAAGGCAGACACTTAACGACTGAGCCACCCAGGCGCCCCTAACATTTTTTTTTTTTTAAGATTTTATTTATTTATTTGACAGAGACAGAGACAGCGAGAGTGAGAGTGGGAACACAAGCAGGGGGAGTGGGAGAGGGAGAAGCAGGCTTCCCGCTGAGCACGGAGCCCAATGTGGGGCTCGATCCCAGGACTCTGGGATCATGACCTGAGCCGAAGGCAGCCGCTTAATGACTGAGCCACCCAGGCGCCCCAACATTTTTTTTTTAATGTGAGCTCTATGCTTACATTAAAAATGTGGGGTTTGAATTCATGACTTGAGTTCAAGAGTCAAATGCTCTACCAACTGAGCCAACTAGGTGCCCCGGTGTGTTAAACATTCGTAGTAATGTTCAGGTCGAGTTTACTAGCTGGAACTTTTATTTACTAGGCAGGCATGTCACATCATGGTAGTTAATAAAGACAGCATGAGCAGAATGGTATTGACCTAAGATGACTCTGAGATCCACTAACTAATTGTACTTTTGTCTTTCTGGGGGCTGTGGAAGCTTCTGGTTTTCTTTCAACATCATCAGCTGTTAGCATCTTAGCTCTTGAGGATATAATACTAAGGCTATATGAATTTTGCCAATAGGCTATCAAACAATGTGCTCTGTGTATATAATATTACCCAAGAATTATTTATACTATTCATATTCATTCAAGTAAGAAATGTGATGGAGGAGTTTCTGGATATTTAGGTCCTTGTTCCACTTCTAAAAAAATATTTATTTGTCAGAGAGAGAGCACAAGCAGGGGGAGCTGCAGGCAGAAGGAGAAGCAGGCTCCCCACTGGGCAAGGAGCCCGATGCGGAACTCAATCCCAGGACCCTAGGATCATGACCTGAGCCAAAGCTGCTTAACTGACTGAGCCACCCAGGCATCCCCTTGTTCCGCTTTCAGATTGTATATTCTATTTTCATAATCTGTCCTCTTGGCCCAATAATCTTACAGATTATGAAACTGGGCCAAGAGGACAGATTATGAACCTGCTTGCCCTCCACGTAAGTATCAGAGTTGTCTTCCTCATTGGCCCAGCTCACTGTGCTCCTTTTTGGTCTTCTTCAGGTTCTCAATGTGGAAATCACAGGGAACTTATCATCATCATCTCAGCACTTGCATCTGTCACCTGCTCCCCCACACAACTGAGGTGGGTGGTTGCAGATCTCACAGAGAGCAACTCACGCACGCTGTACAAGTGATTGTTGCCGCAGGGGGTGGAGAGGGAGTCAAGACAGGAGGCTTGGGTAATCAGCAACATCCATTATGGTTATGATTAGCTGGACAACACCCCCTTCCCCACCCACCCAACTGCCAACCTCAGTGGACAGAGACTGTAAATATTAAGTCAACTGTAAACAGACTTGGGTCACTGAAAATCAGGGTCTGTCTGTTACATCAACAGAACCTTGTCCATCCTGACTGATGCCATCTGACATTAAAAAAAAGGTAGTTTAAAAAAATAATTCTAACCCACTCACCCCACCTCTCACACACACAAAAATGTGAGCTCATGAGGGTAGGGCTTTTGTTTTCTTCACTGCCAAACAGTTCCTGCTATATAATTACCATTCTTTGTTGAAGAAATGTTGCAGAATAGTTTATTTTATATTATTTTTACATGAGCACTGGACGGATGATGGAGGCAAGAGAGAGGGGCAGATTTGGGGAGGAATTGGACAAGATTAAAGACTCATTAGTCACATTCAGTGAGTTTTCCTTAAGGAATGTGCTGTGTGACCTGGGGATCACTTATGCTCACCTCTCCATTCCTCAGTCCCCTCCCCTTAGATGATGGATGTTCTCCAGGTCCTATTGCCTACTGTGCAGGCTGGGACCAATCTGTGACTACCAGAGAAGAGGTTGACACAGGAGGTGTTAATCTTACTCTCTCAGAGGATGGGAATCAAGCAGTCATCCTGTGAGGGGATTCAGGGACACAGACTGAGTTGGTGGTCAAGTCTAGGCTGGAACTAGGATCTCTGGAGGGGAAAATGAAGCATCACTTCAAAACAAAGAGCCACGCCCAACTGTGTTCTCAGACACGGGATGGGGCACGGAACATGTGGAAAGAAGCCTTCCAGTTGGAGAAGATGTAATAGCTTGATGGTGGCTTCTGTGTCTCCTGCACACGTAGAAACCGTTCCCACATTGCTGCCCTCAGAGAGAGTGGCAGTGGATCACCCTTTGCCTACTGCACATTGAGGCCACACATCTAGGTAGAACACAGCTTGTGCATCAGTGCAAATCTGAGGATTCTACATCTGGCTGCTTCACAACAGGACCTTTCCCTCGTAGGTCTGGGGATTCCAGTCACCCTGTATCCTGACCTTGGAAATGCTCTGCTCCAATGGGGTTGCCTTCTCCAGCAGTCTTCCCGGTGTTTGGCCACAGCTGTGCTAAGCATCCCAGGAAGATGCTCATAGAAACCCAGCATCTTTCTCCCCTGAAATGTGAGGACAAGGGAGCTGTTCCTAGCTGCCAGGCAGAGGGCCCAGAGGGCTCCAGAGAGTCCAGAGCAGAGAGGGCACCCAATAAACACTGGATGAACTAACACATAATGACCACATGGTAAGGTAAGCAAATGGTCTGAAATTAGCTGGTAAAAATAAAGCTCAGACAATCCAAAGTGCTTAGAAGAAATGATTCAAACATAGCCTAGCAGTAGATACAGAGATCTAACCTAGGGAAATGCAAATTTAAAAGACTAGTCACTGTTCCATGCCCACTGGCTTTGCAAGGATTCTTTTAAAATTGTAAAGCCCATATATCAGGGGTTGGTGAGGAAGATGCACTGATGGAGAAGTGTCGAGGGGTATAGTTTCTGGAAAGACACTGGGATATGAAGAGCATTACAGGGTTTCAGACCACTTGATTCAATAACCTGTTCTGCAGGGAGTTAATTTATGTTAGTAAAGTTAAAATATACAAAGATTTTAAATGATCATGAACCAGGGCGCCTGGGTGGCTCAGACGTTAGGCGTCTGCCTTCGGCTCAGGTCATGATCCCAGGGTCTGGGGATCAAGCCCCGCATCGGGCTCCCAGCTCCGCAGGAAGCCTGCTTCTCCCTCTCCCACTCCCCCTGCTTGTGTTCCCTCTCTCGCTGTATCTCTGTCAAATGAATAAATAAAATCTTAAAAAATAAATAAATAAATGACCATGAACCTTTAGAAATAGTCCAACTGAAAAAAAATGGTAGAAACCAGGAAAATGGATAAATCTAGTCATTTGGGAAACCTTAATATATTCTCTCCTAAAAAAATGGCTGTTTAAGTAGATAAGTGATTTGCTGTGAAATGATGATTAACAAGCTTGACATAACGGTCACAATAGTTATATTCACACACTAATAAAACGCACACACACACACATTTGTGACTAACTAGGTTTTCAAACAGTTCAATACAGTATTCCTGTCAAGAGCTTGGTGAGCTTTCTGTGTCCTGACAAGTTTTTCACATCAGAAAACTTTCCTCAGTGGGTGTCTTGATCATTAGCTTCTCTCTCTGTCCCTCTTTCTCCATCCGGAGTCCCCATTATTCATCCATGAGGTCTTCTGGATCTGTCTACCAGGGCTATTATCTTTTTTTTTAGAGATTTTATTTATATGAGAGAGAGCACAAGTGGGAAGGGGAGGGGCAGAGGGAGAAGCAGACTCCCCACAGTGCAGGGAGCCCAACACAGGGCTCACGATCCCAGGACCCTGAGATCATGACCTGAGCCAAAGGCAGACCCTTAACCGACTGAGCCACCCAGGTGCCCCTGGGCTATTATCTTTTCCATCAAGATTCTCATTTCTTTATATTTTTGTCCTGTCATGAGCTATTTCTTTTTTTTTCTCTTTTTTTAAGATTTTATTTATTTGACAGAGAGAGACACAGCGAGAGAGGGAACACAAACAGGGGGAGTGGGAGAGGGAGAAGCAGGCTTCCCGCGGAGCAGGGAGCCCGATGCGGGGCTCGATCCCAGGACCCTGGGACCATGACCTGGGCCAAAGGCAGACGCTTAACGACTGAGCCACCCAGGCGCCCCTGTCATGAGCTATTTCTTCTGTGGTTCTCTACAGACACCCTCCTCCATTCCACAAAGGTTCTTAACTTGAAAGTCATTTTTTCAGCCCCAGAAATTCCCTATGCTCCAATTGGACCCCACTTTAAATGGATGAAATGAGACTAATATCTCAATAAAGTTGTTAAAAATAATAAGGAAGGGCCTTACATGCTTGTATAGAAAGATTTCCAGAATATTGTTAAATGAATAAAAGCAAGGAAAAATTCAATATGTGGTAGCCCACCACGTGTGTAAAAGAGTGAAAAAATATTTATACATATTTACTTGTGAATGCATAATATATCTACAGAAAGACCTCCAAGAAACTAAAAATAGTAGTTGCTAATGAGGAGGGAAGTTGGTGGTAGGAGTCAAGGACAGAGGAGGATCTCACCAGATACCCAATTGTACCTTCCGAATTTCAAGCCATGAGAATGTATTACTTGTTAAAAAAAAAAAGATTTTTTACATTTTTAAAAACAATGATGAGAGCCTGAACTAATGTCCTTGGGGTGGAAATAGGAAGGAAGGAGCAGGAGAGATTTTTAGGAGAGAAAAATCCACAAGCCACAGATTCACTTTTCTAATACTACATAGCATCCCAAACAGTGGTTTAAAACAATGCTTTCTTTAATTTCTTACCATTCCATAAGTTGGTTGGAATCAACTGGGTGGTTTCACTCACGGTCTCTAGTGCAGTTTCAGGTAGATACAACGGGAGCTGGATTCATTTGAAGGCTCAGAACAAGATGATGCACTGACAAACTGGCAGTTGATGCTGGCTGCCAACTGTGAGCTCAGCTGGGATTCTTTTTTTTTTTCTTTTAAGATTTTATTTATTTGACAGAAAGAGAGCACAAGCAGGGGAAGGAAAATTGGAAATAGACATGCACACAGGGAGAAGTCACGTGAAGATGAAGGCTGAGATCTACAGGCCAAGGGATGCCAAAGAGTGCCAGGAAACCACCAGAAGCTGAGAAAAGAGGAATAGAGCAGTCTCTCAGGCCTCTGAACAAGCAAACCATATAAAAACCTTGATCTCGGACTTCTAATCTCCATAATTGAGACAATAAATTTCTGTTCTTTAAGTCGCCCAGTTTGTGGTACTTTGTTATGGCAGCCCTAACAAATGAATACAATATTTTGTTTTGTTTAAAAAAAAAAAACAGGGCGCCTGGGTGGCTCAGTTGGTTAAGCGACTGCCTTCGGCTCAGGTCATGATCCTGGAGTCCCGGGATTGAGTCCCGCATCGGGCTCCCTGCTCAGCAGGGGGTCTGCTTCTCCCTCTGCCCTCTTCCCTCTCGTGCTCTCTGTCTCTCATTCTCTCTCTCAAATAAATAAAAAAAATCTTTAAGAAAAAAAAAACCCTACTTTATGGAAAATAACTACATTTTCCAAAACAAGTATTAGTGAAAAGAGTAGCACTGCATTATATTTTTGCAAATCTCTTTCATGTCCGGCTTGATGGAAAGCAGCTGGTTTCCAAAGCTGCTTGTGCCCTTCACAACTGCAGAACTCAGCACTGGAGAACTCAGTCCAAACCTCTACATTAAGAGACAACCAAACTCTAACAAGGCTTCTAGCAGCATAATGCTGTGTCCACAGCCTCCCCATAAAATGCCTGCCTAATGCCTCCCTGAGAAATGCCGCCAGGAGAAACTGCTGTTTGTTCTAGCCAACACCCAAGGATAGGCTCCTGACCTCCCTTTCTTACTGCATTTACTAAAAAGAGCTTAGACATCTCTTTGAGATGTCTGTGTATATCCTACAACTCAGAAGGATCTTTCTCAAGGACCTGAAAGCCATTCCTCTGAAATAGTATCATCAGGAAGGAGAGGGCTGCTGTCTCCAATCTCTGTAGGAAGATAGTATCCTAACTTTGATAATTACCAGCTGGTGCCACGGCATGGCTGACTTCAACATATTTACACTGACCAACACTTTATAATTTTCCACATGAGCCCTGCTCTCTACCCCTTCTAATTCTCTCATTATCTTTAAAAGGTCCAATCACCTCTGCACAAATGCAAATGGAGCTCAGTGCCTTCCCCTATTGTCAGCAGTTACTGAATAAAATGTTTTTAACCGTTTTATCTTTAACACTTTCAATCTGTTGCAATATTACTCATCCAGAAGCCTCCAGAAAACTCTAATGTACATTTGTGAGAGAATGGAAGGGGGGGGGGAAGCTACTATTATGCACTTAGTTTTGAACTCACCAACTCAGAGGAAGGGGCTCAGGAAACTCCAGGTGTTCCTCGCCCACACTGAGAACTACTGCAATAGACAAACCCTGTATAATATAATCAAGGAGAAAACAAAACTACGAGAAGTAGAAAATTCAAAATCAAAACAACAGGTAGGGGCGCCTGGGTGGCTCAGTTGGTTGGGCGACTGCCCTCGGCTCAGGTCATGATCCTGGAGTCCCGGGATCGAGTCCCGCATCGGGCCCCCTGCTCGGCAGGGAGTCTGCTTCTCCCTCTGACCCTCCCCCTTTTCATGCTCTCTCTCTCTTAAATAAATAAAATCATGGGGCACCTGGGTGGCTCAGTCGGTTGAGCGACTGCCCTCGGCTCAGGTCATGATCCTGGAGTCCCGGGATCGAGCCCCGCGTCGGGCTCCCTGCTCAGGGGAAGCCTGCTTCTCCCTCTCCCACTCCCCCTGCTTGTGTTCCCTTTCTCGCCGTCTCTCTGTCAAAAACCAAATAAAACCTTAAAAAAGAAAGGAAGAAAGAAATAGGTTCTAAGTACCATGGCAGTATATACTCCAAGGAGTGAAGCATGCCAGCTAGGACGCCCGGCCCGGGTTTCGAAGCAGGGCTCCCCATTCCAGCGTGGGCAGAGGGGCAGCTTCACGTGGGGCCGCGGCCCCGCGCAGACGCGAACCCCAACGGCTAGGCTGGGAGGGCGATCCCCCATGACCCGGGTTCCTTCGCAGCCCGTGCGCCCCCCGCCCCCCGCGCACCGGGCACGGAGACGCCCGGTTGCCCAGAGTCGGCACCCGCAGCCTCCCGCCGCCACCCGCCCAGCACCTCCTCGCCGGGTGTGTGGCAGGAGCGCCCCCAGTGCCCGGAGGCCCAACGGCCGGACGGTCCCGTTGACCTGAAGCCAAAAGGCTCTCATTGGCGGGAGGCTCGACGAACAAAGGTTTCCATTGGCCGGGCGCTGCGGCGCGCCGCACTGTCTTCTGGGAGTTGTAGTCGCAGCGTCCGCAGTGCGGCCGCCATTGTCCGGCGGGCGGCGAGTGGAGCGGTCCCTGAGGCCGGGGCTGCTCTCGGCTTTACGGCCGCTTCGGGCTCCTCTCCTCGACCTGTCGGTCCTGGATGAACCCCGAAGAGGAAGCGACGGCGCTGGCGATGACCACGGGGCTGCCAGCGGAGTGGCTTCAGGTAACAGTAATAGTAATAATAACAACGACGGCAGCGGGCCGAGCGTCTCCCGCAGCGCACGGTGAGCGGGGCCCGGGCCTTATCGCTCTTGACGCAGGAGGCCACTGAGGCGCAGGTCGGGGGCGCTCACTGGCCCGACCGGTAAGGGCGGAGCTGGGGCTCGGACCCGGCCGTCTGGCCCCGAGTGCGCGTGTGCGCGGGTACTCCTCCTCCCGTTCTGGGACTGGGCTTCGGCGCGTGCCCTAGGACGGGGCTGGCGCGGTCGGCGGAGGGCCTTCCCGCGCCCCGGAGGCCAGCAGCTGTGTGACGGGGTCAGTGGCGCGCCGAGATGGCCCGTGCTAACCGAGTAGAGATGATCTAATTCATGGAACACCCACCGAGAGCCCTGCTCCGCGAGGCCCCGGGCCCAGCCTCTGGGGGTAAGGACAGGTCACCGCGCACCGCATTAGTGGGGCGGGAGCGACTGCCGGGCCCCCCGCCCGCATTCCCCGCGGGGGCCGTGGGGGCACCGCAGCACTGGGCGGTCCGTGCTTGCGGGTCATCGGGAGGGTGCCTGATTGAAAGCTCCAGCATTTCTAGGCAAAGGGGCCGCCGCCTGTGTTCTCCATAAAGTGCTGTCTCCACGTGGCAGAAACCAAAAATACTTCGTAATTCCTGAAGCGCCACATCGTTGAAATTCAGCACTTACTGTCTTCTGCTGTTGTTTACAAGGATTTGCGTTATTTCATATTTAGCATGCCAAATGAGACTATTGGTAACCCTAGACCTGCATGTTTTCAGATGCGCATTAATGGTGCAACCACCCCTTATTTTGCTTTGGCTGTGGTCGGGGTGTGGCCGGGAATGAGCATTGTCAAAGTAAAACAGCTGGATAGTAATTAAAGCAGTCAGAAGAGATTTTATTCAGAAACTTTTGGAGTGGGGGAAAGAGACTTCAGTATGGAACTGGACTCGATTCCAAATGCAACACGTAAAGGTGGGAATTTATACCTGGGGTCGGGGGTGGGTGTAATTCTTGCTAAACTGACCTAACAGGATCCTTTATTATTATTATTATTGTTACTGTTACTATTATTTTTAAGATTTTACTTAATTTAGAAGCACATGAGCGGGGCAGGGGTTGGGGAGAGAATCTCCAGCAGACTCCACGCTGAGCACGGAGCCCCATGTAGGGCTTGATCTCATGACCCTGAGATCATGACCTGAGCTGAAACCAAGAGTAAGATGCTTAACTGACTGAGCCCCCCATGCCCCCCATGACCTAACAGGATTCTTTTTTTTTTTTTTTTTTAAGATTTTATTTATTTGACAGAGAGAGACACAGTGAGAGAGGGAACACAAGCAGGGGGAGTGGGAGAGGAAGAAGCAGGCCTCCCACAGAGCAAGGAGACCGGGATCATGACCCGAGCTGAAGGCAGATGCTTAACGACTGAGCCACCCAGGCACCACTCTAACAGGATTCTTGTCGAAGCAGGCCAAGTGATCAGATATTATTTGGAGGATCGTGGGGGATGAGGACTTTGAAAAGATATGGAGAGTGATCAGATATGGTGGGTGGGGATTCTGGCTAAACCAACTCTTTATGAGTCTGGGTGATGCAAAATGGACACAGAAGTCCAGAGGGCAAGACCTAGTTGAGAAGAAGGTTCAGAGGAGAGAGTCTTTGTTAGCAGTAAGAGAAAGTGTATTAGTTATCTGTTGTTGTGTAACAAATAACCCAAAACTTAGTGTTCCAAAACAACAATAAATATTACTTCAGTTTTTGATGATAGAAGTCCTCAAATGATTTAGCTGGTGGTTCTGGCCTGGGCACATGAGGTTATGATTAAGATGTCAGTCTGGACTGTTGTCATCTGGGACTTGACTGGGGCTAGAGGATCCATCTCCAAGATGGCTCTCTCACATGGCACTTAATAGTTCTTCCCATGTGGGCCTCTCTGTGGAGCTGCTTGGCTGTCCTCACAACTTGGCATCTGGCTTCCCAAAGAGTGAGTGATCCAGGAGAGGGCAAGGTAGAAGCCCCAATGCCTTTTGTGCTCTGGGATCAGAATTTACACACTGTCATTTGCACAATATCCTGTTGGTTACACCGGTCAAACATGCACCGAATAGGAGGGGACTATACGACTACACAAGGGCTGGGGATCATTGGGAGGTGTCTTGGAGGCTGGCCACCACACAAGGCAAGGAAGTAGAGGGTTTTGAGGTCCAGTGTAAGCTTCCTGTGGCTGCTAGAACAGAGCACCACAGATTCGGTGGCTTAAAGCAATGCACATTTATTCTTAAAGTTCTGGGGGTAAGAAGTCTGAAGTCATTTTCACTGGGCTGAAATCAAGATGTGGGCAGAGCCACCCTTCCTGTGGAGGATCTAGGGGAGAATCGGTTTTCTTGTCTTTTCTAACTATTACAGCTGTAGATCTGGTGTTCCTTGGCTAATGGCAATGGCCCTTTGTCAAGGCCGGCAGCATGGCATCTTGCTTTAGTGGTCACATTGCCTTTTGTCTTCGATAGTTAAGTCTCCCTCCACTCTCCCCTTAGAAGGACAAGGAATGGGCTCCTGCTAGAATTTCAGGACGAGACATGAAGGATTCATGTGCTGCTACTGAGAGGTCTTACGGCCTGGACAGATCAGTACTCAGTGGACCTGGTGCCTGGGCTGTCACTGACAACCCATGCAGAGTGGGTGATGGTTGAGGGGGCAGAGTGGGGGAGGCAGGAGGCACAGGGAGCATGTATCAGGGTTTGAGGACCTTCTGACTGGGAGGTGATGACATGGGGACAGGAACAGAGACCTCTGTTCCTAACCAAAGGGTTCTTCATGCGCCCTGCACAATTTTTGTCAGCCATATGCTACCTATACTATAATTTCTTTAATATTTTAAAATATACTTTTGTTTTTCTTAAAGGAAAATACCCTTTTATAATTGAGGTATTCAGTAAGTGATTTTGATTTGCATTTCCCTGGTGGCTAATGATGCTGAGCATCTCTTCATGTGTTTATTCAGTATTTGTATATTTTATATTTTCTTTGAAGAAATACCTATTTAGATCCTTTGCCCATTTTAATTGGGTTGTTGCTATTATTGAGTTGTAGGAGGTGTCTTATCTGGATACAAGTCATTTACCAGATGTGTGATTTGCTATTGTTATCTCCCAGTATGTGGATGTCTTTTCACTTTTTTTTTTTAATTTTTTTTATTTATTCATGAAAGTCAGAGAGAGAGAGAGAGGCAGAGGCAGAGGGAGAGAAGCAGGCTCCCTGCCTAGCAGGGAGCCCGATGCGGGACTCGATCCCAGGACCCTGGGATCATGACCTGAGCCGAAGGCAGACGCCCAACCATCTGAGCCACCCAGGCGCCCCTTTTTCATTTTCTTGATAGTGTCCTTTGGAACACAAAAGTTTTTAATTTTGATGAAGTCCAACTTACTTATTTTTTATTTCATTGCTTGTGCTTTTGCTGTCATATCTAAAAATCCTTTGCCAACCAAGATTGTGAAGATTTATCACTGTGTTTTCTTCTAAGAGTTTAATAGTCCTAGCTCTTATATTTTGTCTTTTATCCATTTTGAATTAACTTTTTATATGCTGTGAGGTAGGGGACCAACTTTATTCTTTTGCATGTTGTCCTGTAGAAAGTGTTTTACAGCTGCTTATTCCCCATCACAGCCCCCAAGGAGTGATTCTTTGTAGACGTGGAAACAAGGAAGTAGAAGTGGGTACCTGCGTATACGTCTTGAGGAGGAAGTGGCAGAGTCAAAACTCGGATCCAGAAATATCTAGCTTTTGACTGCGGCCACACCCAGCCCACAGAAGGGTTTGATTTGTGAGATATGTTTTAAATACATTGCATCAACTTACAAAAATTTAAAGTGTTCATTTAAAAATTTGACCAAATTTCCAGCTACTCACTACAGATTGGCAATTCTGACCATATGAGCTCTGCATTTCCCCATGATCAATTGGTTCTGAGTCCCAGCTGCCCCTTCAAACAGGGCACATGTTACCCATCACCTTCAGTGTCACCTCTCACAGATTACGTACCCTTGTAGGCTCTTACAGTAGCCCATTTCAGTCACTGATGAGCCTGCCTGGTCTCTAAAGGTAGGTGAGTTTCTGACTCTTTTCAGGGAGGATAATGAGCCTTGGTTTGAATGAATCAGGATTATTTAGCGTGTCAGTTAGATGTTACTGGGTAACAAACTATCCCAAAACTTAGTGGCTTAAACCAGTAGCCATTTCTTTATTCCACCCATCTGCAAGTCAGCAGTCTCTGCACCTGTCTGAGATCAATTGTAGATCAGCTGTGGTTAGCTTTGATCTTGCTTGGATACTTTCACATGCCCCCAGTGAGACCTGACTCGCATTACTCAGAACATGCACTCTCTCAGGACACTGGCCTGCCTGTCCTCTGCATCCCCATTCCTCCTCCTCTTCCTGGCAGCACTGGTGGAGACAGTTGAGCTGTTCAAGAGTGTGTGTGATGTTTCAGGAGCCGGTGACCTTCCGGGATGTGGCGGTGGACTTCACCCAGGAAGAGTGGGGGCAGCTGGGCCCTGCCCAGAGAACCCTGTATCGTGACGTGATGTTGGAGACCTTTGGGCATCTGCTCTCTGTGGGTAAGGCCTGCTTCCCCAGCTGATGATCAGATTCCTGCCGTGACTTACTCTTCATGGGTTATAGGTCATAGGGCCTTTGGTATGAGGACTTGACCTTAGGCTGGGGATTAGAGATCTTGCATTCTCATTCCCTGTGGAACAAATGGGCAGGGGGGGGTTTCTGCCCTTTTCTGTCCCAATGCAAAGTTTTCACCTTATTGTGAGATATCCTCGTGCCCTATCAGGAGTCTAGGGCTGGATCCTGAGCTGGTTCTTTCTCTCTGTAGCAGATCGACACATCCTGTGTCTTTCCCTTTTTCCAGGGCCTGAGCTTCCAAAACCTGAAGTCATCTCCCAGCTGGAGCAAGGGGCTGAGCTATGGGCAGCAGAGAGAGGAATTGGCCAGGGCTACTGTCCAGGTGAGATGCTGCCTAATGGGAGCAGCCCAACAGGTGACTGCAGATGTGCTGCTTGTAAAGAGTGGTGTGTCAGGGTCCCCAAGACCACCCAGAGATCCAGTGAAAGAATATAGAGGAGAGTCAGCAAGAAGAAAATGCTGACGGGGTGAAGTCCAGAAGCCAGTCAAGACTCCAGAGGTCTCTCCCAGCAGAGTACATGGGACATGCTTAGTTTCCCCAGCCATGAGTTGTGACAACACGTGAGAAATCTTAGCTACCAGGGAAGCTTGTTAGAGGCTCAATGCCAGGGGGTTTCATTGGTGGCTGGCCATAGGCACCCTGTGCCTGACATGGACCAAGATTCTAGACTCCCAGGAGAAAGCAGGTGTTCACCATAAACCATATTGTTGGCACAGTTTGGGCACAGTGAACTACTCTTATCAGTTAGGGTGGTGGGAACTCTCCTGAAATCCAGATTCCCAGGGCCAACCTCAAAAGCTGCCCTTTCTAAGGATGGCAGCCTCAGGCCTGCCCTGTTAGCTCTTTTCTGCACAGAACGTCTGCACACTGCTCCTGTACTCCCTGTTTTCCTCATCCATGCTCCCCATCTGCCTCTTCTCCAGTGGTCAGAATCCCACCCCTTCCTCCCTCTCACATTCTCTCTCAACAACCGTCTGAGCATGCCCTTTCCACAGAATCATTTCTTTTTCTTTATTTTTCTTTAAGATGTTATTTTTTTTTTTTTAAGATTTTATTTATTTATTTGACAGAGAGAGAGAGAGGGAACACAAGCAGGGGGAGCGGCAGGCAGAGGGAGTGGGAGAGGGAGAAGCAGGCTCCCCACTGAGCAGGGAGCCCGATGCGGGGCTCGATCCCAGGACCCTGGGATCATGACCTGAGCCAAAGGCAGCTGCTTAACCAACTGAGCCACCCAGGCACCCCTAAGATGTTATTTTTAAGTAATCTCTAACCCCAACGTAGGGCTTGAACTCACAACCTTGAGATCAAGAGTTGCATGCTCTACAGACTGAGCCAGGCAGGTGCCCCTCCACAGGATCATTTCTAATGTGTGAACTTGCCCTCCATCTTCTCCATTTTATTCTTTCATGTCCAGATTCTGTAAACCTGTTCTCCACATCCATCTCTTCTCTTAGCAAAAAGGATTGTGTTCCTCTGTAAATATCTGAAAACTGGGCTAGAGCAGCTCAAAAAAAGAAGCTTTTTTTTTCCCCACAAAGCAGCCACTGCTGCCTCTGGTTCAGCATTCCAGTGATGCCAGGGCTGATGGTTCTGATTCTTCTGGCTTTTCCTTGGGTTACGGCATGGATGCAGCAGCTCTGGCCATCACATTAGTGCTTCAGGCAGAGGGAGAGGGAAGTAGGAAGAATAGTGCCAGTCACATTGACCCCCTTTTTTTTTTTTTTTTAAGATTTTATTTATTTATTTGAGAAAGAGAATGAGCGAGAGAGAGCACATGAGAGCGGGGAGAGTCAGAGGGAGAAGCAGACTCCCTGCTGAGCAGGGAGCCCGATGTGGGACTTGATCCTGGGACTCCAGGATCATGACCTGAGCCGAAGGCAGTCGCCCAACCAACTGAGCCACCCAGGCGCCCACATTGTCCCCTTTTATCAGAACTCCAGATTTCATCCATTGAGGTCTCCTTGGTCGGGACTGGGTCACATCCACCTACCTTCCCCAGCCACTAGGGAGGCTGGAAGGGAGGGCCTGTCACCCTCTCTGTGTTTTTTCCACCAACTCCCTCAGAGCTCTTTGGTATTCTTTTAGGCCGGGAGCCTGGACCTGAAACCCAAGCGCCACCCAAGGAGCATGGCCTTCCTGAGGTGGAGACATCCCGTGTCACTGAAAGGGAAGGCTTCCTGAGGAATGCTCCCTGTCCCACCATACTAGGGGAAGACTGGGAATGTGAGGGCCAGGTGAAGTTGCCTGAGAAGGAACAGAATAATTTGAGGCAATTGGAATTTAGCCTCGAGGAAGCACCAATTCAAGATAAAAGCTATGAAAGTCTCAGACTTGGGGAAAATGGTGTCCTGAGCTCAAACCTAAATCCATTCCCAGAGATTTCTAAGAGAGACTATCTCTGTGGTTACGACTCACAGGTTATAAACTCAGAATGTAACTCAAGCTTAGTCAGTCAGCGGACAGGCTCCTCAGGAAAGGAGCCATGTGACAGCAGTGACTGTAGCACAACTTCTAGTCAGGCCATTCCAATTATGGAACTCACACGAAGCCAGGTACAGGATAAGCCCTACAAATGTACAGACTGTGGGAAGTCGTTTAACCACAACGCGCATCTCACAGTGCATAAGAGGATTCACACGGGAGAAAGACCTTATATGTGCAAAGAATGTGGGAAAGCCTTCAGCCAGAACTCCTCCCTGGTTCAGCATGAGCGAATCCACACAGGAGACAAGCCCTATAAATGTGCCGAGTGTGGGAAGTCTTTCTGCCATAGCACACACCTTACAGTCCATCGGAGAATTCACACCGGAGAGAAACCCTATGAATGTCAGGACTGTGGGCGGGCCTTCAACCAGAATTCATCCCTGGGTCGGCACAAGCGGACACACACTGGAGAGAAGCCGTACACGTGTAGCGTGTGTGGGAAATCGTTCTCACGGACCACTTGCCTGTTCCTGCACCTGAGGACGCACACAGAGGAGAGGCCCTATGAGTGCAACCACTGTGGGAAGGGCTTCAGGCACAGCTCCTCTCTGGCCCAGCATCAGCGAAAGCATGCTGGGGAGAAGCCCTACGAGTGCCGCCAGAGGCTAATCTTTGAGCAGACACCAGCTCTAACAAAGCATGAATGGACAGAAGCCCTCGGCCGTGACCCACCTTTGAATCCGGAGGAGAGAGCTCACCGGAGCGACAGGCCTTTTAAGTGTAATCATTGTGGGAAATGTTTTATTCAGAGCTCACACCTCATCCGACACCAGGTAACTCACACCAGAGAGGAGCCCCAGGGACGGAACCGGCGACGGCTTGAGCAGTCCTTTGGCCGGAGCTCACACCTTGGCCGCCGTCAGCACCCACACTCAAGTGAGAACCCTGGGGGCGGGACAAAGGCAGGACAGCCTGCGAGCCGGGCGCTTGCCCTGTTTGACATCCATGAAATCATGCAGGAGAAAAACCCAGTTCACGTTATTGGGGTTGAAGAGTCTTCCATGGGTGCTTCCGTGTTATTCGACATAAGAGAATCCTCATAGGAGAGAAACTACAGATGACTTTTGAACCACAGGTACAAAAATGTGGTAAGTCCACATAGTGCATTCATGGAAAGGGGGGCTGGGGGTAGAAATGCCTAAGGTGACCTCTGATTTCGTAAGGAAACGGTGCTTTCCAAATACCTGAGATTGATGGTTCTCAAATCTGTCAAGCTCAGTGCCCCCCTTTAACCACAGGTGTTTTGTGCTATTCCTTCTGTTACTCCAAAATGAATTTACAGGTAATGTAACCTACACACATGTGTACTGTAAAAAAATCAACATATGGCCCCTTTTTGTAAAGCATAATTAAAACAAAAGTAATTTATGGTAAAGTAATGTGTATACTAAGTGGGTGTGGTATCTCTCCATGTGACTGTGTGAGCCAGTATGCCTGGACACCTGGGGCATTGGCTGTTCTCATCTGGTATATGGGAAATAGTGTTGGCCATGGAAATATTGTGAGGGGCGTTCCTGTATGAGATGTGATTTTCTCAAGTGGTGACTAACTCTTGCAAAAGTTTTGAACAAAACAGAAGACCGCTGCACTTCTGGAAAATTCTGTATAAAATTCTAAGCATGCAGGAGTTAATTTGTGTTTATATGTGAAGTTGACTTAGGCTCTCAGTTCTTACATTACAAACTGGTTGTTTCACACATACACACATACATGGTCCACAGGGGCCTGTTCTGCACTTCACAGTCATTAGACCACGCTTGGCCCCCACCCACATGTCAGCCACATTCATGTCCAGATCAAATGACAAGAAAGCCCCCATGAAATTCTACTACATTCCCTGGGAGTGTCACAGCTTCTACTGAAAGCCATTGCCTTGAAGTGGTTAGTGTTGCTTAAGCCAGAGGTTCTCAGTTGGGGTAGATTTGTCCTCCAGGAGACATTTGTGATGTTTAGAGACATTTTTGGTTGTCATAACGGGCAGAACAGAGGGGTGCCACTTGGCAGCTAATGGGTAGAGGATGCTGCTAAGCATCCTGTAATGCCCAAGACAGCCCCCTCAACAAAGAATTATCTAGCCACAAATATGCCAGGGTAGAGAAACCATACCCAGCACTACAACCAATTTTTTCCAGAAAGATTCTAAATTGATGAGGGCTATACTAACAATCCTGTAGCTTTGATTGTAACAAATGATATCATTAACTGTTTTATACACAAATGTTTCCTAGTAATTTTTTTGACCATTTTGCAGCATTCCTAATTGGTGTGAGAAAAGGAAGAGAATCTACTTATTTTTCTGAGTAATCTAAATTTTAGCATTTTATCATGGACATTGTAAAACATGGATAAGCCCCACTTTCGACCATTCCTCCTGCCTGCTCTGTGGGGTGCAGATTTGGGAGTGTTCCACCTATCAGTGCCCTCTGGGGAGGGGACACCCAGTAACTTCATGGTTCTAGACAGCTCTAGAAGCCAGGCTTACAGTGCCCCTTTCCCTCCTCCTCAGCCCCCAAAATGGCAGCTTCTGAAGGGTTTTGTTTCCACAGTCTCAGTATTTGCTGGGTGGGCTGAGGTTACAGTGGCCTCAGTGGGTAAGCTGGGAACAAGCTCGTCACTTGCCTTCCTCTCTGGACAACAGAGATCTTTACAAATTTTCTATTTCTCATTTCATGTCATGTTTTGTAGGCATAATATTCCTACTCATTTCCTTATAGATATTCTGAAACAGTCAGATAAATTCCTCAGGAGAGGTTACTATTAACCACAGAATACATGGTTTTATCGGTTTATAAAAGTAATGTAAATTCTTTACTGCAAATGTGGAAAATGCACAAAAGTAAAATTTAATTCCTCATACATCTATTCAGAGATGGTCACTACCATTAAGATTTTGTTAATTTTCCTGTAATTTTTTCTTAAAAATATATATGTATACATATAGTGTACACTAGATCTTATACACACACACACAAATATATAGTATTGTGTTTAGAAAATTGGAATTCTTTCTAGTTCTCTTGTAACACATGCTTCTTACTATACTTTGAGCATCTTCCTCTGACCATTTCATGTAGCTTTTTAAATTACCTTTCAGGAGGATTGTACCAGTGTGACCACCTAGCATTTTATCAGCCTTGACTTTTATCCAAAAGGGTGGTGGTAGGGGGGAAAGTTTTCTACACATTTTCAAGGGGAGTATAAATTGATACGGCCTCTGTGAAGGACGATTTATTAGTTGCTATCTAAGATTAGAAACACACAACTCTTTGTCTCAGTAAACGTGTTGCTGGGAGTGAATCCAGCAGATTTATTTGTATGTTGTAGACTGTTTGTACATGGTCTCACTATGGTATTGCTTTCAGAAGTAAAAATTTGTAAACAACCTCAGTGTCCACCATGGGGAACTCGGCTAGAGATTTACACTGGAATGGAGAACTACACAGCTTTAAAAATGGGGACTGTCTTTATGTAATAATATGGGAAAGAGCTCCAAGATACATTGTTAAATGAAGAGGTATAAAACAGTGTGTAAAGTATGTTTCTATTTGTGTAAAAAAACATTGGCTTATACACACACACACTCCTAAGGGTACAAAGTAACCAGGCATACTAGGTGCTATTGGGGAGGAGAACTGGGGGGAGAGGAATGAGGAATAATTTTCACTCTATATCTTTTGATATTTTTAGAATTTTGAAACATGTAAAAGTATTACCAGTTCATAAAATAAATTAAAAATCTCAACTGTTGCAAATTAAAGTAAGTTTGATCATTGGCTTCATTTTCTGTTGCACCTACACACACACTAAATTCTTAGGCACACTAAGCTACAAACCAACTCAGTGCACACATATCTGAGCATTGAGTTAATGGAACCAGTTAAGTGTAAAATAGCTTTGACTCCATGAATTTTCCCGCAAGCTATAAACTAGCACATACATTTTAGTAGCACATAAATTTTCAAGTTATTTTATTAAATTCCCTGTATCCAGCCCAAATTATGAGAGCCCATACATGAATGAGCCAAGTTGCCCATTTTCAGTATCTCCTTGTACATCTTCAGAGATACTCAAGTCGTTTGTGCAAAAGGTAACTGGGAAGAAATCTCCATCCAGTCTGAGGAAGTCTCCTATAGGTCTCTTGTAAGGAGATCCAAGGTGAACATCTTCCAGATGTTCTAAGTTGTCCAACGTTGGTAGTCACTAACCACATGTAGCTATTTAAATGTAATTTTAAATTCACCCAAAATTAAAATAAAAATTGAGTTCCTCAGTCACATCAACCACATTTCAACTGCTCACTAGTTACAAATAGAACATCCCCCTCATCTCTAGAAAGTTGCTTTGCACAATGCTGGTCGAAGGTAAGTGGTTGAGAGGATTTTTTTAAAATTTCCCTTGTGATTGGGCGCCTGGGTGGCTCAGTCGGTTAAGCGACTGCCTTCGGCTCAGGTCGTGATCCTGGGGTCCCGGGATCGAGTCCCGCATCGGGCTCCCTGCTCGGCGGGGAGTCTGCTTCTCCCTCTGGCCCTCCTCCCTCTCATTCTCTCTGTCTCAAATAAATAAATAAAATCTTAAAAAAAAAAAAAATTCCCTTGTGATCAACTGACTAAAGAGCAGAGGCCAGCCTGCACGTCAGGAGTCAGCAGAGTGCGGTGCGTGGTTTTTTTATCTGGGCTTGAGTAAAAGATGAAAACAAGGTACGTCCGACGTCAGTGGGAGAAATTAGCATATAGACTACGGAGTAGGTAATCGTGGGTTTCAACGTCGTTTCTTGGGTAGGCGGGAGAAGGTACTGGTTCTTAGAGGACATCTGCTGAAACGTTACGGGAAAACGGGGCTCAGGGGAGAAAAGTCCCCAGACTATAGAGACACGTATGGACGTACGTGTGTGCGCAAAGAAAAAAGTACGCCGTATGTTCACGTAGCCTACGCGAGTCGACCTCCGTCTGGTCCCGCACGCCAGCGGCGCAGAGCAACCAAGTTCCCACGACGCCTTCCCGCGCCGTCGCCCTGTGGACTTCATTTCCCAGAAGACCATGCGTCCTGCGCCCGGCCGGTTCCGGGCACGCCGCGGGCAGGGCCCTCTGGGAGATAGAGTCCCGAACTCCGCGTTCGGGCCAGCGGCGGAAACGCGGACCGGAAGTGCCTGTGGCGAGTGTGCGCACTTCGGCGGCTGGCAGCTCCGCCGCCCGGCCCTGTGGGTGGTCGGCGTGGTGGTGAGTCCGCCGTTCCGGCCTGAGGGCTTATGTGAGTGTGAGGGACGACGAGGCCCGTGTGTGCGTGCGGTGGTAGTGACCGAGTGGCCGGGTGGGGCCCGGAGGGCAGCGCGGACCCGGGGGTGGGGGGCGGGGAGAAAGGAGGGACCGTGGGCGCTTGCGCGTGCCGGAGGACGTGAAGGAGACGCTGAGTGTGGCAGAATGTGACACTGCGCGTGTGCGTGTCAGAGAGGAGGGGTGTTTTGCAGGTGAGCTACCACCTGCGTGTGCGTGGGGACCCGGTGCGTCAGCGTTTGGGTGTGCGGGGGTAACCTCAGGCGTGTGCGTGTGGCTGAGTGTGTCACCACGTGTGCGTTTCGGAGGGAGAGGGTGTCTTGCTGGCGAGACACCACTTGTGTGTGCAGATGAGACAGCAGGTGTGTGTGGCAGGGCCTCTGTGTGCAGGTGTGACCTCGGTATGTGCATTTGGCTGGATGTGTTCCCACGGTGCGTGTCCAAAGGAAGGAGGGTATTGCATTTTGACACCATTTGCGTGTGCAGATGAGACCTCGGGTGCGTGCGAGCGGTCAGGTGTGTCACCATGCATGTTTGTGGGGAAGGGATGTTTTGTGTGTGTGACACCCCCTTTGTGTCTGTAGGTGTGACCGCAGGTGTGTACCTAGGGCCTCTACCCTTTAGCCATCCATCACTCCCATTCCCCTTTTCTCCAGCCCCTGGCAACCATTAATCTACTTTCCGTTGATCAATCTGTCTCTGTTCTGGACGTGCGATATAGGTGGGATCATACAATAGGTGGCTTTTTTGTGTCTGGCTTCTTTCACTGAGCATAATGTTTTGAAAGCCCATGTGTGCCATGTATCAGTACTTCACTCATTTTTATAGCTGAATAGTAAGCCATCGTGTGGATATACCACGGTGTGTTTACCCAGATAGTGCTACTGTGAACACTCATGTACAGGTTTTTGGGTGGACATGTGTTTTCAGTTTGGAGGAAGGAGGTAGTTGGGTCTGTCCCAGGGAAGCTCATGTGTATGACCACACCTGCTCCCTGTTGCCTTTGCTCATCCAGCAGTATTTCATTTTCCAGAATCCCAGCCCTGAGCCCCGAAGTGAAAGCCAGGAGCCTGACCGCTGTATGGGAGTAGATGGGAGGAGGCAGTGGCTCTGGGAACTGGAATCCTTCCCTGCAAGACTCACCCACAACCCGGGATCTCTGTCTGGGACTGAGACCACATGCCCCCTATCCTGTAGCTGCTGAGGTCAAACAGCCCAAAGACAGAGCAGAGTGGCAGGCAATGGAGCCTGAGGAGCCAGGTGAGGCACATGTCAGGGTGGTGGTCACAGGGCTGGACATTTTCAGAAACCACATTTTCCTCAGAACAGGCCCTGCTCCTGCTGCCGTCGCTCTGGTGCCCTGCCATCCTCAGCCTAGTCCAGACTACCGCCTCCTCACAGGTCTCCTGCTTCCCCGTCCTCCCACCGTTGCTATCCACACTGCACTGGAGGGGTCTTTAAACCCTGAATGGTGAGGCTACCTCTCCCTGAAACCTTCCATCCCTGCCCTGGTTGTCACAGCGGGGTTGGCAGACTCTCCCTGTAAAGCACCAGGTAGCAAATGTTTTCAGCTTTGTAGGCCAAGAGGCAAAACCAAAGATGTCAGGTAGGTGCTTACCTAACAAGAGAGAGAACACATACCCACATGTTTTTTTCCCCAATGAAATCCAGAACTTTATCCAACGCTGAAATCTGAATTTCATGTAACATTAATCTCCTGATGATTTTTCCCTCCCAACCACTTAAAAATGGAGAAACTCTTCTTAGCTCAGTCTGTACAGAAATAGGCAGTGGGGCTGAGTTTGCTGACCCCTGATGTGACCAAATCCACACTTCTTCCCATGCCTTCTGGGCCCAGCATGACCTGATTTCTGCCTGTTTTCAGGCCTCACCCTACAGCTCTCCCTTTGCCCAGCCCCGCTGGCCACTGAATAGCATTTAAGCTTAGATATTACCTCAGAGGCCCTCCCTGGCCACCTTATTCAAAACAGGTGCCACACACATCTACATTATGTTTTTTAGCACTTAACCACATTCGAAGACTGTATACTTGTTCCCATTTATCATAGACTATGAGTTTCATGATGTGGTGCACAGTCCATGGAGTATCTGTTAAATGAATGAGTGAACAGACACCCTTCTGCAAAAGGTACTGTTACCCAGTTTTACAGATAGAAAACCCAGGCCTTAGGTGAATTGAGCAACCCAAGGTCACTCAGCAGAGTGGTAAGGTGGATTTGATCCTAGGTCTGACAGACTCCCTCACGTTCACTGTTTGACCCTAGGAATGACACTGGGAAGAAGGTATGGGCACTTGGTACATCAGGGCCCCAGGGATCAGCTTGCCACTCTTGCCCCTCTTGCCCCTGTGGGGAGGGGCAAAAAGCCCCACATCAGCCCTTCACTCCTGGGAGTATCCTAGGATCTGAATTCAGGACAGCTGAGACTATTGCTTTTCCCTCAGAGCACTTGCCTACCTGGTATCTCACTTTGTCCCCAAACCGTCCTGCTGCCAGTGATGTCCGTAAACCTGATAGCATGGGGCAGAGACTGTTACACAGCATATAATTTACTTTGTATGAAGTTCAAGAATAGGCACAACTTGTGTGCTTTCAGAATCTCAGCAGCAGTCACACCGGGGCCAGGGAGAGCCTTGCCTGGAAGGGGTGCCTGTCGGGAGCTGTCCGTGGTGCTGAAAGTCCTAGTGCTGAGGTGTCCGAAAGGTAGCTAAGAGCCACGTGGAGGTATTAGAATGTGAATCAGTTAAACTTCAAATTACACATCCGGTTTCTCAGTCACACCACTGTGTTTCTACTGTTCGGGAGCCACATGGAGCTGATGGCTGATGAATTGGACAGCACAGCTCCAGAACATTTCCATCCTCACAGAAAGTTCTAGAGCTTGATCTGGACAGTGGCTATGTAGGTGTGTGCATTGGTCAAAGCTCATTGAACTGAGCACTCATACCTCTATTAAAAATACATATTTTTGAAAGCACAGACTCAAGTCTGACTGTGTGGGTTCAGATCCCAACCCATCACATGCTTCCTATCTTTGATTTAACCTCTCTCTGGCCCCCTCTCCCTACCTGTATAACAGAGTGATGATAGTACCTCTTTTTCCTTGTGTTAGGGAACTTGGCCAGAATTGCACAGCAAGTCCTTGAGAAGTTTGTGCCCTGGGGTTGGCACTGAGTTGCAACACAGGCAGCTGCAGCTGCCCTCGGGGACTCGGCCTCGGCTCATGGATAGTTCCCTGTTTTAGAGGCAGGGGTCTGAGGCCCAGCCTCCAAGTATCAAATTATAGGGCTGCTTTTCGTGGATCCCTGGGCTCAGTGACCCCCTGCCCAGCGTGGGAGCCAGGACGGGATGGAGGATGTAAAGGTGGTGTGGCTTCTGGCAGCAAGGACACCATGAGGTGTTCCTGTGTTAGGTTTCATTTTACAAAGACTTTCTAAGACATAATGCCATCTGTTCTCCCAGGAGCCTGTCCTTTCTGTACCCAGGAAGAAATAGGCCTAGAGCAATGATATGGCCAGTTAGTGGCACACAGTGGACCTGTGGGTCCAGGATTTCCTACTCCAAGTATTTGTCATCCTCTGGGTCACCCTGGATCCATGGTGGCTGTGTAGACCCCTTTACGAGAGTCCAGGTGGGCTGTCACATCCCCAGACTAATTCTGGAGGGTGTGGGTCACCCCATCTGTCTATGTGGACACAGCCTTCTCCACAGGACTCACTATCTTGGCTGGTCAGGGGTGGGGACAAGAGTGGGAGTGCTTCCATGCAAAAGCTCAACTCAGGCAAGCATCTTACCCCTTGATGCCTCAGTTTCCTTCCTGTAAAATGGGTCCGGTAGTGTTGGTCCTAACTATCCCTCATAGGGACAGAATGAGATCAAGCATCATGACTGGCACATAGTAAATGTTGAGGGCTGTGGTTCTGCCAAGCCCTGGAGGATAAGCAGGAGAGAGCAGACCCAGGGTGAGCAGTGCAGGAGGAAACACCTCTGGGAGGGTTTGGACTGGGAGGGTCAGGGCCCCTGGGAAAGAGTCTAGTGGCTGGCAAGGGGAGGGATGTGAGGTGAGGGGACTTTGGGGCTTGGGTCTCTGGGGCCTGAGGGCAGATCTGGCCTCCCTCACATCCCCTCCCCTCCCCCAGCTCTTCCTTCTCAGGGGAGCATCAAGGAAGACAAGCCCAAGGCCCAAGATACTGCATTCCCAGCAGATGCCTTCCACGTGAGTTTCCAAAAATGCCAGCAGTCTCAGCAGGCATACTCCTTTCTGTTCTTGCTTCTGTGATGCTTCTACCCCTCGCCACTGGAATGGAGCCACAGCCCCTAAGGAGCGTGAGTCCTGGGGCAGGGCCCCTTCCTCTGCCCTGGCCACTCTTCTTCCTCTTCCTCTTCTTCCTTCTCTCTTCACTCAAGGGTGGGGCTTAGTGACCCTGTCGGTCTAGGGCACCTTGGAGGAGATCCCATGCCTGACCGATCTGGGACACAGGCTCTTTATGGTCACCCTGTTTATCAGCCAATATCCAGGAAAAGGACAGAGCAGAGCATATGAGTGAATGGTGGTACTGAGCAGCATTTAGAAAGGTGGTTGGGGGCTTTGGGTGTTAATGGTAAGTAGTTACTCTGAAATTGTTGGTGCCTGCTGACAGGCCCTTTCTTCATGGGGTCCCCAAGGAGACAGCCACACACAGGCAGAGGGATTGTTGCCACAGCCTTGGGGTGCTGCTGTGGGGCAAAAACTCCATGTTGGGGACACTTACTGGTCCCAGAGCACATGTGGCTGGTTTTGCATGCCATCACATCCTCCAAGCCTCCCCTGCCCAGCCCTAAAGGGGAGGCGGACCACGCAGGTGTGACAGATGGCTTTGTGGGGGGCTGACGGGCCATCCGGCTGTCTCTGGGGGCCATAAAGCTGAGTGCTTTGGGAAGTGATGAGGAATCATTGTGTCTTAATCTGCTCAGGCTCCTGTAGCAAAATACATGAACTGTGGCTTAATCAACAAATTTATTCCTCACAGTTTTGGAGACTGGAAGTCCCAAGACAAGGGTGCCAGCAGGGCTGGGTTCTGGTGAGAGCCCTCTTCCTGGCTTGCCGACAAACTGCCTTCTCTCTGTGTCCTCACACACTGGGCAAGGAGACGAGAGCACACGTGCTTTGGTTTCTCCCTCTTCTTTTTTTTTTTAAGATTTTATTTATTTTTATTTGTCAGAGAGAGCGAGAACACATAAGCAGGGGAAGCAGCAGACAGAGGGAGAAGCAGGCTCCCGACTGAGCAAGGAGCCCGATGCGGGACTCAATCCCAGGATCCTGGGATCACGACCTGAGCCGAAGGCAGAGGCCTAACCAATGAGCCACCTGGGTGTCCCCTGGTCTCTCCTTCTTTTTTTTCTTTTCTTTTTTTTTTTTTTAAAGATTTTATTTATTTATTTGAGAGAGAGAGAATGAGAGAGCACATGAGAGGGGGGAGGGTCAGAGGGAGAAGCAGGCTCCCCGCCGAGCAGGGAGCCCAATGCGGGACTCGATCCCGGGACTCCAGGATCATGACCTGAGCTGAAGGCAGTCGCTTAACCAACTGAGCCACCCAGGCGCCCCTGGTCTCTCCTTCTTATGAGGGTACTAGTCCCATCTGGGGCCCCATCCTCATGACCTCATCTAAACCTAATCCCCCCAAAGGCCCCACTTCTAAATACCTTCACACTGAGGGGTAAAGCTTTAACAGGAATTTGGAGAAGACACAATTATTCAGGTGGGACTGCAGTACCCAGTGTCAAGGTGATGATAATGCCACTCACAGTGTGAGCCACACCCTTCCCCCCATGACAATAGGGTGTTTCCCAGAACATTCACATCCTGCTGTTCCCCATGGGGCTGGCCCTGCTCAGAGAGGGCCCATGGCTGAGCCAGCGCATGTGGGATGTTTCAGAAGCCTGGGACATTTCAGGACGTGGCTGTAGACTTCACACAGGAGGAATGGGGGCTGCTGGGCCCCACACAGAGGATCCTCTACCGTGACGTGATGCTGAGGAACTACAGCAACTTGGTGTCCCTGGGTGAGACCTTCCTGTCACCTCTTCATCCATGTCCCGTGTGTGTGTGTTTCCATGTGTGCTCACACATACATGTGCATATTTATCCCCTGCCTTGTCACCAGTAACCCACACCCAGGTATGTCCTTGCTCTGACCTGTGTCCCCCAGTTGGGTCCCCTCTGTGCAGAGTGGACACCCCACCCCACGTCACCAGAGAGAGACCTCTCCCGTGCCTGGGGCACACATACTGCACTGTTGGGCCTGTTGGAGCGTGGCTGCCTGTGGCCACAGTGTCAGCATTTTCCTCCTCCTTTCTAACTATGGGCAGGACTTCCCGATTGCAAACCAGATGTGATCTCCAAGCTGGAGCAGTGGGAAGACCCCTGGACTGTGAAGAGAGATGTCCCAAGAGGTCCAGGTGAGTGAAGTAAGGGTCTGTCGGATCAGGTGTTTTATAAAATTAATCGTCCTCCCCCCAGCTTTTCTTGAGGTATAATTGACAGATAAAAATTGTATGTATTTAAAGTGTACAACATGGTGTTTTGATACACATATACATTATGAAATGATCACCACTATCAAGCTAATTTATCTATCCATCAGCTCACGTAGTTGCAATATTTTTTCTGTGGTGAGAATGCTTACAATCAACTCCTGTAGGAAATTTGAGGTGTGCAATACAGTATTGTAATTATAGTCACCATGCTTCAGATCAGCTTATTTCTCCTCCTGGGGCAAGGCGGTGCAATATACATCCAACAGAAAAGAGCTGGTAGGTACAGGAGCCTGAAAACAAACCCAACAGTCCTCCAGTGGTCACTTCCCTAGACCCGACAGCCACCAGTCTGCCTTCTGTCTCTATGATTTGCCTGTTCTGACCTTTCATGTAAATGTAGTTTATATAAATGTATTCATTTATTTTTCATATGGATACAGGCATACTGTCTGTGGTCTTTTTGTGTCTGGCTTCTACCCTCTGGGAATAGTGCTCTATGAACACTCATGAGCAGGTTTTTGTGTGAGTATCTGTTTTCCATTCTGTTGACCAGGCCCTGTCGCGGTAAGGGCGTGGTTGTAAAACAACCCTAGTGGCAGCTGACAGGTGGGGTGGCTCTCAGTGGCCTTGGCCCATGCCTTTCTGTGTTCCATTCTACCACTTTCCTTCCCCACTGTGCAGAAGAGGCTTGACAGCAGGCGTGTGGCCGCCATTCTTGGAAAGCCTGGTGCAGGGTTGGCCTTTAGCCAATGTGGGAGGATTCCCACCATTCCTTAAATGATTAAGACCGGCTCACTGCACCTAAACCATTTGTACAAACAATGTGGATTATACTGAATGCCTACTTTTCTTCTGGGAGTCTGGAATTTTGGTACATGCTACACAGTGGGTGCATACGTGGCCAGCCCCCAGTAAAACCCTGGTCACTGAGTCTCTAACAAACTGTAGACTGCACTTCATGTGTCAGAATCCAGCTCTGGAGGGGTTTGGTGCATGCTGTGTGGCTCCACTGGGAGAGGACTCTGCCCCCTGCGCCTTTTCCCTTTGCTGATTTTGCCTGGTGTCCTTTTGCTCTAATCAGTCATAGCCATGAGTATGACTCTTTGTTGAGTCCTTTTTTTTTTTTTAAGATTTTACTTATTTGACAGAGAGACACAGCAAGAGAGGGAACACAAGCAGGGGGAGTGGGAGAGGGAGAAGCAGGTTTCCCGCCGAGCAGGGAGCCCAATGTGGGGCTCGATCCCAGGACCCTGGGATCATGACCTGAGCCGAAGGCAGACGCTTAACCACTGAGCCACCCAGGCACCCCTCGAGTCCCATAAGTCGTAGGGAATCACCAAGCCTGCAGTGGTCTTCTGGACCCTGGTCCATTCACTCTTCTGTCCTCAGCTGCAGGACTCCCACTGAAAGCCGCAGGTCTGTGTTGTCCAGTCTGACTGCTGAGGTTCTGTCCATCCCCCTCAGATTGGCAGTGCACATTCAGGTTAGGGCTTTAGCATGTTTCTTTGCTTATTTTTCAGTCTCAGAGCCTGAGCCCCGAGCTGCATGGCTGCCTCTAGAGAAGGGTGCTCTGTCTCAGGGGCAGATGACAGTGGGACTCTCAGGGCAGGATTTCTGGCACACCATCCAGAAAGAAGTCACAGAACATGAAGGCCAGGTGGCAGAGAGACAATGCCAAGCAGTGACACTCAGCCAGGGGAAGAAGAGCCCAGAGTGGAGCTTTGCAGGAACTTTCTCCTGGCACCCATTCTTCACTGAGCATCAGTGCAATCCTCCAAGGGCTCAAGCTCCCACAAGCCACGTTGGCAAAAAGGGCCTCACCTGCATTTCAGTCCTAGATCAGGGGCACCCCTGCCAAGAAGAGAGACTGTGTATGGAAGCCCTCAGCTCTCTTCCAGACCTTAGTCACCCTCAAGGAGCTCCCATTGCGGGGGACACATTGGTGTGTGGTGGGTGGGGAGATGCCTTTGGCAAGAACACATGCCTTGTGGGCTGTCAACAGATTCCTGATAAACGGAAGCCCTACCCATGCGAGGAGTGTGGGAAGGCCTCTGGACAGAGCACACATCTCGTCCAACACCAGAGAGCCCACACGGGTGGGAAGCCGCACACGTGCCAGGAGTGTGGACGGGCCTTCAGCAAGAACTCGTCCCTGGTTAAGCACCAGCGCATCCACACAGGCGAGAGGCCCTATGAGTGCAGCCACTGCAGCAAGCACTTCCGAGAGCGCTCCTCCCTGGCCAGACACCAGCGGGTGCACACGGGCGAGCGGCCCTATGCGTGCGGAGACTGCGGGAAGACCTTCAGCCAGAGCACGCACCTCGTGCAGCACCAGCGGGTCCACACTGGGGAGAAGCCGTTCGCCTGTGGTGAGTGTGGCAGAGCCTTTGCCGACTCCTCAGCCCTCCTGGTCCACCACAGAAGCCACACGGGGGAGAGGCCGTTTGAGTGCCGCACGTGCTGCAAGGCGTTCAGCCTCAGCTCATCGCTGACCGAGCATGAACGCTGCCACACAGGAGAGAAGCCGTACGCGTGCCGGCAATGTGGGAAGGCCTTCAGCCAGAGCTCCTCCCTCAGCAAGCACCTGAGGACACACACGGGTGAGAAGCCGTACGCGTGCGGGCACTGTGGCCGTGCCTTCAGCCAGAGCTCCTCCCTGGCCAAGCACCAGCGGGTGCACACGGGCGAGCGGCCCTACGCGTGTGGGGAATGCGGGAAGACCTTCAGCCAGGGCTCCTACCTGAGCCAGCACCTCAAGATCCACAGCGGCGAGAAGCCATTCATGTGCGGTGAGTGCAGGAAACCCTTTGGCGATTCCTCAGCCCTCGTCCTGCACCAGCGGGTGCACACGGGCGAGCGGCCCTACGCGTGTGGAGAATGCGGGAAGACCTTCAGCCAGAGCAAGTTCCTCACCCAGCACGAGAGGATCCACGCGGGGGAGAAGCCCTTTGTGTGTGGCGACTGTGGAAGGGCCTTCGTGCAGAGCTCCTCCCTCACCCTCCACCGCAGGACACACACTGGGGAGAAGCCTTACCAGTGCAACGAGTGCGGCAAGGCTTACACCCAGGTGTCGCACCTCACTGAGCATTACCGGGTGCACACGGGGGAGCGGCCCTACGTGTGCAACGTGTGCAGCAAAGCCTTCAGCCGTGGCACACACCTCGTGCAGCACCAGCGTGTCCATGCGGGCGCCAGGCCCTTCATTTGCAGCCTGTGCCGGAAGACCTTCCGCGAGGCTGCGGCCCTCATTCTGCATCAGAGGGTTCACGCTGCACGGAAGCCCTCTGAGTGTCACACGTGTGAGAAGAACTTCAGCCAGAGCAGATCTCTGGTCCAGCACCGGAAAATTCATTCCCAGGGGACACCGTGAGTGCAGTGAGTAGCAGAAAACCCTCGGCGGCTGTTTGGTTCTCATCCGTCAGTGAACTGGGGGTGTGCCAAGCATGGCAGACGCCTGCCTGTCCTTGGCGTGGTGTTCTTCATCCGGCGGAGGGCCTGTGAGTGTCAGGAACTCGGGGCCAGTGCAGAGCAGCCCCCTTACCCATCATACGCTTCTCTCTGCAGGGTCACCCGGTTGGGTGAGAAAGCCAGAGTGAGCCTTCAAGGGGAGCAACAGCCCCTCCCATTTTCCATCATGCAGGTTCCCGCAGACATCCACCAGGTGGTAGGAGAGATCCACAGGTGGACGGTCTTCTCGGCAGGCCTGAACAGAGCTCATTTCAGTTTTTGCCGAGGCAAAAATGAAATTTAAAAAAAACCAAAAACGTGAAAAGATGCTTTTTTGGGGCACCTGGGTAGCTCAGTCTGTTGAGTGTCCAGTTCTTTGTTTTGGCGCAGGTCGTGATCTCAGGGTTCTGCGAATGAGCCCTGAAGCAGGGAGTCTGCTTCCCTCTCTCTCTCTCCCTCTGCCCCCACCCCCTGCTCGTGCACTCTCTCTAAAATGGGTAAATAAATCTTTTTTTTTTAAAGATTTTATTTATTTATTTGAGAGAGAGAGAGAAACAGCATGAGAGGGGATAGGGTCAGAGGGAGAAGCAGGCTCCCTGCTGAGCCGGGAGCCCGATGTGGGACTTGATCCCAGGACTCCGGGATCATGACCTGAGCCGAAGGCAGTTGCTTAACCAACTGAGCCACCCAGGCGCCCTAAAATGGGTAAATAAATCTTTAAAAAATAAAAAAAGATGTCTTCTCAGTTGTTTGTGCCTTGTATTAACTCAAGCCTTATGGTTTTGTTTTGTTCCTCTGCCAGAAAGTAAGGTTAATAATGCTGAACTGTGGTGTGTCACAAAGCCACTGTCTTTTATTTTATTTTATTTATTTGCGAGAGAGAGCACAAGCAGGGGGAGTGGGAGAGGGCGAAGCAGGCTCCCCGCCGAGCAGGGAGCCCGATGCGGGGCTCAATCCCAGGACCCCAGGATCATGACCTGAGCCGAAGGCAGACGCTTAACCATTTGAGCCACCCAGGCGCCCCAGTCCCAGTCTTTAAAAAGACTTTATGTGTCATTCATCAACCTCAGCATGAGGATTCATTAAAATCAGTTCAGCCAGTGACATTCATGTAAGACCTTAGCACTTTGTAAGCACTTCTACACATTGTTCTGTTTCATCCTCTCAGCACCCCTGGGATGCAGATATTTTTATCCCCACTTCATAGACAAGGAGCTGACTTTTTTTTTTAAGGCCTACTTATTTGAGGGGGGAAGGGGTAGAAGAGAGAGAATCCAAGCAGACTCTGCGCTGAGCATGGAGCCTGACGCAGGGCCCGATCTTACAACCCTGAGACCATGACCTGAGCTGAAACCAAGAGTCAGACGCTTAACCGACTGAGCCACCCAGGTGTCCCAAGGAGCTGAGATTTTGAGAGGTTAAACCACTTGCCTGAGGCCCCCAGCTAGAAGCCACTCACTTTTCAAGATAAAAATACTAGAGTTAGCAGATGGAGACAGGGTTGCAACAGTCCCTCCATCCCTTTCAGCATGTGCAAGGGGTATTCACTGTAAGGAGGCAGCTCTAGAGTTTAATGTTCTCTTGAGACTGGGAGAGGGTGGGATGATTGGGTCATGCCTGAAGAAGCGGATTGAGCCATCTGGCTGACCTAGGCAAAGGCAAAAAGTAGGAGCTGGGAAGCCATTGCTCAGTCTAGATGTTGGTTATGTGCCTAGTGGAGCCACGCCTTTGTTCCGCCACAGGTGTGAGCCTTTCACTTTCCCGCACAGCTTCACTCAGGGGTTCTCTGTGGCCATCAGGATGTGGTCTGGCCTTGTAGCCCCTGCACTCACCCAGCATAGCCCATCCTTCCAGGTTCATTTCCAGTCATCCCTGTGTTGGTCTCCTGTCCTCAGCATCAGCTCCAGGGCACCTCCTCACTGGCTGAATCAGAAGCAGCCTGTCTTCCCCTCTTGTCCCCCATGGCAGTATGAACATTGTGCTGTCATTGTCCACGTCCTCGTTCAGAGCCCACCCTGGACCCAGAGCCCCTTAGCATACACCTGTCTCTTGTGCCTCTCTAGACCCATCCCCTGGCACATGGCAGGGCCAAAATTGAGAGGGAATGAGTGCGTGAACCAGTGAGATACTGAATACAAAAGGACTGCAAGGGAGTCCCCGAGACCACCTTCAGGCTCAGTGACTCATTAGGACTCCTAGAACTCAGAACAGGCTGAGGGTTTATTACAGTGAAAAGGATACAAATTCTAACCACAAAAGTAGAAGGTGGATAAACTGGAATCCAGGTCCAAGCTTCCACTTGTCCTCAGTGTAGTCACACAGGCTCCTTAGTACTCCCCACTAGGAGTGACAGTACACATGGAGTATTGGCAGCCAGGGAAGGTGACCCAAGCCTGGTGGCATTTACGGGGGGGTGGCCCCATAGATGTGGAGTGCCTGCATGACTGACCTTAGTTCCTGAGCCTCCAGCTGTCTCAGATAAGCTGATAGAGTGTGACTCAAGGTCCCCATCGTAAATCATGCAGACTGTCTGGCGTGGCCTAAGACCCCCAGTAAGGAAAGACCCTCTCACCAGGCACGCTATTCCAAGGGCTTAGAGGTTCTGTCAGGAGCCGATCCCAAGGGCCAATCCATTCTTTATAGTGTGCAGTTCGGACACCCCAGGTCTACTGAGTTCTCCTCTTTGCTGCACAATGACCCAGCACAGCTGGTGACCAGTGATGCCCCCTCACCCAGCCAAGTGCCACCGCTACGAGCAGCCCCAAAGAGAGAAGAGGCATCAGCCAACCGGACGCAGTATGGGTTGGGATGATCAGGATTCTCCCAGAGGAAGAGACAGCTTGGGTTTGTAGGGACAAGATTGCCTCAGGGGCTGCACCTTCAGGAGAGCATCCCACGTGAGCCGCAGGGACCAGGCTGCGAGGCAGGAAGAACGGGGCAGCTGGTGAGTCTCTGAGGCACCACACGGCACAGACGGGGCAGGCTTGCCATGGGTCACCCACTCAGCCTCTGTAAAAACCGGGACCGTGTTGGGCGCCTGGGTGGCTCAGTCGTTAAGCGTCTGCCTTCGGCTCAGGTCATGATCCTGGAGTCCCAGGATCGAGTCCTGTATCGGGCTCCCTGCTCAGCGGGAGCCTGCTTCTCCCTCTCCCGCTCCCCCTGCTTGTGTTCCTGCTCTTGCTACCTCTCTCTCTGTCAAATAAATAAATAAAGTCTTTAAAAAAAAACCCCAAAACCAGGGACCGTGTCTTGGCAGCAAGGTGGAGAGATGAGGAGGGAGGGATGAGACAGTGCCAGCCCTCAACATAGTCTGCTTCCTTCCTGCAGGGTGGTCGGGTCCAAGAACCAGCTAAATCCAGCTCATGGGTTTGAAGTCCAGCGCTACCCAAATGCGCTCTGGGTCTTTACTCTCTGCCTCATGTTCCTTGGCTGTAAACTGGGGATGGTGACCCCCTCCCTGCAAGGACTTCACATGTTAACTTGAAGAGGAGTATGTCCAGTGTGAGTGTTGTTCCGCCAGGAAGCAGTTTCCGCCAGAGGCAGGTCAGTGATGGTCATCGACTGGCTGCGGTTGGGCGATGAGAAGGAAGTGCAGCCAACAGCTGGCATGAATGGCCCTGCAGGAGCCTGGCTGGCCGGGGGGAGGGGCGGCACTTGTAGGGGCATGGGCTTGCAGATGGGAACCCCCCGAGCTTTTCTGGCTTCTGATGGTCAGGGCAGAGGCTGGCACAGGACCACACAGGAGTAGGGTCATATCCACAGAAGGCCCTGAGGCGATTCATTCTTCTCATAAGGCCAGTCTCCAGGTTCTTTGCCCGTTCCTATTGATGGCTCAAATGCGTGTGTCTCCTACCAAATGTCTGTCTGCAAAGAGCTGTCCAGACACTGTGCAGAGGGCAGGGGAGCTGTGGGCACCAGCTGCAGGAGGCAGAGGCTGGGCATCCAGGCCCAGCCAGACTGTCCTGGGGCAGGAGGCAGGGGGAGTCCATGGGGCCTCAAGGCTCTCACTTCACCCCTTGGGTGGTGTGCATCTGCCCTTGAACACACCCTCACAAAACATCGCATGCTCGCACACTGACAAAACACTCTCTCTGTGACCAAACTTGAGTCAGGCTCTTCTGAGCAGTTTTTGATGAGGCCTCAAACTTCAAGCTCCTGTGGCCTTCATTATAGAGTCTAGCCAGGTCAGTTTAGTAAGAATCTCCCACCCTCCAAATGTGTCTACTTGGGTTCCTCATCCTCCCCCTCCTCCCGGTGATGTCTGACCATCCTGGCCTGCCTTCAGCGAGAACCCTGTTAGATACCGCTTACCCCTGAGGGGAGCAGCAGAGGGAGAGGGAGAAGCAGGCTCCCCGCCGAGTAGGGAGCCTGACGCGGGGCCGGATCCCAGGACCCTGGGATGATGACCTGAGCCGAAGGCAGACGCTTAACGACTGAGCCACCCAGGTGCCCCGAGGTGAGAGTTTCTTATCTCCACTTCTCCATGTTACAAAGTCAGGTTTATTATCTCCATGCTATGGAGAAAGTAGAGACCCAGAGATGTAAAATCATCTGGCTGAGCAGGAGAGAGTAAGAAGCACAACTGGGAACTGAGATCAGCTAGGTCCCTCTCTGTAGGCTGTACTCCTATTGTATCACCCTGCTCCTTAGCCAGTGGTTCTCAGCCTTGCCTACACATGAGAATTGCCTGGATAAAAATCTGGATGCCCAAGCCAAACCCCAAACCAGTGAAATTTGGATCTGTGGTAGACAGAGTAATGCCTCCTCGCCCCACTTAAAGCTTCCCACACCCTAATCCCCAGAACCTGTGAATATGATACATGACAGAAGAGAATTTGCAGATGGGGAAGAGTATCCTGGGTCACCAGGTGGATCCGATGTCATCACAAGATCCTTATAAGTGAAAGAGAGAGGCAAAGAGGGTCAGAGTCAGAGAAGGAAATAAGACGACAGTGAAGCAGACATGAAACAAGAAAGTGGAAGAGGCAAGGAAATAGGTTTTCACCTGGAGCCTCTAGAAGGAACTGGCCCTGCCACCAGGGCAATTTTAGCCCATGAGACCCATTTTGGACTTCTGACCTCCAGAAATGTAAGGTAATAGATTTTTTTTTTTTTTAAGATTTTATTTATTTATCTGAGACAGAGAGAATGAGAGAGACAGAGAGCACATGAGAGGGGGGAGGGTCAGAGGGAGAAGCAGACTCCCTGCTGAGCAGGGAGCCCGATGCGGGACTCGATCCCGGGACTCCAGGATCATGACCTGAGCCGAAGGCAGTCACTTAACCAACTGAGCCACCCAGGCGCCCAATAGATTTTTGTTGTTATAAGCCACTATGTTTGTGGTAATTTGTTAGAGCAACAACAGGAAACCAATACAGCCTCTCTAGACACAAACCAGACCAGTGGAGCAGAGCCAATTGTACCTGGGTGGGGGAAAAAACAGGGATGATGGTTCATAGAAGTGATAGAAACCAGGAAAAATGTGGGGCTCCCTTCACTGGTGGGTGGATAGAAAGGCAAGTTCTGCTTGGAGGCAGGGAGGCAGTGATGTGAAGCTGGCTGGACAGAGAAGGCAGGGCTGGGAGCTGGAAAACAGGAGCCACCAGAGATAAAGCCTTCGGTGGTGCAGAAGAGATGGTCACAGCAGAGTTGGGACACGGGACTAACTGACACTGCCCAGAGTGCCTGGTGCACAAAAGGGGCCCAATAAAGATGTGGTCTGTTAGGATTACTGGGGGTGAGCATCTTGGGGTCGTTCCTTTGACAACAAAAGGCAGAAAACCACAAGGAGAGGCCAAGAAGACCCAAGGAGATGAGGGCAACCAGTGCCACCCACAGGCCAAAGCCCAGTTCAGTGCTTGACAGGTAAGATGGGTCTGGAGGGGGAAAAGCAAAGGAGTCCTTGGATTAGGACCCCTGTGGTGTGTCTACCAGTGGTCAGAAAACGCAAAGGGGCCATTTACACAAAATATAAGAGCAGGCAAATCCATGGGGGCAGAAGGCAGATTAATGGTTGTCAGAGGCTGGGGGCAAGGGGAGTAGGGAGTGGCTGCTCATGGTTATGGGGTTTGTTTTTGGAGTGATGAAAACCTTCTGGAATTAGACGGTGGTGATCTTTGCATAACCTTGTGAATATAATAAAAAGTGAACTGTACACTTTAGAAGGGTGAACTTAAGGTATGTGAACTATAGCTTAAAAAGAAAAGAGTTGGGGCCCCTGGGTGGCTCAGCCGTTAAGCATCTGCCTTCGGCTCATGTCATGATCCCAGAGTCCTGGGATCAAGCCCCGCATCGGGCTCCCTGCTCGGCGGGGAGCCTGCTTCTCCCTCTCCCACTCCCCCTGCTTGTGTTCCCTCTCTCGCTGTGTCTCTCTCTGTCAAATAAATAAATAAAATCTTAAAAATAAATAAATAAGTAAATAAAAAGAGAAGAGTTAATTTTTAAAGGGGAAGGAGTATGGAAAGATGACCAGGTAAAGGGGCAAACTCTGGCAACAGGGAGGAAAGCAATGGGAGTCTATGAGGTGCGAGATGAGGGAGATGAGATGCATCAGGCCTTCAGGACGACGGGAGGTAACATGGGACGTGGAGAGAGCGTGGCCACGAGGGCTGTTCCCCGGTGTGGAGCTTCCGGTGCGGGAGTAGGTATGAACTGTAGCAGAAGGCCTTGTCACACTCACTGCACGTGTAGGGCCTCCCCCCGTGTGGATCCACTGGTGCTGGCTGAAGTCTGCAGTGCCCTTGAAGGCTTTGCTGCAGTCCAGGTACTCTCAGGACTTCTCATCTGTGTGGATTTTGTGATGCTCAGTGAGCGTGGAACTCTGCCCAAAGGCCTTGCCACACTTAGTGCGCTCATATGGCTTCTCGCCGCTGTGTGTCCTCTGATGGTGGATCAGGGTGAGCTCCAGCTGCAGGCTTTCCTGGGATCCCCACACTGGTAGGGCCTCTCCCCTGTGTGAATGTTGTGCTTCTGCAGGTCTGAGCTCCCTGGGAAGGCTTTGCCACACTACCTGCCTTTGTACCACTTCCCCCCGGTGTGGGGCCTCTGGTGTACTTTTTAGTATACTATACCAGAAAAGGAAGACCTCTCTACACTCACGGCATTCATGGGGTTTGGCTTCAGTATGGATCCTCTGGTGATCAATGAGGTTAGACTGGCACTGAAAGACTTTCCCACAGGTGCTACATGGATAGGGCTTTTCCCCAGCGTGAGTCCTCTCATGCACCGAGAGGGCCAAGTGCTGCTTGAAACTCTTACCACACAAGGCGCACCTGCAGGGTTTCCTGTCCACACAGGCTGCCTACAACACAGCTGGCTCTGGAACCTGCTCAAAGCTTCCTCCATGTGCAACCAACATGTGTGGTTTCCTTTCCACAGCAATACTCTCTTGTTTTATAGGGCTGGAAGGTATCCTGACACTCCTCACAACTTTACTGCCTATAACCTCCCCCCACACTAGGAGTTTCCATGTTGGGGAATGACGTTTGCTTAAAATCTTCTTGCCTGAAAAAGGATCCTCAGTAGGATCTCTGTTCTGGTTCCCTGAGTAGGCCTCAGGAGTGTCAATGTCTTTGAAGGCAGAACCCCATGAAATCTCTTTTCTGATGACCTCCATTATTACCCCCATGAGGAACTGCAGCAGGTCTTTGAATATGCTCTGTGGTCACCTTCCTTGATCTGAAAGAAACCAAGATTATAAATGTTAGCTTTGTTGACTTTCTTTCTTTTTTTTTTTTAAAGATTTTATTTATTTATTTGACAGAGAGAGGGGACAAGCAGGGGAATGGGAGAGGGAGAAGCAGGCTTCCCACCGAGCAGGGAGCCCGATGCGGGACTCGATCCCGGGACTCCAGGATCATGACCTGAGCCGAAGGCAGTCGCTTAACCAACTGAGCCACCCAGGCGCCCAGCTTTGTTGACTTTCTAAACAGAAAAAAAATCAAAAGGATTGATGAAGTGGATGGAATTCCTAGAGCAATTTTTCACTCCTCCTTGTGTACATACCCTTGGTCATATATGTCGTTCCTTCCACGAAAGGCAGCATGGATACCTCTTCCTTGACTTTGGGTGTGGCCATGTGACTTGCCTTGGTCAATAGAATCTGAGTGGAACTGCTAGTATGTTAGTTCTGAGCCTAGGCCTCAAGCCTGCAGGCATCTCTGCCATCACCATGAGGCAAATTTGCCCTATGAGCCCTACAAGACAAGTGCAGCAGAAATGGACCTAACCTACAGCCTGGAGCCAAGCCCAGACCAGATTAGCCAATTCTTAGACTCAGGAGAGAATTAAGTGCTTACTGCTGTCAGTCACTGAACTGTTGTAACTAACCATTACAGAGCAATAACTGACTGATATAACTGCCAAATTAAAATGAATACTCTCTGGGGGCACCTGGGTGGCTCAGTTGGTTAAGCGTCTGCCTTTGGCTCAGGTCATGATCCCAGGGTCCTGGGATTGAGCCCCGCATCGGGCTTCCTGCTCCGCAGGAAGCCTGCTTCTCCCTCTCCCACTCCCACTCCCCATGCTTGTGTTCCCTCTCTCGCTGTCTCTCTGTCAAATAAATAAATAAAATCTTTAAAAAAAAAATGAATACTCTCTGAAAAAGATGGGGTTTGAATTCTGGGGAGAGGATGAGAAAGAGACAGAGGCAGAGAGGAAGAGAGGAGAGTCTATTCAGGAAAACCCAGAGGCCTAGAGCACTGGTCCAATAATCAGAGAATAAGCATAAAAGGTGTCTGAAAGTCTGGGGTATGGAGTGGAAGGGCCATGGTGGGTATGGAAAGTAAGTGGGAATCCAGTTAAGCAGCTTCAAGCAAGGGAACATTGTCAGTCTGCCATTCATTCATTCATTCATTCATTCAACTCTTCTTGGGACTCTGACCTGTGCTAAGCACCAAGGATGCCCTGGCCTCAGGTCATAGAAAGGGCAGGACTCCTCTCAGCTCTAACAGCACAGACTCCCAATCTGGACAGAGAGGAAGGCCCTGAGGAAAGCTTCCATCGACTTTCCAGGTCACCTCACACCTACTGTCAATCCAGGATCGTTACTCCCTGGCACCTGGGTCTCCTCTGGCTGTTGCCCTCTCTCCCCTCTCCTCAGAAGCCTCCCAGAAAATATCCCCACACTCATAACAATGCCTTCATCCCATTATGGGCTGAACTGTGTCCCACCCAAATTCACATGTTAACATCCTAATCTAACCCCCAGTATGTCCCAGAATGTGACTGTATTTGGAGACAGGACCTTTAAAGAGATAACTAATATTAAATGAAGTCATATGGGGCCCTAATCCAGTGACTGGGAGGGAGAGATACCAGGGGTATGCTAATAAGGAAAGGCCATGAGAGGACAGAGCAAGAACGTGGCCATCTACAAACCAAGGAGAGAAGCTTCAGGAGAAACCAACCCTGCCAACACTTTGATCCTGAACTTCCAGCTTCCAGAACTGTGAGAAAATAAACGTCTACTGTTTAAGCCCCTCGGTCTGTTGTATTTAGTTATGGCAGCTGTAGCAAACTAATACACTCTCAGGCTCCTGAGCCAGCCTTGCTCTCCCCTTGGATGCTGCACTTCAACCCATCAACCCTGTCTGCTCCATCTTCAAAACAGACCTATATCTGACCACCTATCAACACCTCTACCTCCACCATCCTGATCTGACCTACCCTGCTCCCCGGGATTCCAGCAGCATTCACCTCCTACATCTCCCTGCCTCTACCCTCACCCCAACAGTCTTCCCCTGTAACAGCCACAGGAATCCTACAAAGAGCTAAGTCACAGCACAGTCCTCTGCCCAAAGGCTTCCCATGGTGCCCACCTCTCTCAGGGTAGACATCAAAGTCCACACATGGCCCATAAGCCCTGCACCATCTGCCCCCATGGGCCTCCTCATTCTGTCCCTATCCTTTGCTGTCTCCTTCCCTCGATCCACTCCAGCTAGGCCTCCTTGCCTGTACCCACCTCGGGGTCTTGGGATTTGCATTCCATCTACTGAAACATTCTCTCTGTCCCTTCTCTCTATTCAGGATCAGTTGAGAAGCCAACTCCTCAGAAACAAGTTTTTGGGGCGCCTGGGTGGCTCAGTCGTTAAGCGTCTGCCTTCGGCTTGGGTCGTGATCCCAGGGTCCTGGGATCGAGCCCCGCATCGGGCTCCCTGCTCCGCGGAAGACCTGCTTCTCCCTCTCCCACTCCCCCTGCTTTTGTTCCCTCTCTCGCTGTCTCTCTCTGTTAAATAAAATCTTTTTTTAAAAAAAAAAGAAAGGGCGCCTGGATGGCTCAGTTGGTTAAGCGACTGCCTTCGGCTCAGGTCATGATCTCAGGGTCCTGGGATCGAGTCCCGCATCGGGCTCCCGGCTCAGCAGGAAGCCTGCTTCTCCCTCTCCCACTCCCCCTGCTTGTGTTCCTGCTCTCACTGTCTCTGTCTCTGTCAAATAAATAAATAAAATCTTTAAAAAAAAAAAAAAAGAAAAGTTTTTGTTTCTTTGATTACTGTCTGCCTTCCCAACAATAACACCAGCTCCACAGAGGCAGGCGCCGCCTGTCGTCTTCACTGCAGTGTCCCATCTGGCCCTTACTGCTCAGGATGTATCTGTGGAAGGCTGGCTGCAGGAAAAGGTCTGATGAGCTGAAGGAGACATGATCACGGGCTGCGGTCAATACGATGGGCGAGGCCAACCTCAAAGCCTCACCCGCACGCAGGCTGGGCCACCACCCTCTCTGTCCTGGGCCCCCAGCTGGAGTCTTCTGCTCAAACTCTCACACACCCACATGCACACACGGAGGACATATTCTCACGTACAGTCACACCTCCAGGCATCCACACCTCCACACAATCACATCCAAGATCACAGTCACGGGCACTGCAGCAACATACGGTAATCATAGCCAGCCTGGGGCCTTCCTGCTGTACCGGGCCTTCCTGGGCAGCACCACCAGACACCATCACACAATGTGACAGCCACGCAGTGCTGCAGGATTATCACATATGGCGACCAACAGAGGTCACACACACACACAGTTACGCACACAAACCACGCACACACGTGGTCGCAGAGAATGAACACTCGGCCTAGCCTCCGGGGCACCTACAGCCATACAGGACAAACAGGTGGAGTCTCAAAAGCAACACGCACTACACACGGTGCACGCCCCCACGCACGGCTCCGCCTCCCGCACAGCCCCCGGCCCACTTCTCCGCTCACCGCCACCGCAACCCCACAACGGGCCAGCCTTCTGCCCCCTGCCCGCCCAGACTACAACTCCCGGCGTGCCCGCACGGCGCGCAGGAGGGGCCCCGGGCCTTCGGCGGATTATAACCCAGGAGGCCGGGAGGGCCGCGTGCGGGCCGCGGAGCTTGGGACGCGAGACCTCCCGAGCGCTGCGGTGCGGGCGAGCGCGCGCGCCCGTTGGACAGCAAGGCGCATCCTGGGAATTGTGGTCCCGGCGAGCGGGCGCGCCTGCCGGACCGCGTGGCGCATTCTGGGAGTCGTGGTCCCGGCGGGCGGGCGCCGCCGAGTGAGCTCCCGGAAGTGGCCGGCGCCGCGCGGGTCAGGTGGGTCGGGGCGCGGTCCGCTGGGCTCGCGGCCGGCGAGGAACGCTCCGGGCCCCGAAGCCGCCGGCGCCTGCGGCGGCCTGGGCAACGCGTGCGGGGCCGACCGCGAGCGGCGCGACTGGAGGGCCGACTGACGGACGCCCAAGCCGGGTGTAGAACTGCCTGATCGAGTGTGGGACCGGCTGACTGGGATGCAGCCTGACGGGTGTGCGTCAGCGGCGGCCGCCTCGCGGGTGTGCGTTTCTCGCTGACAGCCCGTTGTGCTGTGTGGCTGACGAAGACGGTGGCTTGAGCTTCCGAGGGCTGTTGTGTGACGGTATGAATGAGATGGGGTGTGGCCGTCGTGTGACTGGAGGTGTGACCGCGAGCCCCTGCCTCTGACTGACTGGCTGAGACGGCGGCTCGGAGATGACGAATGACTGTCGGAATTCGCCGCGTGATGGCCTTGCTGTGAGCGACGCTGAGAAATGTTGTGTGCCTGGGTGTGTTTTGGGGTATGGCTGACACTGTGCCTGAGATAGGGTGTGTGCGTTTGACTACGTGACCAAGATTTTGTCAGGCCCTGACATTTGGGTGATTGGCAGAGTTTACCAAGTATGTGATAGAGACTTTGTGCTTTGCCACGTCCGCAGCTGGCGTTGTTTGACAGCGGCCACCCGTCTGGGTTTGTGGCTATGTCCCCCGGCACCTTCTGCGTGCTGAAGTCCGGCGGGAGGCTGTGGAGTCGACAGACTGGTTGTTCACCACGTGTTTGCGGTGTGCCGGGCCCGTACTGGACGTTTGTCATGGGTCGCCTTGGGTAACCCCACAGCAACCCTCTGAGGTAGGTGCCAGTTATTCGGACGGCTGCACGTAAGGACCACTCTCTTCGGTTGGTTAAACACCCGTGGGCTGGGGGCCTTGGCCTGATGTGAGGTCAGCCCATAGCGGGGGTGGGCTAAGGCAGGTCCGTGCACGTGTGTCTCAGAGACTGTCATCAGGGATTTTCCAGAACAGGAGCTCCAGGGGTACAAAAGAGAGCTTGGAATCTTGCTGCGTGTATTTATTTATTTATTTTTATAAAGATTTTATTTATTTATTTGAGAGAGAGAGAATGAGAGAGAGCACATGAGAGGGGGGAGGGTCAGAGGGAGAAGCAGACTCCCCGCCGAGCAGGGAGCCCGATGCGGGACTCGATCCCGGGACTCCAGGATCATGACCTGAGCCGAAGGCAGTCGCTTAACCAACTGAGCCACCCAGGCGCCCCTCTTGCTGCCTCATCCCTGCCATTCCTGCTTCCCCTTCCCTGTGCAGTGATTCCCCACATCTGTGGATGACCATGCTCAGCCTTTCCTGGTCCCTCCATTTGCTCAGCACCTGTTACTGTGCACTTGACATAGGCCGTGCCCTGGGCACTGTCACTCCAGCATGCCCAATCTCTCTGAGGCAACGTGTGGTTATAGCCAGAGCTGGGAAAAGAGAGACGCAGGGCACTCAGAAGGATACTTAGCTTGCTCCCAAGTGCTTGGACAGCTCTTGGAGAAAATGGCAGGTAACGTGCAGTTTGGAGGACTAGGAGAAATTAGGTGCAGAGACAGATTTTATTTATTTATTTATTTTTTATTTTTTAAGATTTTATTTATTTATTCATGAGAGACAGAGAGAGGCAGAGGGAGAAGCAGGCTCCCCGCGGAACAAGGAGCCCGATGCGGGACTCGATCCCAGGACCCTGGGATCATGACCCGAGCCGAAGGCAGAGGCTTAACCATCTGAGCCACCCAGGCGCCCGCAGAGAGAGATTTTAGAACACGAGAATAACAGGGACAAAGGCTGAAAAGATGGGGGTTGGGGATAATGGCAAGGACAAGGTGACAAGAGGTCCAAGTGAGCTTCATGGTGGAGTTAGGGGCTAGAACACAGTTTTGCCAGAAGTTGCCAGCTGCCACTGAAAGGTTTCAGGATTGGGGTCTTATTTTACTAATGTTTCCTTCTCCCTGTGCCCAGGGCCATGGCTCAAGTGCCAACCAACATTTGTTATCTCTTTTTTATTTTAACCTTCTTAGCAGGTGTAAAGTGGTATATCATTGGGGGTTTGATTTGCATTTCTCTGGTAACCATGATGTTGAGCATCTTTTCATGTCGCCTATTGGCTATTTGTATATCTTCTTTGAAGAAATGTTTAGTCAAAACCTTTGCCCATTCTTTAACTGGATTATTTGTCTTTTTATTATGGAGTTCTTTAGATACGGGTTCCTTATCAGATACATAATTTGCAAATATTTCCTGCCATGTTATGGGTTGCCTTTTTGCTTTCTTGATGGTATCCTTCAAATCATGAAAGTTTTTAATTTTGATGAAGTTGTTTATCTACTTTATCTTTCATCATTTATCCAGGAAGGCTTTGCATTTTTTTTAACTAAAGTATAGTTTTTTGGTGTTTTTTTTTTAAAGATTTTATTTATTTATCTGAGAGAGAGAGAATGAGAGACCTAGAGCATGAGAGGAAGGAGGGTCAGAGGGAGAAGCAGGCAGGGAGCCCGATGAGGGACTCAATCCCGGGACTCCAGGATCATGACCTGAGCCGAAGGCAGTCGCTTAACCAGCTGAGCCACCCAGGCGCCCCTGAAGTATAGTTAACATACAATATTATATTGGTTTCAGCTGTACAACATAGTGATTCAACAGTTATATACAGTACAAAATGATCACAATAAGTCTAGTTACCATTTCTTACCATACAAAGTTAATACAATATCTTTATCTATATTCTGTGTGTTATACATTACATCCCCATAACCTATTTATTTTATGACTGGAAGTTTGTACCTCTTAATCCCTTTCACCCAGTCCCAAACCCCCTTCTCCTCTGGCAGCCGTCAGTCTGTTCTCTGTATCTATGAATCTAGTTTTGTTTTGTATGTCCATTTGTTTTTTAGATTCCACATTTAAGTGAAATGAAATGGTATCTGTCTTTCTCTGTCTTACTTATTTCACTTAGCATAATACCCTCAGGGTCCATCCATGTGTCATAAATGGCAAGATTTTATTCTTTTTTTTTTTAATCAAGTGTAGCTTCTTTTTATTTATTTATTTATTTATTCAAAAGATTTTATTTATTTGACAGAGAGGGACACAGCGAGAGAGGGAACACAAGCAGGGGGAGTGGGAGAGGGAGAAGCAGGCTTCCCGACGAGCAGAGAGCCCAATGTGGGGCTCGATCCCAGGGTCCTGGGATCATGACCTGAGCCGAAGGCAGACGCTTAACGACTGAGCCACCCAGGCGCCCCAAGATTTTATTCTTTTTTATGGCTGAGTAATATTCCGCATTTTCTTTATCCATTCATCTATTGACGGACAGTTAGGTTGCTTCCATATCTTGGCTATTATAAATAATGCTACAATGAATATAGGGATGAATATATCTTTTCACTTTAGTATTACTATTTTTGTTGTTGTTGTTGTTTTTAAAGATTTATTTATTTATTAGACAGAGAGAGACACAGTGAGAGAGGGAACACAAGCCGGGGGAGTGGGAGAGGGAGAAGCAGGCTTCCCGCTGAGCAGGGAGCCCGATGCGGGGCTTGATCCCAGGACCCTGGGATCATGACCTGAGCCGAAGGCAGATGCTTAATGACTGAGCCACCCAGGCGCCCCTAGTGTTAGTGTTTTTATTTTCTTCAAATAAATGCCCAGAAATGGAATTGCTGGATTATATGGTACTTCTGTTTTTAATTTTTTTGCATTATTTTTAAGTTTATGCAGAATACTGACCAAAATTAACTGTACCCTGGGTCACAAACCAAGTCTCAGCAAATTTGAAAGGATTAAAATGGACTAAAGCACATTTTCTGAGCATAACAGTCTTAATCTGGAAATCAACAATAAAAAGACAACTAGAAAACCCCAGTTATTTGGAAATGAAAGAGCAGATTTCTAAAAAACCCATGGATCAGGAATAAATCACAACAGAATTTAGAAAATATTTTGAACTCATTAAATGATAATGAAGATGCAGCATCAAACTTGTGGGTGTGCAGCTAAAGCTGTGTTTAGAAGGAAATTTATAGCCTTAAGTACATGTATTAGAAAAGATGAAAGAAAGAAAGGCTGAACGTCAACTATATAAGTATCCATCTCAGAAGCTACAAAATAATTAGCAAATAAAGTGATGGAATGACCATGTAGCTACCTGGGGAGTGTGTGTGAGATAGGAGGGAGACCTGGTTCTGTGGGGGGGGAACACTGTAAGCAGACTGGCCATGGGCTGAGGCTGCCTTGGTTTTGTAGCTCAGCAACTCCCCATCCCTTCAGTATCTGGGAAACTTTGGGCAAATCTTCTCCTCCTCTGTATCTGTTTTCATATCTGTAAAATGGAAAGGAAGTTCCTACCTCCTGAGTTTTTGTGAGTTTTAAATGAGTTACTGTATGCAAACGTTTATAATGGTGCTTAGCACCTGATTATTTTGAGCATCTGTGTCCTGTGAGAATGAGTTACATCTCACAGGCCCCAAGTCTGCATCTGCCCTGCTCTACAGGTATGAGCAGAGTCCCAAGCTCCACATGATGACAAAGTTCTGGCATTCCTGCAGACCCAGTTCCAACACTCCAGCCATCCTGTGCCTCACTTTTGTACTGCTCCTTGATGGCCATCCCCAAGAGCCCTCTGAGCCCAGTGCCCTGGGAACGGGATGGCTTTCTACGCGTGAAGGTGGAGGATGAGGAGGCCAGCCTCTCTGAGATCCAGGAATCTAGCTCTGGCCACACTGCCCACCCTGAGGCTGCACGTCTTCGTTTCCGGCGCTTCTGCTACCAGGAGGCTTCCAACCCACATGAGGCCCTGGCCCGGCTCCGGGAGCTGTGCCGCCAGTGGCTGCGGCCCGAGGCGCACTCCAAGGAGCAGATGCTGGAGCTGCTGGTGCTGGAGCAGTTCCTGGGTGCACTGCCCCCCAAGATCCAGTCTTGGGTGGGTGCCCAGTTCCCCAAGAGTGGTGAGGAGGCTGCCATGCTGGTGGAAGGTCTGACTCGGGCACTCGACCAGAGAGGTGAGGGGGAGCAACTGGTAACTGTTCACAGCACACTGTGGGCAGAGCCTGGACTGGAATGTGGGAGTGCAGGGTTTGGGCTTGGGGTTGCTCACACATGTACTTGTCACCTTTGTACCCAAACTTTCACAGAATGTACAAAGCAGTTATGTTTTGATTGCTAATGACCAAAAACCCAGGTCAAACTGACTGAAGCAAAGTAGGGAGACTTTGTGGCTATATCAGGAGCTTAGTTGATCGTATCAGGACTCTTTTTTTCTCATTCTGTTTCTCAGTTCTCAGTTGGGTTTTCCTCCATTAGCTTTGCTCTTTTTTTTTTTTTTTGAGAGAGAGTGCACAGAAGCGGGTATGGGGGGGAGGGGGAGGGGAAGATTCACCACTGAGCAGGTAGCCTGTTGGGGGACTCAGTCCTAGGGCCCTGAGATCATGACCCAAGCCGAAGGCAGACACTTAACTAACTGAGCCACCCAGGCGCACCTAGCTTTACTCTTAAGGAGCTTCTATCCTCATTAGAGACAAAATTGGCTCAGCAACCCAGGCTTATGTCTTATCAGTGTAGAAACCCCAGGGGAGAACAGTAAAAGGTTCCTGGGCTGAGGCCCACTGAACTGGTTGGGGTCTTGTGCTTGTCTTATGGTTGACCAGATCCCAGGGACTAACATGAGCAAGGAAAACCAGGCTGCTGTGGGCTGGAAGCCTGTGGGGGTGGGGGTGACAGAAATGCCAGGTGTCTCCATGTGTCCCCTCTGAATCCTCCATCTGCTGGCCCTATAGGATCTGGGTGAGTCAGACCTGCCCTTAGCCAGAGTCAGCACTGTGGCTCTGGGGGACCCACACAAATGTCCCAGTCCAGGGAGGTCCTATAGGATGCAGGGAGGATGCAGCCCTAGGACAGTCGAGAGCAGAGAGTGAAGGCTCCTCCCGGAAGGGCGCGGCCTGGCCCGGCCTGGCTTGATAGTGGCAGATAGTGTGTGTATGCCAGGACCAGGGAGGAGACGTGCTGTGGGTAGGTGGAACAGAAATACGATTAAGGCTTGGTAGATCCAACCACTGCTCCTCTTCTTCCTGTGACTTTCTTGTGCCTCTCTTTCCCTGTCAATAAAATAGGAATTGCAGTCATATGCCTTCCTCAATGTCAGTGCCTGGCACGGATTAAACACAGTGGAAACTGTGGCTGTTAGGATGATTTTTTAGCTCCTTGAGAAACAGACCTTTCTGGAAAGGTTGGTCATGTGCCTTCCCTTGGCCTCATCAGCTATGCCCAGGCAGAGGTCACAGGGACAGGGAGAGGGGGCAGTGCCCCCATCCTCCTGCAAGGTCGAGGTTTTCAGAGAAAAGACAATATGGCACTGAGACAAGGAGAAGGAGCTAGCAGTCCAGGCAGAGGGAGTGGTGGGGGAGAAGGCCCAGTGGTATGATATGGACCATTGCATTCTGGGAAGAGCAGGTTGTGCGATGTTTCTAGAATAGAGGAAGAAAGGGGGATGTGGGACCAAGCATGTGGCTGGAGAAGCTGGGGAGTTAGGAGGACATCTGTGGGCTTAGAGGAGGAAAGCTGAAATCTACAGCTGAAATCTCAACTTGGCCACTAACCAACTGTGTGATCTTGTACCAGTTAGTTACTCAAGACCTTCCTTCAGCTGGGCCTCAGTTTCCTTGTGTGAGGTGCAGTAGTTGCAGTATGTCCTTGTGAGAGCGGATTGAAGCTGAAATGAGACATGGAAATGACCAACTGTACTTGGAGACTAGCACGTAACAAGAGCCTAAGAATGACCAGCAGCCCTAGAAGACGAGCAGTATAGTGTCCCTCTCGTACAGGTGGGGAAGCAGGTGCAGACAAAGGCTAGATTGCCCAAGGCCCTGGAGCTGGCTAGTGGCAGAGCCACTCAAGCAGCAGCTGTTTGCCTGTCCCCGTCTCTTCCTGGAATCTGTCCAGTACAGGATGCTCTTAAGTGTCCCCAGGTGCCCTGTGCACCCATCAAGGGTCAGTTCAGTTCAAAGGTCAGTTCAGGCACACTGCCACCTCAGACACAACCCAGTCTCTAGCTACCTTTTAACCACACTCTGCCTTCACAGCCATTTAGAAAGAGTGGGCCTCAGGCCTCCCGGGGTCTTAGGGAGGCCAGGTAGGCGTGTCACCCACTCACCCTCAGCAGCAGTTGTCAACTTAGGGCTCAAGGTAGAGTCTACTGTAGAAAATTGCACAGTTGTCAGCATCTAGAATTGATTCCCTCATTCAGCCAGTATTTACTGAGCACCTGCAGAAAATGCTCAGTAGGCTGTCTAGGTCCAGGGGGAAGGCACCGAGAGCTGGAGCCTGCCCAGGGGGAGTGAGTACGCAGGCACTTGGCAAGGACAAACCCCTGTGCGTGCTTACTTGCTCTCACTCTCAGTGTTTCAGTTCAGTTCAACCTCGGGGTCTTCCTTCTGACACTTGGGCCAAAATCAGCAGCCTTGAAGAATGGAGAGTTTGGGGAGGGGGAGGATTGAAACCTGTGATCCAGTTTTCAATGGTATGGGAGGACAGCCCTATGCCCTTTTGTCATCCAGGACACCAAATGAGAAACTTTCCTTTGGAAATGGGGCCAAATGTCAGGAGTGGCTATGTCTCCCCTTACAGAATGAGACCAGGACCCAGGCCAAGTGGGGGGAGCCCTGTGTGGAAAGAGTGGTGATGCTGTGGTTTGGATTATTTCAGGATGGGACCCGGGAGCCAAGCTGTCAGAGGCAAGCTGCAAGCAGAGTGATTTGAAAGAGTCAGAGCCATTAGACAGGGCTACTGAAACCCTCATGAGAGGTATTTCCCAGGGACCCACTTTTGGTGGTGCTTGTGAACCTGAGGGCAGCTCAGAGAGGCAGGCAGGACTCTCGGAGGAAGCCTGGACAAAGTCTGTCCCCCAAGAGATGGATTTCAGGAAAACTTCAGAGCCTCACAAGGATGTTCCCACCGACCAGCCCAGCTGTGAATTTGGTGTCTTGGGGAATAGTCCCAACGTGTGGCCAAATGTCACCTCACAAGAGAAGACACCAGAAGAGAAATTTGATCCAGTGGATGGTGATAGGACAGAGCCTCCATGCATTTACTCAGGGAGGAAGTCTTCCAAGTGTAGTGAATGTGGGAAAACATTCCAGAGCCCCTCAGCCCTCGAGACACACCAGAAGAGCCATTCTCGGAAGACACCCTACACCTGTAGTGAGTGTGGGAAAGCCTTCAGCCGGAGCACTCACTTGGCCCAGCATCAAGTCATCCATACGGGGGCAAAGCCCCATGAGTGTAAAGAGTGTGGGAAGGCCTTCAGCCGGGTCACCCACCTAACTCAGCACCAGAGGATCCACACTGGAGAAAAACCCTACAAGTGCGGGGAATGTGGCAAAACATTCAGCCGCAGTACCCATCTCACTCAACACCAGCGGGTGCACACAGGGGAGAGGCCCTATGAGTGTGATGAGTGTGGGAAGGCCTTCAGCCAGAGCACCCACCTGACTCAGCACCAGCGCATCCACACTGGGGAGAAGCCCTACAAGTGTGATGCTTGTGGGAGAGCCTTCAGTGACTGCTCAGCTCTAATCCGCCACCTGAGAATCCACTCCGGAGAGAAGCCATATCAATGTAAGATTTGTCTGAAGGCCTTTGCACAGAGCTCCTCCCTCATTGAGCACCAGAGGATCCACACAGGAGAGAAGCCATACAAGTGCAGTGACTGTGGGAAGGCCTTTAGCCGCAGCTCAGCCCTCATGGTTCACCTGAGGATCCACATTACAGTACTGCAGTAACCAAAGAAAGCCCTTGGGACACAGAACAACTTCCACTCAGAGGCTCAACATCTAAGAGAAACTCTAAGTTCCAAAAGAACAAAGATCAGGGTAGGTGATTGATAGTACCCTAAAGTGATAAGGTGCTTCAGGGCAGACTCTGGGGCTGTCTGGGAACAATTCTGCATTTAGAGACCCAGATGGAGGCGCCTGATGAACCCAAAGCTATTCAGGCTAGCTGGAGAAGCTTCCAGAAGAATCCTGCTTCTCTCCATACCCCACTCAGGCCCATCTCAGAGAAAGGACAGCTGAGCTGAGGACTTGGATTGGTCTTCAGAGTCAGGTCAATTGGGGTGAAGTTTCTGTTGGGACTCAATGGTCCCAAGATGCTCTGGACAGAAAGGCTTCAGCTTCATGTTCCCCTGTAGCTGCTCTCCTTGCCTTTTCCTCTCCCGCGTAGCCCAGGAGGGATGCCAGCCCATGCCCTCCTCTGTGCCTTCACACCTACTCTTTCGCTCCATCTATTCTTGTCTAACTCCAAGGCCAACCTGTGAGGCTGCCTCTTCTATGAGGCCTTCTCCAGGCCCTCAGTCTCTCTCACATTCTCCCTAATCAAGGGTGTGGCATGATGCTTGCGCATCATCTGTTTCTCCTTGCCTTCTCCTACATCGCACCAGCCATCAGCCCTGTTGGTTTTATCAAAAACTCACCTCTAATCTGTCTTTACCATTCTCACCTTCTTTGAGCCCTCATCACCTCTCATCTGGATTCTAGCTGGGGTCGCCTGCCTCCATTCTCTCCCTGACCTCCCCCACTGTTTCATTCTCCACACCAGCCTCCAGAGGGCTCTCCTGCAATTCAAACCTGATTGTGCCACCCCATAGTGGAAAGCTCTCCAGTGCATCACCTTCTGCGGCAAAGCTTCCTGAATGGGTTACAACTATGCCAAGACATAAGTCTTGGCCCCAAATAACCTCTCCAGGTACCCTTGTATGTGCGTGTGAATATTGTCATTTTTTCTGTGGGTGCAGTGATGTGAAAAATGGTTTCAAAGTACTGCCCTGTGGGATATATGTCAAACTCCTTCACCTGCCATTCAGGATCATTTGTGACCTGGCCCCAGCCTCATCTCCTACTGTAGTAGCCCCACCTTCCACACACCAGCCATGTGGAACTACTTGTGGTTCCTGAAGAAGCCATATTTTTCCCACCTATGTGCCTCTGTACCTGTGCCTGGAAACCTCCTCTCCTCTTTCCTCCCACATGTTTCACATATCCCTCCCTAACAAAGCCTCCCCTACTTCCTTTTTTTTTTTTTTTTTAAGATTTTATTTATTCACTTGAGACACAGAGATACAGAGAGGGAGAGAGAGAGCATGAGCAGGGAGAAAGGCAGAGGGAGAGGGAGAAGCAGGCTCCCCGTTGAGCCAGGAGCCTGATGTGGGGCTTGATCCCAGGACTCTGGGATCATGACCTGAGCCGAAGGCAGACGCTTAACCATCTGAGCCACCCAGGTGCCCGCCTCCCCTACTTCCTTGAACAGACTTCAGCTTGCCTTCTCTGCTTCCAGAGCACCTCCTTAACTTCTCTTTAACTTCCTACCATGTTGTATTTACTCCTTGCAGACCTTGCAGTCTGTTTCCCAAAGACACTGTGAGCTTCCAAGAGCAGGGGCCGTGTTTTATTCTAAATATCCATAGCACAGGATGCAATAGGCTCTGACCAGTGTCTGTTGAATGAATATACTGTGACTGGTGCCTTCCTGGAGGTAGTCACCATGCTCCACCCTGCAACCTGATATAGGTCTATATTGCTGTCTCCCCAACACCCAGCAGGGCAAGAACAATCTGATTTTCCCAGAGCCCCAGCACTCAGACAAGCCTGGCATACAGTGGCCTCAATAAAATGTTACCATATTGAGTCTGCCCTTTCTATCACCCCAGAATCCCCCTGGTTTCAGTGGTTGCCAGCATGCTGTCAGTGCTGTCTCTGACCTTCTCTCACAGTTCTGTATCCCTGGCCCTCTTTCAGGGTCCATGTCTGTAACTGGATGTCACAGCCTCTGTTTTTAACTATCAGGGTGTCAGTCTTCCTCTCTTTCTCTGATGATCCCATCACATGTTAACCATCTGACCTACCATACTGTTTTGTACTGTTCATTATCACCATCTCTGTGTTTCTCCCTGTGTCTTGAACTCATTCCCTCTGTGTCACAAGTAAACAGAGTCACACAGACCAAGGAGTGAGGTTCAGAAGAGGAAGGTTGAGACCCAGGGAAACAGAGATCTTGTGTCAATATCTCTGACAAAGTCCCAGATACATAGACACACAGGCAGACAGCCACTCATAGTGAGACCAGGGCTGAGAGACTCAGAGAAAGTTGACAGACATAGGGAAAAGCTCAGAGATGAGAGATACACATTCCTAGTGAAATGATCACGCAGGCCTCCAACAAGCCTGCAGGCAGGGGAAAAGATGTAGGCCTAAAGTCAGTCTGCAGAGCCCCACTCCTCCCCAGGCTGCTTTTGGGACCTCGGATAAGTGACTTACCTGAACCTCAGTGACCTCATCTGTAAAGCAGGGATTAGATGACCTGCCTTGTGTAACATCCAACCCAGGGCCTGGCCACAGGCTTGTAGTATCCATCTCCACCTCTTTCTGCCCCCACTTTCCTGGTCTTTGGCACTGAAGAGCTGAATCTCCACCCCCTGGTGCTCTGAGCATCTCCAGCACCCATTTTGTCATGAGATATGTGTTTTCCCATGTTTGTCTAAAGGGAGAGGAAGTTAGGGGGGAAAGGAATCTATATTAAGGATCTACATGTGTAAAAAAAAAAAAAAAAAGGATCTACATGTGTTGTTCAGTCTGCCAGATAATTTATGTACATCATCTCACAACACTCTGAGGGCAGAGTGACCATCCCCATTTTATAGAGGAAGGGACGTGGCCAAGTTTATACTGGAAGCACTGAGATTTGAAAGCCTATCCAAATATGTCAGCAATTTCAATAAGCACAACTATATTCAACAAACTAAGTAAGACAAATACTAACATTGGATTTCTTTCAAATCCAGACATATGTTCCTTAGAAGAAACACATCTAAAATGGGAAAGTTGAGGGTAAAGGAATAACAAAGGATATATAAGACAACATGAATCTGAAGAAAGACAACAGAGCTATATTATTTCAACAAAATAGATGTTGACACGGAAAAGCATTATTAGGGTCATAGGATCACTATGTTTTGTTTTGTTTTTTGTAAAAAGGAACAATGAGGGGTGCCTGGGTGGCTCAGTCGTTAAGCGTCTGCCTTCGGCTCAGGTCATGATCCCAGGGTCCTGGGATCGAGCCCCGCATTGGGCTCCCTAATCAGCTGGAAGCCTGCTTCTCCCTCTCCCGCTCCCCCTGCTTGTGTTCCCTCTCTCACTGTGTCTCTGTCAAATAAATAAATAAAATCTAAAAAAAATAAAAAGGAACAATGCACTAGGAAGATGTGATAGTTTGGAACCAGACAACTCATGACATCCTTATTAGGGAACAGAATCACAGAAACTGATAAGACCTTACATGTAGTTGGAAATGCTACCACATTCTTTATAATAATAGCAGAGAGAATATTTGAAGAAATAATTACTGGAAACTTACCAAATTTGGCAAAAGGTCTCAATTTACAGGTTCAGAAAGCTCAGTGAACCCAAAACAGCATAATCTCAAATTCATGCCTAGACACATCATAATTGAACTGCTGAAAACAAAACAAATTTTAAAATTTTGAAAACAGTCTGTGAAAAACTATGCATCCTATAAAGATCAATGCAAAAGATTATGGGTTTCTTGTCAGAAATAGTGAAACCTAGAAGGCAGAGAAACAACATATTTAAAGTGCTGGAAAAAAACCCTGTCAATCCAAAATTCTATATCCAATGAAAATACACATCAAGAAGGGGAGCAAAATAAAAACATTTTCAAATGATGCAAAACTAACAATCTTGCCAGCAGGCTAAAAGTGTTGTTTTGATAGAAGGGAAGTTATAGCAGAAGGAAAATTGGAACTTTGGTAATGAAGAAAGAGTAACACATTGCAAATATTTGATCTTTAAGATATACATGAGTGTTAAAAAAAAAAAAGGTATACATGACTTGAAAACAAGATTTATAATATTTGTAGAGTTTTCAATGTATGTTGATGTATATATGACTAAAACATAAAGAGGAGAGAGTATCAAAATTCATTCAGTAATATATTTGAGATTTGTATATTTTAATGCATATACATTATATCTCAAAGAAGAACCATTAGTGTACAAAATTTAAAAAAGAAATTAGAGGAGGAGAGTAAAGAGACCTATCAGTGATAAGGTTTCTACATTTCACTTTAAGTGGTATAATATTAATTCTATGTAGACTATGAAGAGTGAGGTATGCATATCTTAATCCTTAGAGAAATGTCACACACACACACACTACACAAACAGATAAACCCAATACATGAATTAAAATGGAGCTCTAGGGGCGCCTGAGTGGCTTAGTTGGTTAAGCGTCTGCCTTCAGCTCAAGTCATGATCCCAGGGTACTGGGATTGAGCCCCACATTGGGCTCTCTGCTCAGTGGGGAGCCTGCTTCTCCCTCTACCTCTGCTGCTCCCCCTGCTTGTGTTCTCTCACTCTCTCTCTCAAATAAATAAATAAAATATTTTAAAAAATAAAATAAGGGGCACCTGGTGGCTCAGTCGGTTGAGCATCTGCTTTGGCTCAGGTCATGATCCCAGGGTCCTGGAATCCAGCCCCATGTTTGTCTCCCTGCTCAGCTGGGAGCCTTCTCCCTCTCCCTCTGCAACATCCCCCCCTCCCCACTGATGCTCTTGATCTCTCTCTCTCTCAAATAAAATCTTTTTTAAATAAAATAAAACAGAGCTCTAGAAAATATTTAACCCAAAAGAAGGCAGGTAAAGGGAAACAGAGGGATAACAGAAGGAACAAAGAAAATAAAAGCAAAAGGTGGACCCAAATCCAAATATATCAGTAATTATATTACATGTAAATGATCTAAACACACCAATTAAAAGAGTTTTGCAGAATGAATTTTCTTAAAAAATAAACCCACTTTAAGTATAATGATATAGGTAAGTTTTAAAGGAGAATGGGAGATGCAGTCTTCCAGTTATGGAATGAATAAGTCACAGGAATAAAAGGCACAGCATAAGGAATATAGTCAATGACATTGTAATAGTGTTGTGTGGTGACAGATGGTAGCTATACTTGTGAGCAGAGCATAATGTATAAACTTGTCAAATCATTGTTGTACACCTGAAACTAATGTAATGTATGTCAACTATACACCAAAAAATTGAAAAAATAAAAGGGTGGAGAAAGATATATAATACAAAAATTAACCAAAGAATGCTAGAGTGACTATTTTAATATCATACCAAGTAGACTTCAGAACAAGGAAAATTACCAGGGATAAAGAGGGACATTACATAATGATAAAGGTCAATCCACCAAGAAATAACAATTCTAAATATGTATGCATCTACCAACAAAGCCCTGAAATACAGGAAGCAAAAACTAACAGAACTGGAAGAAAATAATAAATTCATAATTATAATTGGAGACTTCTACACTCCTCTTTCTAAAATCAACAAAACAAGTAGATAGGAAATCAGGATACAGAAGAACTAAACACCACCTACCAACTGGATATAATTGATGAAGTTGCCAGTATTTAAATATTGCCAATTATTTTTTATCCACAAAGAAGTAATTTCCTGTTATTTAAACTAATACAAACTTGTTTTTAAGCCTAATAATGAGCTGTTACTGATGTTTACCCCCAAGAAATCAATGATCTGTGTTTCCTGAAGAAAGCGAAGAAGAACAAATTAATTCAGAAGTAGAAGGAAGAGAATAATAATGATACAAATAGAGATCCACAAAGTAGAAAAGAGACCATAGAAAAAAATGACCAAATCCAAAAGTTAATTCTTTACTGATAAACCCCTAGCTAGACTGACAGAGGGGAAGAAATGGGTGGGGAGGGAGGTAGAAGGGACACAATGTCAAGCATGAAAGAGATGACATCACTACAGACCCTGTAGGCATTAAATGAATAAAGGAATGTTGTAAGCAACTCTATACCAGTAAATCAGACCAATCAGATGAAATAGGCAAATTCCTTAAACAAAATTTATCAAGTATTAGTTGATAATGCTGGTACACACCTACTGGTATGCCTGTACCTTGAGAACCAAGCTCTTAAGTGGACTGGGCAATGAAATGTCCAGTGGGATATTGGGTGGGGCAAAGGGCCTTAGATCTGTGGGAAAGTGGGAAAGAATAAAGAGGAGTCTCAACCCTACAACAGTTTCAATCTCCAGTGTGAGAGACCTAGCCTTTGGGGACAGACTCAGCACCACCAGCTGGTGGCCACTCAGTCCAGAAAACAAAACTACAAAATGCAGCCTCTCTGAAGTGCCTCCCAGTGTGGGGACCAATTTGGTCAAGGTGGGGTTGGGTATGTCTGGAGAGCTACCTACCCAGACCTGCTGGGGATCAGGCAGAGGTGCCTGGGGAGTAGGAGGCGGCTTGAAGAAACCAAAAGGCAATCTTGAAAAATGTGGTCCCAAGTAGCCAATCCTTGGCCCCTATATCCTCAGGTTCCAACCCAGAGCCCGTCCACCTTTAGGACACAAGATCCCAGCCCACTTCCCTCAACCCTGGAAGTACAGCCCCCTGCACCAGGGCTGCCATTAGTCAAGGACACCTTTTAAAGTCTCTTCACATTTTTATTAATTTCCAGGAGGAATGAGGGACAGTCCAGCACCTTCAGGGGGAGTCCAGCCTCTAGCTGCAGTTTGAGGGATCAGAGCCAGACTGGAGAAACTATTTGCCAAAGGTACCATTAGTGGCCTGAGTCTGCAGCTGGATCAACTTCCTAGACAAATTTGACAAAAGAGAAATGTTAGGGGAGGGAGGCATCATGTGTTCTCCTCCCTGGTGAAATCAGGGCAGACCTCACTGAGGCCCCTCAGGAAGGAAGTAGCTTGGTCAGCTGCCAGCCAACCCCCCCTCCCCCCCGCACACACCTAGGCCTCCGTCCAGGTGTCTACCTGACCAAACCACAGTCTGCTCCAGGGCCTCTTCATGTGTCCTTTCCCTGCCTGTAATTTCCATCATATCCCCAGCAGACTAGGCACACTAACCAATGTGCTGGGAGGAGGTGCAGGGAAGGGGCCCTCCTGGTAGAGGGCACAATCTGGGCAAAGGCCAGAAAGAGGAACCCCGCTCACAGAACCAGAGGAAAGGCTCACCTGCCACCTGGAGCTCCACCGGGTCGCTGAGCTCAGACACGAAGGGTTTGGGCGACCATGAGCGGTATCGGCAGCTGTAGTTGCCTGCGTGCTGGGGCCCCACATAGGTCAGTACAAGGTCTGCTGAGGGGTGGCTGGTCCAGAGTTTGGTTGAAGGCTCCTCTTCGTCTGCTCGCAGCAGCTCGAAGATGACCGTGGGCACGACGCTGGGCACCTGGCTCTCGCAGCGCAAGACCGCATCATGGCCAGGAACAACCGCCCCACGCGACAGGGGCCGGAGCCGTGGCCTGGGGGGGGGTCCTGGGCGGAGCAGCCAGGTCAGTCAAGTGAGGTCCTCCACTCAGGTAGTAGCTGCCCCAGCCCCCCTCCGCCTTCCTGCCTCCCACTAAACCCAGGCCTGCTGGCTGCTCCATCCCTCCAGGATGCTACCCTTTGTCCTCACACAACTTTCCGCCTTTTCCTGGTCCTGAACAGACACGGTTCCTCCTCTTATCTTACGGATCACCCTCTTCCCCAAGATCTTGCAAGTTCCCTAGACCCGGGCCTGCTCTGAGACTTCCTGGAGTACCCAGCATTTGGCAGTCAGGACCTCAGGACAGGTGTGGGAAAGGAGGAAATGGCCAAGGGAAACGGTGTTCCCGGCAGAGAGCGCAGGAAATGAGCCAAATGCGAGGTGTCCCGCAGACCATCGGCAGCCGAAATTCCATTGGCCCGAAGGGTTTGCTGTGCGGACAGGACCAAGGCCCGGTGCACTTCCCTTCGGCGCGCTCATTTGCTCACGGCTGGGAGCCCTCGCCCGCTCACCGTCTACGCGCAGCTCCAGGGGCGCGCTGGGCGCCGAGCCCTCGAAGGGTGGCGCCGTGTCCACATAGACGCAGCTGTAGTTGGCGGAGTCCACCATCGACACGTCCCGCAGCTCGAAGGTGGCCTCTGTCCCCGCGGGGCTCAGGACACGGTGCACTCGGCGCTCGGCGCCCTCGCGCACCAGGGCGAAGCGCAGGCCGGCCCGGGGAGCCCGGCACCGCAGCTGCACCAGCGTGCCTGGCGCGGGGTGCGGAGTCGCGGGGTGGGCCGAGAGCTCCGGCGCGGGGAGCGTCTCTATGGGGAGAACACTGGCTGACCCGGGCGCGGAGGGGAAGGCTTGGGCCTCACGTGCGATCCAGCCTCGCGCCTTCTGCCTGAAAGAGTCCGCCGGCCCCCCTCCGCTTCAAACTGTAGCACCCTCCAGACCTCACCGGATCCCTCACACACAGTCCAAAACTATTCCTTATTAGTTTGTCCATAAAAACAGACGTGGGGAAGGCGTCGAGTTTTGTCACCAAGCCCAGGACATGCGGTTGCAGATGGCTGGGATCCTCTCTTGGGGTGGTCGCTCCCGGTCCTTGGCAGGCCCTGCAACAGGCCTGGCTCCCTTCCACAGCCCCAGCCTGGTTCCCTCCAACAAACAGGCCTCGGGCGCCCACCCAGACCCGGGAGACAGGAGGGGACGCCCGGCAGGGGGCGGGCGCCTGCATGGCCTGCGCCAGACTTGCGTGTTGACCCAGTTATTCTTATTGAAGCCTTGGGGATGCTGAGCTCATTGTCCCATTCTCAGCTGGGGAAACTGAGGCCGGGCGGATGAGTTGGGATTGGGCCCCAACCAGAGCCCTGCAATTCCGGGGAACCCTTCCCTGGGCCCCTCCTCCCGCTCCCCGCCCGGGGAGCAGAGCGCTGTCGCCCTCCCAGCCTGTGGCTGCCAGGCTTACCGTCGCTCAGCAGCAGCTCGGCAGGCGCGCTGTCAGAGGACCAGGTTTGCTCACCACGCAGCCGATAGCGGCAGGTGTAGAGACCGCCGTTCCCTAGAGCCGCCGCGCTCAGGTGAAAGAAGATGCGGTCTGGGCTGGTGGAGCTCCGGGGTCCCCGCAGCTCCTCCTCGCCCCGCCGCAGCTGGAATTCCACGCCGCTCAGGGGCGCCACGCAAAGGAGGGTCGCGCTGGCCCCCCGGGGCAGGACACCTGCAGACTCTCCCTGGAAACTCAGCGTGGGTGGCAACGGTGCTTCTGCAAGGCAGGGAGGGTCGCTGGGGCTAGAGTCCCGGATACCCCCGCTGTGGGACTGTTCCCGAGAAAGCTACGGTCAGCCAGGCCCCCGACCCCCACCCCGAGCTGCCGCAGTGTCAGTGTTCAGGTCAGGTGCGATCCACCCAACTGTGTGACCACTGTTTCCCAGACCTAATCCTGGGCAAGGGTATTCAGGGTTGGGGATCAAGGTAAATGCAGCTCTGTCCTCCAGGAACCTCCTACCCCAGAAAGCCCTCTGGGATGGTCAACACACTCACCCAGCTCCTCGACTGTCACAGTAGCACTGGGCTCAGAGGGTGCACCTGCTTTGTGGGTCCTGTAGCTGCAGCTGTAATTGCCAGGCTGATGGACTGAGAAGGTAGCCTCTGCATCTTTAGGGGCCTCAGCCACGCCTAAAAACTGATCATCGCCTTCGCGCCTCAGCAGGAAGGTCACACCACGAAATCCCCCATGGCACAGCAGTTTCATCTTCAGACCCGGTGTGATCCAGGACACGGGCTCAGTTGAGAGCAAAGGTGGGGGTAGGGACTCTGTGGGTGGAGCAGGTTTGATGGGTCGTTCTGAATGACTTGGGAGACATGCAAGACCCAGCCAGACTAGGATCTCCACACTCATGAAAATGGGAGGGAGGGGCGCCTGGGCGGCTCAGTCAGTTGAGCTTCGGACTCCTGATTTGGCTCAGGTCATGAGGCGGGGGGGGGGGGGGGGGGGTTCCTGTGCTCAGTGGGGAGTCTGCTTAAGGATTCTCTCTCTCCCTCTCCCTCTGTTCCTCCCCCACCACACACAGTGCTCTCTCTCTCTCTAAAATAAATAAATCTGAAAGAAACAAAGAAAGAAAGAAGGAAGGAAGGAAGGAAATATGAGGGAGCCAGGGAAATGGAAGACATTGATAAAGGAAAGGGAGGCAGGGACAGGAGGAGACGGGGGCATTAAACAAGAAGAGGATATGTTAAGGGAAATGTGCTAGGCTTTCTGGGGATTCAGTCATTTATTCCTCACAACCTTCTGGGATCAGTGCAAACATCATCCTCATTTTACAGATAAGGAAACAGGATCAGAGATGTCAGATGACTTGCCAAAGGCCACCTAGCTGCTCAGGGACCCCCCCACCCCAGCCACCCACACCCCATGTCAGAAAAGTTGGACCAGGAGAGTGAGGAGGAGGAAGGGAGGAAGTCAGGCCTCTCCAGCAGCCCTCTCCTCCCTGTCCTGTGGCTCCGTTAAAGCCCCTGCTCACCTGCTCCAGTCACCTCCAGGAGGTTGCTCAACTGGGTCCATCTGCTGTTCAAGCCAGAGCGGCAGCGGTAGAGGCCCCGGGTGTCACTTGTCACTGCTCCTAGCGGGAACTGGTGCTCCATGGCAGGTAAATCAAGGTGCACAAGTTCCTGGGTTACCCCGTCCTTAAACAGCTCAAAATCTGGGGTCATCAGGCGGGCCTGGCATGTCAGTGTCAAGTTGGCCCAGGGCTCCAGCAGCGATTCAGCCTCTGCCCACAGGTTCGGCCGGGTCTCGAATACTGCGTGGCAGGTGGAGGTCAATGCTGGGCCCTAGGACAGGGGCTCACCTCTGCAGGTGCCCACCTTCCCCAAGACCCAACCCGGACTCACCTATGGCTCCCTCGGTTGCTGGGCCCAGTGAGAGACCTGTAGAGATGGCAGCTGTGAGGCCCCCATTCCTATCTGTCCTCCTCCCTCCTGCCCCAAGGGAGCCCGGCCCCAGCAACCTCACCCCAGAGCATCAGGAAGGCCCCAAGTATAGACATGATGGCCAGCCTTGCTCTAGTCGGTGAGTGTCTGGGGTGATAAAGCCCAAGCGAGGGTGAGGGCGGCAAAGGGGCAGCAAGGGGCAATGACCTCTTCCCTATTATTTGTCCTTCCCGGGGGGGGCACCTGCAGGGGTAGGGACAAAGGGCAAAACTCCAAGGCCTTTGGGAGCCTCATCAATAACCATAATCAATGATTCTGTGTAATTAATAAACTAAGCAATAAATAATAAAAATGATAATTTTAAAAATAATAGCAAACAATAACCTTAGCAAGTGAAATGACTTAAAATATGAGAAATACAATTTTAAAATAAAAATTAAAATAATGTAATAAATACTAACTGATCAAGGAAATTTTCAATTTTTAATGTTTGTCGGCCCTGCTCCAGGGCTCCCAGGGAAGCTATACTTTAACATTTACTAAGATCAAAATGACCACACAAAACCTCAAAGCATGGGCTCTACTTCTGCCCTGAGCACACACTGTATGTCTGCTTCATTAAAACAACAACAACAACAAAAGGAGCATTCCAAACATAAAGATAAGAAAAACAAACAAACAAACAAAACCTCCCTGGGTCCCATGAGATTAAAGTCATACAGACTTGCACATACTAAAAACATAAGATAAAGTCTGAAACTTTCTGGAATGTCCTTCATCATGATGATTTGTAACTCATTTTTTTTTAAAGATTTTATTTACTTATTTAAGAGAGATTGAGGGTGCCTGGGTGGCTCAGTCGGTTAGGCGTCTGCCTTCGGCTCAGGTCATGATCCTGGAGTCCCTGGATCAAGTCCCGCATCGGGCTCCCTGCTCAGCAGGGAGTCTGCTTCTCCCTCTAACCCTCCCCCTCTCATGCTCTCTCTCTATCTCATTCTCTCTCTCTCAAATAAATAAAATCTTTTTTAAAAAAAAGAGAGCGAGAAATTGAGAGAGAGAAAGAGCACACACCAGTGCAGGGAGAGGCAGAGGGAGAAGCAGCCTCCCCGCTGAGGGCACTCTGGGCTTATCCAAGGACCCTGGGATCAGGCCTGAGCCGAAGGCAGACACTTAACTGACTGAGCCACCCAGGTGCCCCATAAGTCTTTTTGTAAAAAACATATATATCCCTGAGCTAAATGTTCCTTCCCCAGAGCACTCTCTTCTTTGTGCAGACTGTGTCCTGGGCACCTGCCCTAACTTGGGCTCGAATAAAACTCTTTTCCTTTCTCTTTAAAAAATGTTAAAGGGTTTGTTCGTTTTGCATCATTTCTTGGCGTAGTCAACAGGATATCAGAGCAACTTGCCTGAGAACACCTGGGGATCATCTAGAACTCAGTGCTTGGTACGAGCACGGACCCTCTGTGCCCCTCCAGCTCCTCAGCACCTCACAGGTGTATCTGGTGAGGTCCTGATACCTGGACCTCTTCAATTTGAGTGAATAGTCCTGATTTTTATTTGAACTGTTAAAGGTTACCGGTAATGTTCTTTAGGTGGGAACAACCTGGGACGGGGGGAAGTTGATGGGTTGGTTGTTTTAATTTGGCATTATACTAATGGATGTTATTAATATATAAGGCTTGAGTAAATTTTCTCCATAGAAATATGAGAGAGTGAATAACTCAGCTCCAAAGAGAAGGGACGCTTGCTCCTTCGAGTTGAATGGTGCTTTCAGGTGAATGAAAGCCTAGCAGAAGTGTCTGAAGATATTCCTCAGACATGCAGCAGTCCCATAGGAATTTCCCATCTCATAAAGTGATTAATGATTGGCTCATCCAGGGATGCACACACAAGGATTGATCATGCAGTGTTCCAAGCCCCTCAATGGTCCTAGACCTTACAAGGAGAAACCGAGACACAGAGTGTATTACGGCCATTCAGAAGTAACGCTCACAAGCAGCACCCTCTTGATCCACCACTTAATGTCCTTAGATCTTATTCAAGCCTTATTCTAAAAATAAAACCAAAACTAAAAGGAATGGGCAACTGGGCTTCAAAAGCCAGAACAACACCCAGAAAACCAATAACCCCCATGGAAAATTCAGGCAGGCTATCCGTACACACATACAGAGCCTATACTTGCAAGGCTAGCTTCAGTGGGAAAAGGTAAGGATAAGAGGAATCGGGCGCCTGGGTGGCTCAGTCGGTTGGGCGACTGCCTTCGGCTCAGGTCGTGATCCTGGAGTCCCGGGATCGAGTCCTGCATCGGGCTCCCCGCTCGGCGGGGGGTCTGCTTCTCCCTCTGACCCTCCCCCCCTCTCATGTACTCTCTCTCATTCTCGCTCTCTCAAATAAATAAATAAATCTTAAAAAAAAAATTCTTCCAGTTATAAAATAAGTAAGTCACAGGGGTGGAAAGTATAACATAAGAAATATAGTCAATAGGGGCGCCTGGGTGGCTCAGTCGGTTGAGCGACTGCCTTCGGCTCAGGTCATGATCCTGGAGTCCCGGGATCGAGCCCCGCATCGGGCTCCCCGCTCAGCGGGCAGTCTGCTGGTCCCTCTGACCCTCCTTCCTCTCATGTGCTCTCTCTTTCTCTCTCAAATAAATAAATAAAATCTTTAAAAAAAAATGGATAACCGGAATCTCGGACGGCCGCAGTGGGGTTCTTTTGACATGTCTGAATTAGATTTTTTGTGTGCACAATTGAAGAAAGCCAACTATAAGACTAAGTAACCAGAAACTCGGAAGCCATTTGGTTGAGTCAGTGAAGTCCCCAACTTTTGGGGAAGAACCAGCAATCCCAGAGGTACTCTGAGCTTTATTTGGTTTGTTTGTTGCTACAGCTTTTGGTATCTTTGCATACAACTGGCCATGTTCTAACTGGAAATGGAAAATAACTAATAAATGGATCCATAAATTATAATGCTATCTTACAAGTAGATTTAATAAAAAGGGGATATTTGGAAATTGGGTCTTTAATGTCCTCTGCACAAATAATAGTGAAACAAAGGCTAAATTTTGTTTGCATCTTGTTTGTGTACATGTATCTATGTGTGTTATAAATGTGAGGTATTTTCTCTATCTCTGGATGGTATTGCTAAAACTAACTTGTAGAGGAGCTCTATTTAATTGGTTTAAAGGCAAGTGCTTGTGAAAATTGCCCATTTTAAAACTCAAAAGGATAAAAAGTAACCCAGATGCTTTTCAAGTTCATATGATCTGGGGTAAAATTTCCTACATTCAGACTTTTATGTTACTCCATAATAAAGATGCATCGTAGGAAGGAACCAGATTGATGGTCCAAAGAGGTACAGATGAACAAAAATTTAAGACACCTGACCCCCTTCCCAATGGTCAGAATAATGAGGAAAAGCAGGAGGAAATAGGCAGACTCTAGAAATCCTAAATCCACACCCCCTCCTCCAAGCACAAGCACCAGAACCAATGCCCAACCCACTGCCTGCTCTTCTTCCAGAGGGCTACAAAGCACCCAGAGGAAAAGACGGGAAATAGAGAATTTTTTAAAAAGATTTTTATTTTTACTTTTAAGTAATCTGTATACCCAACGTGAGGCTTGAACTCACAACCCTAACATCAAGAGTTGCATGGGATGCCTGGGTGGCTCAGTGGGTTAAGCAGCTGCCTTTGGCCCAGGTCTTAATCCTGGTGTCGTGGGATCGAGCCCCACATCGGGCTCCCTGCTCAGCGGCGAGTCTGTTTCTCCCTCTCCTGCTCTCCCTGCTTGTGTGTTCTCTCTCAGATAAATAAATAGAATCTTAAAAAAATAAAAATACAATACAGGAGGCCTCTGAACCCTGGACACAACATATATATCTCAGTTTGCTGCTCCAGTCTGTTTTCAACTGCAGTTTTGTGTGGGGCCCACGCAGCAGGTCCTGGGTACAAAGCAGGCTGCTCTGGGCCTTGGGCCCTATTACCCAGAAGATCCAATGATGCCACTGGATAGAACAGAATATAATGCTAGTTTCGAAGCAGTCTCTCTGCGCACCCTCAAAGTTCCAGCAAAAGCCCAAGCCCCTCCCCCAGCCCCTAGGCCCTTGTAAATCCACCCCTTCTCTTTTGCACCCCAGTCCTAGAGGTAGTAAGTGCTCTATGGTTATCCATCTCTGGGTTTTCAGTATTCACTTGTGTTCCTTCAGCCTTACAAAGCTAACTAACCAATTCCCTCAAAATCCCGAGGGAGGGTGATTTAGCGGCCTGCCTCCCACCTGAGACAGCCCCCTTCTGGCCCACCTCCCACCCATCAAGTGGGCCAGATGCTCCTCCCGCCCTGTTGCAGGGAGATACTAGTGGTCAGGTTTGGGCTGTCTGTACCAGCCTCTTCTCCCCTCGCCGAGGGCCAGCTTAAGCCTCCCAACTCAGCACTCAGGGTGCAGGTGGAGAAGTCCCTGCAAAGCACTGGATACGGATGCTCAGTGACCTTTGTGACAGAAATTGCTACCCCAGCAGACAGCCAAATAGGGTCCTCATCAGCTGCGAGTCCTCAGGCCTATCTGGTCCCCTCTGGGGCTCCGCTCTGGAGACAAGGTGAGAAGGAACTTTCCAAGCTACAAAGGTTTCACTAATCAGGGTTGTAGCTCCACGCATTCCCTCTCCCTGCTTCTCTCACAAGCTTAATGCTGGAGGCTGCCAATCCCAGACCCAGGAGCAGAAGGAAGCACAGCACATCCAGTGGCAGCCGAGGGCAGAAAGAGGCTCCCTAAAATGGTGGTGGAGGCGGGAAGACCGTCAAACCCGCAGACGCCAGGGGAGACCCCAGAGCACACAGTGGGGCAGGCCAGGACAATCCCGACATGGGAAGCGAGAAGGGTGGTGGTGGCCAGGCCAGAGAAGCGGTCCTGTGCAGACTGAGCATGTCCCCCACCGCATTCCAGAGAGGAGACACAGACACACCACCTTCCAGAGAGGCTCTAGTGAGGGTGCTAGATGGAGCTGGTGCTCAGCCCCCAGGGAGGATAGTGCAGTGGACGCCACAACTGTGGAGAGAACAGGAGGGAGGGGCACGTGGGGGGAAGCACCTGGGAGGGGAGGATGGCAGAACCACCCCCACTCTTCCCCTTTGCCCTAGGCCTCCTGCTGCTCACCAGGGTCCCAGAGCAAGGCCTCTGACCTTCTGGCCCTTGGCCTAAAACAAAAAATCCTGTGCAACCTCAGATCCAGCTGAGGTGGAGGGGAAGCAGGGGAGGGGACTCACCTAGCCCTCGTCCTGGGGATCCACCACGCCTGTGGCAGCCTCCAGTCTCTGCACGGATGCACCCCTCCCAGCACCGAAATTCACTGCCTTTACCCTGTGAATCACCTCCCCGCCACGCATCCGCAGCCAGGCCCCAGGGGGCCACCAGGTGAGACTCCCATCGTCCCAGGGGCTGTTATAACGGCTTAATCCTCTGTCCCAATTGTCGCTGCCCCTGCGCTCCAGCACGCAGCCCACACGGGGGGGGGGTGGTGGCGATTTTACACGACGCTGCTCATCCTGATCCACGATGGCCACGTCCTGTGCCTCGCGCGCCACCGAGCTGGCCCAGCCTCACCATCTCCCAGGGGCATCCCAGAGTCAGGGCGCGGCACCGCCCGCGTGTCGCTTCTGGTGTTCGTTGAGGTTGGAGCGGTGACTGAAGGGCTTGCTGCACACACTACGCACGTAGGGCCGCTCGCCCGTTGCGTGCGCCGGTGGCTCACGAGCTCGGAGTTGCGCACAAAAGCCTTGCGGCAATCGGCGCAGACGAACGGCTTCTCCCCGGTGTGCGTGCGCCGGTGGTGTGCCAGGCCCGAGCTGCCCTTGAAGGCTTTGCCGCAGTCGGCACGGGCATAGGGCTTGGCAGCAGAGTGGATGCGCTGGTGGCTGAGCAGGTTGGAGCGCTGGCTGAAGGCCTTGCCACACTGGGCGCACACGCGGGGCTTCTCGCCGGTGTGTACGCGCTGGTGTTCGGCCAGATTGGAGCCCATGATGAAGGCCTGGCCGCACTCAGCACACTCGAAGGGCCGCTCGCCCGTGCGCGCGCTGGTGCTGCAGGCGCTGCGAGCTCTCGCGGAAGCTCTTGCCACACTCCGCGCAGGCGAAGGGCCTCTCGCCGCTGTGTGTGCGCGGGTGCTACCGCAGGCCCGCCGGCGCAGGAAGGCCTTGCCGCAATCGGGGCGCGTGTGCGGCCTTGTGCCCGCGTGGATCTTCAGGTGCTCCGCCAGATTGGAGCTCTGGCTGAAGGCCTTGCCGCAGGCAGGGCAGGTGTGGGGCCGTGCACCCATGTGCACACGCCGGTGCTCCAGGAAGTTGGAGTTCCAGCCGAAGGCGTTGCCGCATTCGGGGCATTCAAAGCGCTTCTCACCATGTGCGGGCGCCGATGCTGCACCGGTGGAGTGCTGCGGCCGAAGGCCGTGCCACAGTCTGGGCAGCGGAAGGGCTTCACGCCGCTGTGCGTCTTCTGGCGGTGGATGAGCTGCGAGTGCGCGCGGAAAGCCTTGCCACACTCCGGCACGCGTAGGGCCTCTCGCCCGTGTGGATGCGCTGCTGCTGGCTGAGGTTGGAGCTCCAGGCGAAGGCCTTGCCACACTCCGTGCACATGTATGGCTTCTCGCCCGTGTGCACTCGCCTGTGCTGCACCGGGTAGGAACTCCGGCTGAACACCTTGCCACACTCACTGCACCGGCAGGCCGGCTCCCTGGGGAGAGGCCAGGGGCTTGGCACCAGGTTTTCTCGGATGCTTCTGGGCCCGACCCAGTCTCTCCCACGGTCTGCGGGCTCCAGCTCCCCTCTGGAGGCCCCCTGGTCCTCTGCCTCTGTGGGGTCTTCCCAGGCCCCCAGGCCTCCAGATGCAGCCCCCTCAGAAGGGTCTGTTGTGTCAGTCTTCAGCACAATCCAGGGAGTGTCGCCTTTCCCTAGAGCCACCTGCTGGGCCCTCTGTCCTAGGGACTCGACCTTGCTTCTGTCCTCTGAAATGGGGAGAGAGAGAAAGCAAATGCCTGAGAGCTCAAATGGGGTGGAGGGGACGAGTGGGTCTCAGGAATGATGTGATTTTGACAGATCTAGAGCAGGGGCAAAGCTTGGGGCTGGCTGTATTGGGGCATGGCCATCACCCCCACCTTTCCTGAGCTGGTGCCCCTGGCCCCTCTTCAGCCTGGAACAGGGAAACAGGGCAGGTGGGCCTAGAGATGCTCCAACTTTCCCCATAGAGGCAGCATCCCAGGCCAACTCTGAGTCAAACCGTGGCCTTGTTGAGCTTTGACAACCCAGCCTATGATGGGGGCGTGCTAGGAGACCACTGTGCCTGCCTCTATGGTCACTTCCCACACATCCCTGCACCTGACTGGGCAGGTGTGAACTTGAGGGCATCAGTCTAACTCTGGAGTCTGAGCCAAGACCACCAAGCTCCCACCATCCTTCTCCCACAGCACCCCCACTCCACCAGCACTAGCTAGGGACTGTAAGCCAGGCTCAGGAGGAAGCAGACCCAGCCCCGACCCAGCTGGCCCTCACCTGGAGTTCTGGCCCGGCCAGCTCCTGGCGCAGCCCCTGGACCAGGGCAGCGGCCTCCTCAGGGCTGCCTGGCCGCTGTCCCTCCACACGGGCCTGGATCTCAGGGGGCAGTGCGCACAGGAACTGCTCCAGCACCAGGAGCTCCAGCATCTGCTCCTTGGAGTGCGCTCCCAGAGCCGGGCCAGGGCCTCACGGGGACCCTCTTCCTCCTCATAGTGGAACCCCCAGAAGCACTGGCCAGGGGTCTCAGAGCTGGGCTCACCCACCACTGGGGCTGGTGTGCTCTGAAGGACCCCAGGAGCCAGAGCTGATGCCTTGCTCATCTGGGCAGCCATCATGCCCCTTCCCAGGCAGGGCAGCCACATGTCCCTGGGCACTTCCTCTGGACCTGGAGACACAAAGGGGAGCCTGTGAGCACAGCCAGGCCATGAAGGCCCCTCCAGAGGACCCTCTGAGAATAAGTGGGGTCTGCGGGTTGGGGTGATTGTGTCTATCAGCGAGTCCAGAAGTGTCCCCACCTGTGTGTCCATCTGTTGGAGAGATATACGGAGGTGCCCAGTCTGTGGTCCCTCGTCCCTCCTCCCTCCCTGCTTTTCTCAGGGGCCTCTGCCCTGGCTTCTTCAACTACTTGGCTCCATTCATCCCCCACACAGAACACTAAAGTCTGCAAACTGGACAGCCAGATTTGGCTAACAGACAGATTTTACCTGACTGCCCCCTTCCAACACGCTTTTTTAAAAATTTAAATGAGGGGCGCCTGGGTGGCTCAGTTGTTAAGCGTCTGCCTTCGGCTCAGGTCATGATCCCAGGGTCCTGGGATCGGGCCCCACATCGGGCTCCCTGCTCAGCGGGAAGCCTGCTTCTCCCTCTCCCATTCCCCCTGCTTGTGTTCCCTCTCTCGCTGTGTCTCTCTCTGTCAAGGAAATAAATAAAATCTTAAAAAAAAAAAAAAAGCACTATGCTAAATGAAAGAATCAAGACACAAAAGACTTCACATTGTATGATTCTGTTTATCTGAAATGTCCAGGATAGGCAAATCTGTAAGAAACAGGAAGTAGATTAGTGGCTGCCAGGAGCTGGGGAAGAAGGAATGGGGAGTTTGATTAATGGGTATGGAGTTTCTTTTAGGGTGATGAAAATGTCCTGGAATTAGACTGTGGTGATGGTTGCACAAAATGTGAATTTACTAAAAAAAGTGACTGTACACATTAAAAGGGTTAATTTTAAAAAAGTCATCAGCCAATTTCAAAAGATTACTTATTATATGATTACATGTATATAACATTCTTGAAATGACAAAATTGTAGAAATAGAAAACAGAAAACCAAGGGTTAAGGAGGGGGTGGAGGCGGGAGGGAAGTAGGTGTGGCTAAAATGGCAACAGGAGGAATCGCAGGTGGTGGAGATACTCAGTATCCTGACTCCCATTTGAGTGTCTTGGTTATCATGCTGTAGTTTTGCAAAATGCTACCACTGGACAAAACTGGGTAAAGGGTACATGGGATCTATTTGTATTATTTCTTACAGATGTGTTTCTAATTATCTCAAAAAAAGGTTTTTTTACAAGTCATCAGAATTCAATAAAAATCCTTATTTATTTATTTTTTTTAAGATTTTATTTATTTATTTGACAGAGAGAGACACAGCGAGAGAGGGAACACAAGCAGGGGGAGTGGGAGAGGGAGAAGCAGGCCTCCCGCCCAGCAGGGAGCCCGATGCGGGGCTCGATTGCAGGACCCCGGGACCATGACCTGAGCCGAAGGCAGTCGCTTAACCGACTGAGCCACCCAGGCGCCCCATGATTTTATTTATTTAAGAGAGAGAGAGCATGAGAGGGGGGAGGGTCAGAGGGAGAAGCAGACTCCCTGCCGAGCAGGGAGCCCAATGCGGGACTCCATCCCAGGACCCCAGGATCATGACCTGAGCCGAAGGCAGATGCTTAAGGACTGAGCCATCCAGGTGCCCCCTTACTTGTTTCTTGAAAGATCAGAAGACCTGCCTTCAGGAGCCCCATGTCTCTAAGGATGGAGCCTGGCAGGGATATCCCTCCAGCCAAGACCTATGCTTCGGAGCTGCCCAGTCCTCTGTCCCCTCTAACTGGGCCTCCCTGCTTGGGAGTCTGCCCATCTTGGGGTAGTATCCAAATCCCCGAAGGTCGTTCCCGGTTGCCTTCACTGCTCCAGCCTCCCCACCGTCCTCACACAGACCGTGTGCCCCCTTTTTCTGCCTGAAAGCCTTGTCCTCCACTTTTTCCCTCAGAATGCCTACTCACCAAGGTTTGTGGCCACCTCCCCAGTCAGGCCCCACCTCCCACGCCAACAATTGGCTCTCATACCCAACGGGTCACAAGTGACTATTTGTGTCTCTCCCCAGCCCCCAGGGCCTGGGCTCTCACCTCTTGGGGCTGGATGAAAAAATACTTGAGTGGAAGAAGGGGAGGGACGCTGCGCGGGAGATGCCCAACGGGGGTTCTGGCCTCAGGAAGCGCCGGGCTTGGAGCACAAGGGGCAAGTGAGAGCGGAGGCTGGATGCTCGCGCGGAGAAGGCACGTGCAAGGCTCGGAAGCGGGACGAGCCCGGCGTGCCCTGAAGCAGCGCCGGGAGGAGGTCCGAGCGAACGAAGAACGAATGGAGGAAGGAATGATGGCGCGGCCTAGGGAACGGAGGGCGGGACTGGAGAGCAGGAGCGATGAACGAATGCATGCGTAAATGGATGGACAACAAATCGGGGACGGGTGATCGCGCAGCTCAGGGTACCAAGGGCGGAATCAGAAAGCAGGGGGGTGAATAAACGCGAGAATGAATGAGCGAGCAGGAGGTGGGGTGCTACGGAAGTAAATGACCGAGGAGGCTCACGGAACGGAAGAGCGAGCCGTGAAGCCCAGGGTGCGGACGAGCGAGCCCCAGGCGACTCCGGGTGGCGGCGCGCTTCCGCCCCGACCCTAGCCGGCAGAGCCACTTCCGGGGCCCTCGGGGCGGCGCGAAGGCCTCGCCCTCGGTGGTCCCGCAGCGCGCCCGGCCCCGCCCGCGCCCCGCCTGCGCGGCCAGCGGTGGGAGCCGCGGGCACGCGTTAGAACCCGGCCGGACGGCTGCCGCTCGCCTCACGCACCGCCCTCGACCCGCCCCGGCGTCCTCCTGGCGCGGCCGGGCTAGGACAGCGCCCGGGTCAGCATCCGGGCTCAGGCCGCGGGGAACTGGGTGGGGGTGGGGGTGAGCGCAGGGTGTCCACGGAGGTGCTGTCGCGTCCCCTGGCGCGACCTTGCGCCTCGCGGGACTCCCCACTGCGTCTGCGCAGCTGCGTAGTTCGTCCCCAGTCGCAGGCCCGCGTCCTTCGGTTCCTGTAGGGATGGTCCAGGGGCCCCTGGAACGCTGTGGCGTCCTCCGTTGCCATGGATACGCCCTTTTCCTTGGCCCCTCCCTTCCTCATTTACACACCCAGAGGGACGGGGACACACACACACACCCCCCGACGCTCAAGGTCGGCAGGATCTCGGACACAGGAAGCAGATCTGGAGAAAGAACTGTTCTGCAGCCAGAAGGATGCACACTCCTCACCCCTGTCCATTCTCTGGCCACCAAGTCCTCTTTACAACCCCATGGACCTTGTCCAGTAGGGGCCTGGCAGGGAGGGGTGCGCATCTCACATACCTACGCGCTGGTCCAGCTGCAACTTCCTTGGGGACAACGCGTCCAAGCTGGAATCGCTATTTGCTGTATAAAAGTTTCTCAGTTGCCCCCACTCTCAATCCAGGGGGTTTGGACAAGTGTGGATGCGGGACTCGGGCATACCACAGTCCATTCCCCTTGGCCCTCTTGATTGATTCAGGATCGATATATGAGGAACTTCGACCTATGGGTTTCACGGGGCAGGAAGTTTTTTCTGAACTGTTAGGGCTTCTATTTTCTGTGGAACTTTAAACCGTGAACAGCTATCGGCTAGTACAGTTGCAGCCTTTCTGTCCCCATGAAGGGAGAACTTGCCGACAATGGAGCCCATATGAGAAGCAGAATGAAGGACAGCGTATTAGTTCCCTATAGCTCCTGTAACAAATTACCACAAACTTATGGCTTAAAACAACAGAAATGTCTTCTTCCACAGTTCTGGGTGCCAGAAGTCTGAAATCAGTATCACTGAGCTGAAATCAAAGTGTCAGCAGGGCTGATGTCCTTCTGGAGGTCCTAGGGGGGAATCCGTATCTTTGCCTTTTTCAGCATCTATAACTGCATTCTTTGTATTCCTTGCTTATGGTCCCTTTTCCATCTTCCAAAAACTGGTTGTAACATCTCACTAATAAGCAAAATCTTTGACACAAGTTCATTTTATATTTGCACGGAGTCACGATTTCAGTTTTTAAAAAAGATTTATCCTGGGGCACCTGGGTGGCTCAGACAGTTAAGTGTCTGACTCTTGGTTTCAGCAGGGTTCTGGGATCAAGCCCCGCATCGGGCTCTTTGCTCAGCATGGATCTGTTTGAGTTTCTTCCCCCCGCTCCTTCTGCTCCCCCCCCCCACACTTGCTCTCTCTCAAATCAATCTTAAAAAAAAAAAAAAAGTATCCTTTAACAGCAGGTAACTATAACTGCAGAAACAAACAATCCCAGGATCTCAATGGATCAACACAAAAAATGTCTTTTTTGCTCATGTCAGTGTGAAGTGGTCAAGTGACCCTCCCAGAAGGCTGTCCTTGATTCAGGGACCCAGGCTCCTTCTATCTTGGGTCTTTGCTATTCCTTACTTTATGTCCTTCTCAGAATTTTCTGCTGAATCTCCTCTGTCCAGCTGGCTGATGAAACAAGCAAAAAAGATGATGTAGGCCATTTTATGTTATCCATCACTTCTGTCCATATTCCATTAGCCAGAACTCAATTGCATGGCTCCGTGTAACTGCAGGAAGCCTGAGAAATGTGTTTGTGGTTGCAGGAAGAGAAAAGGGGATTATGGGGCATTTTAGTCCATCTGTACCATAGGACCCACAGTATGCCCTATATATTGAGGTTCATCTTGGCAGCACTCAGTGTCCAGTATAGTCCATCATATTTGGATTGAACTCTCCCAAGGGCCTCCTCATACCCCTTACACACTCAAGAGTTCTCCCCAGCATGAAGTCCCTGGTTTTGACTGGGCTCAGAGGCTCCTATACTCCTAACCTTACCAGTAGCCACTCAACTCCTTGCCCAGGAAGGCAAGGGCAGATGAAGCAGATGCAGTGCCCATCCCTCCTACATCTGGGATGTGGGATGGCACCCATCTCCACAGTATCTCTAGCACTGCAGAGTGCAGCAGATGTAAAGTGCCCAGCCCTAGCTGTAATAGTGCCCTGCAAGCTGTGCCTGGGAATGGAGAGCCAAAAGCTTCCTTACCCCACAGGGCCTGTGCATCTTGCCCTTCCCAAGGTGGACAGGAGCTCCCGAATGGGAGACACAAAGTGAAGGGTGATTTGCAGGGAATTTGCTGCCGGATCAAAAAGCCTTACCTGGGAACCCTGTGGAAGTATATGAGGCCCATCCCTGGACTCAGTGATGAGCCCAGCTCTGCCCTCCCTCCAGGTGGCTCTGGCTGGGCCACATGGCCTCTGTGGGGCTCTTTGATATGGGGCCAGAGTTACCCCTCCTCTCCCAGTTAGGGCAAGGATCAAATGGGGTGATTAACGGTAGAGTGCCCAGCACAATGCCTGGCATGTAGTAAGCACACCCAACGTGCAGAGCCACGTGTCACTTTGGAACTAGTGTGGAGGATGGAGTGGGGAGGAAATTGGAATCATATACATACATAACTATACATACTGCTATGAAAGAATCATGCTACTTGCTCCAGGCCTCTGGTGGACTCCCACCTATGTGGTGGCCCCAGGGAATATGGCCGCACATTTGGGTCTCACTCCTTGATTCCTCCCATGCAGCAGGAGATGGCATCCAGCCTGGAGTCCTCTGACAGAAGAGGAGCTCTGGCTGGACCACCTTGCTTTGACATAACATGATGAGGTCCCCATCTGCCAACCACAAACCAGACCAAGGCTGCCAGGGAATCCCTCTTCCTTCCAAGGGGAGCCCTCTGCATAGCGACTAGGAGCCACCCGGGGGCAGGGCAGGCAGAGGCCCTGCCCGTGAAGCCCGTGGCCTTCGGCCCCGCGAGGGTCACAAGGTACGCCGAGTCCCCCTCCCGAGGCCCAGGGAGGCCAGAGGAGGTATCTCGAAGACCGAAGGGAGGAGGCGGGGTCTAGCTCCGCTAATGGGTGTGCAAACACCCAGAGGGTACCAAGGGCTGATGAAGCCCCCTGGGAAGGTGCAATGAGAGGTCCTGGGTTCAAATGTTATTTCCACCATTTTCTGCCTGTGCCCCCGGGGAGCCACTCCCCCCACCCCCGCTTCCCCAGTTCCCAGCCCACCGAGGGAGGCGGAGCAAGACTTCCGGTAGCCCACGAAGCAGCTGGGTCACATGAGCGCTTCATTCCTGGGTTTATTAGCACGTCGCCAGAACGCATTACTATGCGCCCACTTGAAAGGGTCGAGTAAAACTTGAGTCGGGGAAGCCTGCGGACGCCGTGAGTACCCAGTGAGGTTTAAGAAAGACGAGAACCGTTTCTTCGGGCTTCCAGAGGCGCGCGCGCTCACGAGGCCGCGCGGCCCGCGTGCCGCTTCCGGTGCTCGTCGAGGTTGGAGCGCTGGCTGAAGGCGCGGCCGCACTCGCGCATGCGTAGGGCCGCTCGCCCGTGTGCGTGCGCCGGTGGCGGACCAGACTGCGGTTGCGCACGAAGGCCGTGCCGCAGTCTCGGCAGATGTAGGGCTTCTCGCCCGAGTGCGGGCGCTCGTGCTGGCGCAGCTCGGAGCAGCCCCGAAAGGCCTTGCCGCACTCGGGGCAGCCGTAGGGCCGTTCGCCGGTGTGCGCGCGCCGGTGCTGCACCAGGCCCGAGCGGCCCCTGCAGGCCTTCTCGCACAGCGGGCAGGCGTAGGCTTGGCGCTGCTGTGCGTGCGCTGGTGGAAGGCCTTGCCACACTCCGGGCACGCGTAGGGCTTCTCACCTGTGTGCACGCGCCCGTGCTCCGCGAGGTGCGAGAACAGGGCAAAGGCCTTGGTGCACTCGGCGCACTCGTGTGGCTTCTCCCCGGCAACGGGCACCCGGGGAGGCCCCTGGGTCCCCTCGCCACAGTCCCCACAGGGCGGGCACCCCGAGAGGAAGGACCGCCGGGCCAGGGCCAGGCTGCGGCGGTGGCGCTCGGCCGAGTGCGTCTTCTGGTGGCGGTAGAGGCCGGAGCAGCGCACAAAGGCCTTGCCACACTCAGCGCACTCACAGGGCCGCTCACCGGTGTGGATGCGCTCGTGCTGCAGCAGGCTCGAGGTGCGCGTGAAGGCCTTGCCGCACTGGTCACAGACGTAGAGCCGCTGGGCCGGGGGGCCAGGGGCACTGCAGCCAGGACACGTTAAGGGGCCCTCGGCCATCTGCTGCTGCTTGTTGGAGCCAAAGCGCTTTCCGCACCGCGCACACAGGAGGGGCTCCTTTGCCATCCGCCTCGTTTCCTGCGGGGCCAGCCGGGCCCTCGGGGTAAAGTCCTGGCTGCAGCTGCAGTCCTCCAAGGGGTTCTGCTGGAGGAGGGTCACTTGCAGGGTCTTTGCGAAGGTCTGGGTGCCTGTGCGCTGGTCATGTGACCCATCCTCTGTGTGGATCTCGGACCGCTGGGTCCTGGGGCAGCACCAGCCCAACACCTGGCCTCCACAGTGATCACACACCAGGGACTTTTCCTCAGGGGGTGTTCTGAGACGCTGCATCAGGCAGCAGTTATGGCTGGAGGCCCTGGTACCGACCGGGCACCAATAGGGGCCCTCCCCAGCATGTGGCCCCTGGGGAGTGACTGGGTCAGGGTCCTGAGAGGAGGTGGGGCCACATGGCTCTTGTACCAGGGGTCCTGCTCCTGCACTCTGGTGGGTCCCTGGACTGGGGCTCACACCGAGGCCCCAGCTCCAGGAGCCCCTGCCTTGGGGAGCCATCTTGCCGCCTGCTGTCCCTCCATGTAGGTCTCCCTCCTGAGAGGGGTGTCTCTTAGCTGGGTCCTCTTAGCTCCATCTTGGGCCTCTCCTCCTGGTCCCTGTCGGCTCCCTGGAGATCTGCCTTGGGGATGCCTCCCTGCCTGGAGTTCTGGGCCCGAGCCTCCAACCTGGGGCCAGCCCCCAACACAGTGTCCTGGCTGTAGGATCTGGAAGAGCAGAGGAGAAATGGAGGTTGGCAGTTCCCAGGAGGGGAGAGGGGAGAACTGCCAAAGAATGATGATGCCAGGACTAATGGGGTTGCCCTCAGCTTTCCATAGCCCAGGGCAAGAAGAGAAGGAATGACATCAGGCAGTGAGAACCCTGGAGCCCCCTGCCCTGACTCCTGACACCTGCCAAGCTCTAGAATGTCACTGAGGCCCCAGAGAGCATCATCCTTCCTCTTTACCAGTTGCTGGAGCACCATCATCCTTGGCTTGGGACCTCAGCAGCCCCTCCCTTTAGCAAGACATACCCCAATTGCTCAACTGCCCACTCCCCAGAATCACATCTCCACTCCAGGAACCACCAGCTTCCTGGCAGCATGCCCTTCTGACTCCCTACCTTGACCTGACCCAACCCTATTCACCTGCCATCAGTCAGGGTGACTCTGATGTGCAGCAAACATATATGGAGGCATCAGGGAGAGAAGGCCCACCTGGTGGGTAGGAATATAGAAGGGAAAAGCACAAGGGGCACCTGAGTGGCTCAGTCAGTTAAGCGTCTGCCTTTGGCTCAGGTCATGATCCCAGGGTCCTGGGATCGACTCCCGCATCGGCTCCCTGCTCAGTGGGGAGCCTGCTTCTCCCTCTCCCACTCCCACTCCCCCTGCTTGTGTTCCTTCTCTCGCTGTCTCTGTCAAATAAATAAATAAAATCTTAAAGAAAAAAAAGAAAGGAAGACTTGCATGTCGATTAGGTTACTGATCAATGACAGTCACTAACAGAGGACTGACCTGTTAAAGAGGCCATAGTAAGAATGAGAATTCTTCCTATGTTCTTGTTACTTCCAGAACAAATACGGACCTGCCCAGCACAGCCTTTGGGGTATGAATATGTGACCACAGTAAATCAACACCTCACTGAGCATGAGGGCTCAGGTTCTTGTCTTTTTTATTTTATTTTATTTTTTAAAGATTTTATTTATTTATTTGAGAGAGAATGAGAGAGAGCACATGAGAGGGGTTAGGGTCAGAGGGAGAAGCAGACTCCCTGCCGAGCAGGGAGCCTGATGTGGGACTCGATCCCGGGACTCCAGGATCATGACCTGAGCCGAAGGCAGTCGCTTAATGAACTGAGCCACCCAGGCGCCCCAGGTTCTTGTCTTTTTACTCTGTTCCCTTTTCTGTGCAAGGCAGATATCCCTTTATCAAACGTTCCAGAAATTTTGGGCACCTGGGTGGCTCAGTTGGTTAAGCATCTGACTCTTGATTTTGACTCAGGTCATGATCTCAGGCTTGTGAGACTGAGCCCTGCATGGGGCTCTGTGCTGGGCGTGGAGCCTATTTAAGACTCTCTCTCCCCCTCTGGCCCTCCTCACCTCTCTCCCTCTTAAAAAAAAAAAAAAAAAGTTCTAGAAATTTCAGTCTATTTTGTGAAATGGTTTTCACCAACTCTCCCTTGACCAGCTGTTGCTTTTCTGTCATTTTTGCAGATTTCTAACAAGCACGTGCCTGGGGGCAGCAGTGGCTTGAAATAACATGACTTGGAGCTAAAAAGAATCAGGAAGCATTTAACCAAGTCTCTCTACACGTTTTCAGCCAACGAAACTTCAGAGCAACTGGATGTGATTCTTTTCAGGACACTGCTGCCAACCATCTCTGGTGGATTATTTTGCCCTTGGACATCACAACCACAATGGCAGAAATAGGTTGATGGTTAGTGCTCTGGAGGAAAATGTTTTGGGAGTGAAAATTAGACATACTGAATTGGTTAAAAGTGAAAATTGCAGAGTTGGACACGTTCCCCAGATCACGAGGGGTCAGAGAAGCTGCTCTGCCATCAGTGCTCCGCTCTTCAGGAGGCTGCTTGCTGGAGCGTGGGAAGCTGAAGGGCCCACATTAAGGGTGGTTTGTCTGGTCACGTGTTCAGCAAGTAAACAGTCTGGGGCATCTTCTAAAGAAATAAAGGTGGCAATAAGGACAGGACCACACCGTGACCTGAGGTTTCTCAAACAGGCCTCACTCCAGTCACGTGATAACTACCAACCCTCCTGTAACTTCCAGGCCTGTGTGAGTCCGGCCTTCAACCCGACAGATGAGGCCACCTTTCTCCATCTGTACCTCAAAGCCACTTAGTGTCTGGGTTGACTAAGATTTCATGAGGCTACACTCAGGCCCATAAGGATACTGATCCCTGCTGGCTCTCTCTCCCATGGGTGGCACTGATGGGGGCTAATACCTTGGAACTCCCACACCTTCCCCATTGTGGCAACTACCACTTTGTGTCTTTGTTTCTCCACCTGACAATTTAGCCACCTAGAGCTTGAGACCCAAGCAGAGGTGCTCGGAGCCCCTAGAGCAGACTTCAAGAAGGCAGGAGGACATCTGGGTGACACTGAACAATGGCATATTGTACCCCAGTGCCAGACTGTCCGTGGGGCCCTTACAGAGTGAGGCAGCAGGAGGATGTGAGGGACACATCTCTTTCCCAAACACTTGTGGATTTGAGTCCAAGGATATTCTTTCTAGGTGAGAAAAGGCTACTATCCTACCCTGTTATTGTGTTTGTGCCTGTCTGCCTTGAGATACTGACTATGCAGCTCTCCAAAAGCAGGTGTGGGGACTGACATGGGCTAACTGGGGAGCAAGCAACTGTGGGCACCACCTGCCCACCAGTGCTGACTACCCTAACAGTAGATGGATAGGAATCTAACTGCAATGGACACCATGCCCAGGGTTGATGGACCCAGGCTCAGTGGCCATAACTCCTGCAGAGTCCTCATAGGCCCCACCTAGGGAAGGCCAAGGGACCTGGCTTCTCTGGAATGTGGAGCTTGCTGTGCAAATAAAATAGACAAGCTGGGGGTCCAAGTTTCAAAAAGTGTCACTTGTACATTGGGACTGGCAAAGCTGTTGTACTGCATGGACCCACTGCAGGTGGACTGATTAGCCTCTTCCAGCGAACTCTCCACACTCAGACTTTGTCTGAATGAGGACAGATGGGCAGGAAGATCTGGCAGAAAAAAAGCAATTGCACAATGCACTCTCACACAGCTGGTGGGAATGGAAAATGATGCAACCAGCTACAGGGGAAAACAGCCTAGCAGTTCCCCAAAAGGTTAAACATGGTGTTACCACATGACACAGCAGTTCCACTCCTAGGTATCTATCCAAGAGAAATGAAAACAGGCAGTCAAGCAAAAACTTGCATACAGATGTTCATTATAGCATTATTCATAACAGCCAAAAGGTAGAAATAACTCAAATGTCCATCAACGGAGGAATGGATACACAAAATGTGATTTATCCAAACAAGTGAATATTACTCAGCAATAAAACAGAATGAAATAGTAATACATGGATGGACCTCAGAAAACATTATGCTCAGTTAAAGAAGCCAGACACAGAAAGACCACATTGTATAATTCCATTTATGTGAAAAATCCAGAATAGGCAAATCCATAGAGACAAAGGGTGATTGGTGACTGCCAGGGGCTGAGGGAAGGAAGAATGGGGACTAATTGTTTAATGAGTATGCAATTTCATTTTGGGGTGCTGGAAATGTTTTGGAATTAGTGGTTGCACAACATACTAAATATATTAAAAACTAAAAATTGCACTAATAACCAACCTGAATTGTACATTTTGAAATGGTTCATTTACATTATATGAACTGTATCTCAAAAAACAACAAAGGAATGCACCCATGGCACAAAGTGTTCCTGCCTTCAGCGTGCCCAGCTGTCTGCTGTAGAGTAGCCGAGGTGAGTCCACCCTGCAACATCCGGGATGTCATCTGAGCCCCAGCCATAGGGATAGTAATGCATGGGACGGAGGGGTGTGTGTGTGTGTTTAACAACGCTTTCGTAACGAGAAAAACAAGGTCTTCAAAATTGCTAGGTAAAAATAAAATATTAACTTCTTTTTTTTTTAAAGATTTTATTTATTCATGAGAGACAGAGAGGCAGAGGGAGAAGCAGGCTCCCCACAGAGCAGGGAGCCCAATGCGGGACTCGATCCCAGGACCCCAGGATCATGACCTGAGCTGAAGGCAGACACTTAACCGACTGAGCCACCCAGGCATCCCAATATTAACTTATCCCACATGCCCAAGCTGACTGTACACCAAGCAGAGTTTTCACATCAGAATTCTGTTAACCGGGCGCCTGGGTGGCTCAGATGGTTAAGCGTCTGCCTTCGGCTCAGGTCATGATCCCGGGGTCCTGGGATCGGGCCCTGCATCGGGCTCCCTGCTCTGCAGGAAGCCTGCTTCTCCCTCTACCCCTCTCTCTCTCTCTGTCTCTCGTGAATAAATAAATAAAATCTTAAAAAAAAAAAAAAAAAAAGAATTCTGTTAACCTCTATGTTAACAGCATTCTCCCCAGGTCCCAGACTTCTCTTCAACCAAGTGCCCCTTAATCCACTCATCTCAAGAAGAAAACTCTTGGTAGGAAGCTAGACACACCTGCTGTACCTAATGGGCAACAAGCTGGGGCATAGGGAGATGCTTTGTGGTGTCTCAAGCCCTGGGGCTGGCATCACTGATTTACAGGTGGGAAGCTGTGACTTGGCAAAGGCAAGAGCT